CCCTAACCCTAACCCTAACCCTAACCCTAACCCTAACCCTAACCCTAACCCTAACCCTAACCCTAACCCTAACCCTAACCCTAACCCTAACCCTAGGGTGACCTCAAGCAGCACTGGCCAATCAAAATGCCCTGATGCTGCTTTGGCAGAATGGCCCTCAGGCCCAGATGGCCCTGGTGCAGCTGTTTGCTTGATACCATAATCATCAGTGAACTGCGCAGACGTGAGTGTCAAGCTGCACGTCCCACAGCCCAAAAATTGGGCACGCCACAGATGCAAGTGTAGAAGGCGCAGCGTTCATGTCATGCGCATGAGAGGTGAGGACTTTGGGATGGCATGTAGCAGATGTAGCAGCCACAGGATGGGTCTGGAGATGAGGGAGAGTGCAATGGCGCGCATGGCAGAGAGGTGGAGGGGCAAGCAGAGACTGCTCTGCTGCCTACAGACCCTTTTTTTGCGCACGCGCACGGCTGTAGCAGGCCGCAAGGACAGTTGGCTGGCATGGGAGCATGCACGTGCACCTCTGCTTTCCCTGCCGGAGAATGCGCACCCTGCGCACCCTGTTGCCTCTCAATCAAATGCTGCTCTGGGGGCAGCTGCAGCAGATGGTGCTCAATGAGAAACAGAGGATCACAGTAGCATTAGGGGTGACAATTGCAGTAGGCATGCGCAGCCAATCTGACAGACTTGAACTGCAAATGCAGAGGATGGAGGAACTGTTGCCAAAGCACCTTGCAGCTGTTGGGGGCCTGGTTGCAAAAGTCAACCAGCAGTGCATGCGCCTGCTGGGCAGTAGTTGCCTTGTCACTGGCAGTCCGTGTCTGACAGGCAAGCAAGCCCATGGAGTCACTGCTGCGCTCAAAGGACGTATTGACCTTGACAAGGAGGCGGTGCGCTTGCTTGCGCGCGCTCTTGAGGTTGTTCAAGGCCTGCAGCAGAGGGGCAGCATGCGCATCAAAGCGTGGCGCTGCAATGGAGGTACCAGTCAGACAAATTGAAGAATGGCTTGCCGGCTTGCCATTTGGCGGCGCACGCCAATTGGTCCGCTCTCACGGTCTGCCTCTGCCGCCGTCGCTTGCGCCTGCGCACGGTCCGCACATGACCCCTCAAGAACATTGCTGCCGTCACCTCATCATCAATGCTCTTGCCCGCACCTCTTTGCCAACACCCCTCTCCGCCTTCTCTCCTTCTTTAGTAAACGCTTCCCGTGTTGCTGACTCATACATGACTCCTAGGCATCTTTGGGCTGGCACGTCTCTAAAGGCGCCCAAGCGCGTTGGCTGTGTACTCAACATTGCACAAGCCGCCGTCGCAGTCATCTATGACTAAGAGCCGCCTCTTCCGGCGGGGCCTTGACGCCGTCTTGGCCCCTCTACGGCTCTTTGTTTCCGTTCTCTCTTTGTTTGGCAGATGATGGAGGCAGCTGAACCTACTCCTACGGCTGCAAGCCTAGGAAAGGATGTAGGTGTCTCCTACAACAAGACTTGCGCCTTGACGCACGGCTCCTCATTTGGCACTTCACCGGTGTTGTCGCCGTTGCTTCCTTGAGCACTCACACGCTCTCGGCATCTCGACAGTGTTCTCTTGCACACCATCTCAATCCCTCTTAAGGCGCAAGTTCCCCCTTCCCCCGTGTGTATTGCTTCACCTACTCCACCACCGACACCCCTAATCCATACGCATTGGGCTCTCACCCTCTTACGTCTGTCAACCTGGCTCGCGCCGCTTTGCCTTCTCTGCCAACTCTAGGTCATTGGCAAATCCTTGCTTAGGTGCGCAGTGGCACAGACAAGATCTTGCTTGTCACTGTTGCCGCGCCTCTTTCAAGTCTTCCGTTGCTTGAGCAACCCTCACTCTTGCTTCCGAAGCCTCTCCACGTCTCCTTGTTCCGCTGCCGGTGCACTCTGCCGCAGCATTGTGCTTCTAGCAGTTGATCACGCCTGCTTGTTGCCGCTTGCCGCTCACTTGCAAGCTCAGTGTTCCCACCGCACTCGCCCGCGTCTTGCTCAGCGCGTGCAACTGCAACACTTCTCAAGTCAATCCATTGCCTTAGCAACTTGCTGCGCCTCTTGCAGCTTGTCAGTCGCTCTCCAATCAGGTTGCCCAAGCCTCCCAGCACCTGATTTCAAGTAGACAGGGTCCTGGCCTCTGCTGCTTGTGCTGAGCGCACCTGGAGCAGCTGTGCCTGCAAGCCCAATCCACTCAGTCACATCACACCCTTGCCTCAAGCCACTGCTCATCCACAAGGGCAAGCAAACAGAAGCAAGCTCGCTGCACGGCAGGCCGCTCCCACGCTGTGCCAGACACGTGACGCCTCCTGGCATGCCCCGTTGGCCTGGGCGCGCCCGCGAGGCGACGCGTCTGGCACGGCGCGCTGCGCGTTGCGCGCTGCCGCCCTCCGCAACACCAACACCCGGCACCCGGCTCGCCCCTCGCCTTCCCCGCCGCCTGCTCTCGCCCTCTACCTCCGTGGCGCCGTTCGTCTGCCGCCGCGCCTGGCGCCGGCCTCACCTGCCCCGCTCTTCTCGCTCCGTCTGCGGGCGCCCGTCGCCTCGTGCCGCCGCGCGCGCCGCTGCGCCCGGGTCCAGCGCATCGCTCGTGCCCTCGCACGCCTCGCAGCACCGCCGCACCGCTCGTGCGCCGCACTGCCTCCCGCCGTCGCCATGGCGTCCAACGAGCCGAGCTACGACGACTACGTCGAGCGGTGAGTGCGCCAGCTGGCTCGTGCGGCAGCGATCTGCCCGTCACACTGTGCGGCCACTGCGCCAGCCCGCCGCGCTGTGCGGCCAGACCGTCACACCGTCGCGCTGTGCGGCCACAGCGCCGGACATACCCTCGGCAGCACTCGCTCATGCCCCCTGCTGCAGCATCCACTACTCGGAGCGCTACTCAGACGACAAGTGGGAATACCGGTGCGTCGCGCTTGCCGCCTTGTCGCAACCGCACTCACCGCTCCGCACAGCCATGTCATACTGCCCAAGCCGCTGCTCAAGCTCATCCCCAAGACCTACTTTGACCCGGAGGAGCCGGGCGTGCTGCGGATTCTGAGCGACGCCGAGTGGCGCGGCATCGGCATCACGCAGAGTCTGGGCTGGGAGCACTACGAGGTCCATGGTGAGTCGAGCAGGCAGGATGCGAGCTGCTGCGGGTCGCTCTGGTGCGGACGCGATGGGGCAGCCGACTGCGAAGGCAGAGCCGGCAGCGAGCTTTGCCCAGCGGTGCCTCATCTGCGGACGCTGCTCCGAGGCGCGAGTCTCTCGCGGAAGCGCCGCCTGTGCTTCGTGCACTGACACCAGCGCGCGATGCAGCTCCAGAGCCACACATTCTGCTCTTCCGGCGGGCAAAGGACTTTGGCGAGAAGGTGAGCACCCTCGGCTGCAGCGCATGCGCGTCACTGCTGCGGACGCTGACAGAATCTGCGCCAGCACTGAGGCATGGCGCTTGGGCTGCAAGACAAGAAGGGCAAAGCAAAGGAGATCGGATGGCCGGAGAACACGGCGAGCTTGGCTCGAGCGAGGCGCTCGACGAGGGCTGGCGCCGACTAGCGGGGCTCGACGAGGTCAGGCCGTGGGCAGCAGCGCCCGGCGGCGGCGACAGCAGCAGCGCAATATAGCGTGCAGCTGCACGGACAATACAGCACCGGATGTCCGGCTTTGCAACGTGCTTCGGAGCCATGCAGCTCCCGCGCGCTCGGCGCACAGGCGAATGCGATGCATGCTGGATCTGAATGCGGCGAGGTCTGCGGGCGTGGGCGCTGTGGAGCTGCTTCTGCGGGCGTGGGCGCTGTGAAGCTGCTGGCGGAGCGTCGCACGGCAGAGGGCTGCAGTTAGAGGCTGAATGGTCCTCTCCCTGTTTCCTCTGCCTCTCACTCGAGGGTGGAGGTCGGCGCTTTGGGAGCCAAGCGGCACGCTCTCGGCGTCCCACAGCAGCCCGAGGGCGGCGCCGCCTCGGGCCGGTCACGTGCGCCGCCTGCACTGCGACGCTGCAGAAGAACGCCGCGGCGCGGCGCGCGCGCCGCACTTGGCTCCCACACACATCTCCCTCCCGGGCGCCGACACCTGTCGCTGCCAACTGCCTCGTCCTTCCTCCTAGCCGGGCGGTATGCGGAGCCGGAGTCAAACCGACGGATTTCGCTGGCGTGCGTGCGCGCACCCGGCTCGCGCCGGCGTGCCGCCGCTGCCAGCGCTCGCTTGCCGATTAAGCCGGGGGGCAGCTGCGGGTGTCTGGCGAGAGCCGGCGCCCCGGAGCTTGCTTCTGACTTTGAGCAGCGCACACTCCACGTAATGACCATGATCATCTGCTAAGTCATTGGGGTGCAGCAGTAGCGCGGGCGTACGGGCAGCTGAGTCGCTGCGCGAGAACAGCGAGGGACGCGGCGCGGGTGGAGTGCGCTGCTGTGTGCTCAGGTCACCGGCGTCGGCAACGGCATCGGCAGTGCGCTCTGCTCACCGGCACTCGCGTGCGAGGCATCAGAAGCTGACATGCTTTCTGGTCGACTCGGAGACGTCAGCTGCACGCCTTTGTGCTTCGCGCCTGATGCTGGCGCTCGCTATGATCCCCAGCCCGCCAGCCTCCGCTGTCAGGCTAGCACCGCTGCAGATCTTGCGGTGGGGCGCAAGCCGCTCTCACTCGCCCAAGTCATGTCAGCTACGACTCGCACTGCAGCCTGCTCGCCTGCATCACGCAGTCGGGATGATCGCAGCGCGTATGCATTGCCTCTAGTCCCACCGGCTCTTTTTGCGTGGCTGTGGCACGTCCTCCTCGCGCGGCCGACGGACGGGCGAGGGGCTCCTCTCGGCGGTCCGGGCAGCGTGCGAGGAGCGGCGCGCAGGCGGCGTGTCGTCGTCGCGCGGCACGTACGGCCGGCGATGGGGCGACGCTGGCGAGCTTTCGCGAGAGTAGTCGCGTCTCCGTGGCAGAGGAGAGTGGTCGCGCGGGTCGCGACGTGCGCGAAGCGGAGGCGTCGAGCCCGCGGAGCGGTCTCGAGCAGACGACGGGGTAGAGTCGCGACGCCGGCGAGCGTCGCGCGGAGCTGAGCGCCCGGCATCGCCGCACGAGCTGCTGCGGCGATGCGGGCTCCGAGAGACATGTCTGCGCGGCGCGCCCGAGCTGCGGCGAGGACTGCGTGACCGGCTGCGGCTTGGGCTGCGCGAGCGCGACGAGGATCGCGACGCCTCACGTCGGCGTGGCGGCGGCGAGTACTCGCGGCCGCCGCCGGAGTAGCGCGCACGGGACGGGCGCTCGCGGCTCGAGGAACGCCGCTGGCCGCCGGCGTCGCCTCGATCGAGGTAGCGCGAGCGCTCGTCGCGGGCGTGCGCGCGATCGTAGTCGCGGTCGCGGTGGTTGCGAGGGTCGCGCGCATGGGAATCGTGCGCGCGCTCGTAGTAAGGAGGCTGCGCCGCGCTGCCGTAGCGGTCGGACCCACGCTCCTCGTGGCGTGGACCCGCACGCGCTCCCTGCGGTCTTTGCGTCAGCACAAGATGGCCCAGACGCGCAGCAGCAGGCCAAGAATCAACTGGACGTGGTGGTCCGCACCGACAGCGCCGACGAGCCTGCGCTGCTTGCCACGCGACATGCACTCACCCAGCCGACATCCTGCGAGCGTTCGGTCACGTTGCCGCTCTTGTCCTGGAACACGTTCGCAGGGCCGCGTCCGCCGCCTCTGCCGCCGTAGGGCGGTCCGCCTCGACCGCCAGCAAAGCCGGGGCGCCCGCCGCCTTCTCCGCTGCGCATGCCCGACGCACCAGCGCCACGCACGCTGGCAGCGCGTACAGCCTCTGCATCCGCAGCACGAGCCTTGGCCAGCTCTGCCTTCTTGAGCTCGACGAGCTCGCGCGGGATGCCGCCGGGCGCGTCCTGCGCGTCGAGCAGAAGCGCCCAGAGCGCCGACATGAATTCCGGAGTCGACGACTCAAGGAAGCCCGTGAGCGAGAGCTGCATCTTCTTGGGGTCGGGAAACTGGCGAGAGAGGTCAGCGAGGGCGCACGCGACGAGGGCGTCGACTGTGGCAGGCCAGCAACGCGAGCAGCACATGGCTGACAAGCACGCAGATGCCTCGAGCGTTCGCGACTCGCGTTTTGCGTGCCTTTAGCCGGGCGCTCCCAGCGCCGCCTGCACAGCCTGTAGCCGCAGCACAGGGAGACGCGCAGGCCGCATGTCATGCGGAAGCTGCACTGCCGCACAAGCGCATCCTCACTCGCCCGCGCTCAAGCACCCCTGCAGCCGCTCCGCAGAGCCGGGCCCTGGTCGTCTAGATGCGCCGCCACTCACGCGGTTCTCGTCGCCCTCGAGCATGCCCATGGCATACTCGCACACGACGTCGTCCTCGAAGCCGAGCAGCGCGCGCGTCTTGTCGGCGATCCACGGGCGCACGACGTCGAGCGCGACGCGGCGCACGTCGACGCGCTGCGCAAAGCTCGGCGGGAACTTGCCCTGCGCGGCGAGGGCGGCAATCTGGCGAGCCTCCTTGCCGGCGAAGCGGCTGTCGCCGTGCGAGGCCGAGATGCCGCGGTAGGCGGCGTCGCCCATGCTGCGCGCGGTGGGCGAGCGGGCGGCGGTGGCGACCAGGTGTGAGGCAGGCGCGGCGGTGAGCGGCGGCCGAGTCGACAGGCTTGGTGGGTGGTGGTGGAGGAGCAGCGCGACGATGCGCCGCGCGGCGGCGCGGCGCGCCTGAGGCGGCGGGCGCGCGCGGCCGGCGTCTTGTGTGCCGCACCAGCAGCAGGCAGCCGCTGCTCCTTGCGCCTTGGAGCTTCCTTCTCCCACCCTCGCTCTGCAACAAGCACGCCCTGCCCGACCCCCTGGCCCTCCAACCACGCCCGCCTGCGCCCCCTGCCTGCGCACGGGACACACGCCGGAGCCACACGTGCAGCTGCTGCCCCGTGCAGCCAACGCAGCCGCCGCTCCACCGCCTCCGCGCAGCGCCCGCGCCTCGCACTGCCTGCGACTGACGCCTGGCAGAGCGGACAGCGTCGCAGCCACAGCCAGACGCACCGCGCGTGCCACACGCGCTGTCCGCCGCTCCTGCCCGGCGGCTGCGGCTGAGCGGCGGTGTGCGCCATGGCGCCGGCCGCAGACGACGATGCGGCGCCGCAGAGCCCCGGCTCGGCCGTCAGCGTGAGCCTGAGCGACGGCCCAGCGCATTGCACTGAGGCACCACACAGTCCGCCAGACCGGCACGGCGGGGCACAGCACGGAGACCGCACGCCGGCCGCGCAGCAGGCGCAGCACGCCGACGCCGCAGCGCTGCCGCCGCACGCTACCGCCTCAGATGCAGATCTGTCGCAGCCTCGCAGCAGCTTCGACGTTGTGCCGCTGGACGACTTGCCGGTCGACGAGAACGTGGAGAGTGCCGCGCCCACGGAAGCACCTGCTGAGGCACCCCGGCGCACCAGCTCGAGCGAATCACTGCCCGAGCCTGTGAGCGAGGCCGCGCCGCAGCCGACCGAGTCACTGCCCGTAGCCGTCGAGGAGGACCAGCCGCAGCTGCTGTCTCAGTCCTGTGAGTGACACGCAGGCCGCTGCGCAGTCACGCAGTAGTGTGGTGCTGCACAGCCGAGGACCTGGCGCACGCGAGCCAGAGTGGCCGATGCAGCTCTGCGCGATACGGCGATGCACGGCCAGCATGGCACACGGCTCAGGAGCTCTGCGCTCCCTTAGGGTCCCACAGCAGCAGCAGCTAGACTGACGCTCTGTCCTCGTGGTGCAGCTGAACCGGCTTCTCGTGCCACGGCCCGACCCGCCTCCGCAGCGCTCGGACACAGGCGCTTCGAGTCCGTGCCGCCCGAGCGCTTCGACCTGCCCGAGTCCTCTACGACAGCGCACGGACCATCGCCAGGGCTGGACGACGTCTCCGAGGGCGATGAAGACGCCGACTGGGCGCCACGCACCACTGCGCGGCGGCATCCGAGCTCGGGCAGCGACCGCGTGCACGGCTTCGTGGATGTCGAGCTGGACAGCGCCGGGCCGTCGCGCGCTGCCTTCTCTCCCTACGGGCCGGGCGCTGCGTACGGCACGCGCTCCAGCGTCGAGGTGCGCCAGGACTCCATCTCGAGCAACAGCAGCACGGCCAAGGCCATTGCCGCGGCGGCCGCACATCGCGAACGCATGCGCGAGCGGCACGGGCAGCAAAGCTCCTTCGGTGCCGAGTCAGGGCGCGCTTCGGGCGACAGCATCGAGGCTGTGCGGCAGCACATCAGCCCGCTTGACGGGCACAGAGAGCGCCGCCGCAGTAGTCTTGGCGCGCCAGCTCCGGCAGAACAGAGCGCTCAGCCCGAAGAGGTGGGCGTGGCCCGTGCAGACCGGCTCAGTGCAGGCAAGGACCGGCACGCCGGCGACGAGCAGGATTCCACGCGCCTCGGCCAACTGAAGAGGCGCGACCTGGCCCCGATCAACACTGGCGCCACGATGCTGGTGGCAGGCGAGGACGGCGAGATCAACATCGTGCTGAGCCCGGCGAGCAACGGGAGCCTGCGCAGCCCCGAGGTTGGGCGCATGGAGATCGTCTCGCTCGACGATGAGGCAAGCAACGATGCCACTCACGGCGCGCATGACGCTGTCCTCGAAGAGCGCGCGGATCCTGCGCGAAGCCCATCGGCCGTCGGCGGGCCGAACGACCCCTCAGCAGCCCCGCCGCATCAACAGGACGCGCATGCGGACAGCATGGCGGCCGTTCCTGCCCTCACCGATGCCGCCGACTCGGAGGCAAAGCCAGGGCACGGAAGACGAGCGTCGCGGGGGCCGTCCGCGCTGGAGCAGCACATCGTGAGCAGTGCTGCGAGCCCTGAGCCCGGCGTAGCTGACATCCAGCGACTGTCTGCAGTCGCGCACGCGCATGACTAACCTGCCGCCAAAGGCACGTGCCGAGGACGTCAAGCACCTGTCCGACTTCGAAGAGATGATGAAGCTGTACAAGCAGAGCGAAAGGAAACGGCAGGAGCTTGACGAAGAGCGCAAACGAGTCAAAGACGCAGAGCTCTCCGCCGCGCAGTCAATCTGGTCCGATGAGATCCTGCCGTCGTGGACGCGAGCACGGCGCGAGGCACGTCTGCGTCAGGTGTGGTGGCGCGGCGCGCCGCCCAATCTGCGAGGCCGAGTCTGGGCTCTGGCGTGTGGCAACGCACAGATGCTGCCGCGCAACTTGTTCACCTCGGCCGCCAGCGCAGCGCGCACCGCGCGCGCCGACGGCACCTTCCCGGCCAGCGACGACGAGGCAATCGAGGCAGACATTGCCAGCACACTGCCGAGCCTCAAGCTGTTCCAGAGGGACACGGGTCCGCTCTTTGACGATCTGCGCGACGTGAGCAGAGCGCGCACCCATGCTGGAGCGAAGCGCGGAGCTGACTGCCATTCCGTGCCAGGTCCTGTCGGCCTATGTCATGGTGCGCCTCGACCAGCTGTCACGCCAGCGCGAGTCGCAGCATGCGGCGCAGGGGCCAATAGCGTACTGCGCAGGTGCGGCCCCGCTGGCGGCGATGCTGCTGGCGAACCTCTCGCCGTCAGAGACGCTCGTCGCGCTGCTGAATCTGCTGGCTGAGCGGCCATGGCTGCGAGCTCTGTATGCTCCAGCGCCGGCGCCGGCGGCGGGAGACACGCACCTGCACACCAAGACGCCTGGCGCGCCCGCCTTCCGCCAAGACGCAGCTGCTGGGTTCGAGCGCGTCTTTGACACGCTGCTTGCCGACCAGATGCCAAAGGTGCGTCCCAGTGCCGCGCCCGTGCCGTCGCCCCTGCTCAGCCTCCGGCAGGTCTACGCCAACATGCAGGCGCGCGGCGTGCGCCCGAGCGCCTACGTGCGCGATTGGGTGCGCACGCTCTTCGTGCCGTTCCTGCCGTTTGACGCAGTCGCGAGGCTGTGGGACTGCATGTGCGTCGAGAGGTGTAGATCTCCTTCTAGCGCTGACTGACGCTGCCTCAGCCTGCTCGAGGAGGGCGATGCCCTCATCTTCCGTGCCGGCCTGGCAATCGTCAAGCTGCTCTCCGCTCGGCTGTACGCGCCCGACCGCGCCGAGGTGGGTAGCGGCCATCGCATTCGTCTGTGCCAGATCGCCGCTCAGAGCTGACCCTCCGAGCAGCTAACGTCCATCCTGCGAGGCAACAACGCCGCTGCACTGCGCGTCTACTATCGCGACGCGTCGATGGGTCTAGCGCCCGCAGCTGTCACGGCTGGCCTGCCGGTGCCGGCCGAGCAAGGAGCTGCCGAGCCTGCCTCCGCGCCTGCAGCCTTGCGCAGCGTCGAGGCAGACGCTGCCTGGGTGCCGAGGGACAACGTCTACGCGCAATACGGCATCGGCGAGGAGCAGCTCTTTGCCACGCTCGAGGAGCAGAACGAGTGGTGGCGCGACAGCACCCTCGAGCGCCTGCTCGATCGCGAGCTGAGCGGCTAGCGGCGGTGACCTTGGGCACGCCGGGGTTGCCTGGTAGCGCAATGCACCGCACGCATGCAGCCGCCGTCATGGAGTGCATTGCCGCAGCTTGACGCCGGCGTCCCTGAAGATCTCGGCCGTGCGCCCATCGACGGCGTAGTTGAGCCTGGCGACAGGTCAGCGGGGCACATCCGGCGGCGCCGCAACGTGCGACCCACTCGTAGACCACCTCTTGGATGCCCACCTGGACGATCTTGACTGCGCAGCGCAGACACGGACAGCTGGGAGAAGCGTCAGCTGCAGCCCTGGCCAATCTGGTCGCGGTCGGGGCTCACGTATTGCAGTAGAGCACTGTGCCTTCCGCGCCGCCGCGCTCGCGTCCGCACTCGAGCAGCGCGTTCTCCTCGGCGTGCAAGCACAGGCACTCGTCGAGCTTCGTGCCGCCCTCTGCACCGGCGTTGCAGCGCGCGCAGCCGCCCTCGCTGCAGTTACGCAGGCCGCGAGGCGTGCCGTTGTACCCGGTCGAGAGCACGCGGTTCGAGCGCACCAGCACTGCCCCGACCCGGCGCTTCATGCAGTTGCTGCGCAGCGACGCAAGCGTGCACAGCGAGAGAAAGTACGTGTCCCAGCTCGGCCGCAGGCGCGCATGCGAGGGCAGGTCGAGCGAGGCCAGATGCGCGTGCAGCTCGTCAAGCGTGTCGAAGGCGTTGAGCACGCGCAGGCCTGCTGCAGCCACGAGCGCCTGCAGCGAAGTTGCCGGTCCAGACGTCTTGAGCGCGCTAGTCGGCTGCACTGCCTGGCTGAGCGAAGGCGGCAGGTGCGGCAAGGGCGGCAAGGAGACGCACGTGGCGCCGTACAGCACTGTGTCGTCAGCGGCCACGAATGCGGCCAGGTCCGGGGTCGCGGCGTCGTCTGCGCGGCTGGGAGCAGAGTCAGCTGCCGCAGGTGCCGTACATGCCAGGCGTGCCCGAGCTGTGCGCAGCAAACGCCTCGTGCAGGCAAAGGCAGCTCTGTACCGCTGGCACGGAGAACGGCCTGCCCAGTCCCTCGCCTGTCGCGCATACACTCACCGCAGCTGGTGGCGCTTCCAGCGCAGGCCCAACGGCGCATCGACGGCGACGAGCAGCACCCAGGGCCGCTTGTCGAAGCCGACGGCAAAGTCGCGCGCGCAGGCAATGTCGCGGCACACGAGGTTCTGCGTCCAGTGCGCCGTGGCGTAGTCGAGCAGGTGCGCCGGGTCGGCGAAGCTCACGTCGCCGCCGCTGCCCGCGCCGCTCTGGCTGCCCGCTGCGGCGGCCTCGGCGGTGGGTGTGCGCGGCGGCGGCGCACAGCACGGCGCCCGCACACGCACGCGCCGGAAGGCATGCGCTGCCACAAGGAAGTCGGCCACGCGCTCCTTGCCGGCGCACGGCGAGCCGACGAGCAGGACGAGCATGGGCGAAGCAGCGGGGAGGCGCACGCGCGGCAGCCCGTGCGATGGCCGGAGGGCGTGCTGCGGAACGGAAGAGGGAGGGGGTGTGGAGGTCGTGTGAGCGAAGCAGCAGTAAGAGTGAGGCGCGCCGGCGAAGCGCGAAAGGAAGCGTTCGTCAAGGGAAGGACGTCGCGCCGGGGCCTTCGCGCACGAGCAGAGCGCCGCCGCGCGTGCCGAGCGCCTTGCCTGGCACCCGCGCGCGCCTCTATCGCCCCCGACACTGTGACGTCCGCCACGACACCCAAGTGCTGCTTCGGCGGCCTGTATGTGTCCCGAAATATCCTCCAGTCTGTGCTGCTTGTTCAAGTACCGCACTGCAAGTCCTCCGGCGCTGGCTGTGCATCGCAGCGCTTCCGTTTTGGCACGGCGCCTCGATGTGAGGTTGTGCCAGCCTGGGCGCGTCACACACCGCAAGGGCAAGGCCTGCTCTTGGTCCACGCCAACACAAGCTGCATTTTGAACGATTGGCAGACATGCCTGGGAGGTCGGGCGGCGCGGAGCCACAGACGCTGCCGGTTGCAACGAGACAGCGACTGTGTCACGGTTCTGGAGAGTGACAAGCAGAATCAGAATGGGCCCTGGGCGCGGCCGCGGCGCGCGTGGAAGTCGGCAGCGCCGCACCCGGGAGCCGGATGCACGATGGCGCGCGGCGAAGGCGGGGGCGGCTGCCTGCGCGTGCTGCGCGCGCGGCGGCGTCGCTCGCCGCGGCCGCCGCGACTCGACTCGCCTCAGCACCCTCAGCAGCTCGCAGCTCCAGCCTCTCTGCCACATCCTCCCACGTCCGGCACGACCCTTGCCGCACACGCCGCACCTCTCGCTCGCTCGCTGCGCCCCGCTGCGCCACGCTCGTCGCTCGCCCGCTGGTCTCTGTGCCACCGCCGCCTGACCGCGTCGCCGCAGCGCCGCGCCTTCCGCCGGCCCGCCTCCCACCTTCGCCGCATCCACGCTGAGCTGCCCCGTCAGCGGCCAGACGCGCGGCTCCTGCCCCGCCGGCCGCGTCGCTGCTGCATCGCCGCACGCCCGCAGCACCGCCATGCCTGCGCCGCCCAAGCCCTGGGAGCGTGCCGGCGCCGGCACTGCTGCTGCCGCCGTCGCACCGCCACGCCCCGCCGACAGCGCCGCGTCGAGCAGCACGGCGTCCGGCGCCGACGCCGCAGCCCCCGCACTGCCGCAACGGCCTAGCACGCTCGGCGCCACGGCCGGTGCTGGCGCATACGGCGCCGCCACGCCGTACGGCAGCATGCCCGGCGCCGGCGGCTACGGCTCGCTCGCTGCGGGCGGCGGCTACGGCTCGCTGGGCGGCGGCTACGGCGCCTCGTACGGCTCGCCCTACTCGCGCCTCGGCGGCGGCGGCATGTACGGCTCGTCGTACGGCGGCATGGGCGGCTACGGCGGCGGCATGGGCGCCTATGGCGGCATGGGCGGCTATGGGGGTATGGGCGGCTACGGCGGCATGGGAGGCTACGGTGGCATGGGTTACGGCGGCATGGGTGCCTACGGCGCGCCCGGCATGATGGGCCCAGATCAAGCGTCGCTCACACAGCGCATGGAGTCCGGCACTGCCGCCACCTTTGAGCTCATCAGCTCCATCGTCGGCGCGTTCGGTGGCTTTGCGCAGATGCTCGAGAGCACCTTCATGGCGACGCACAGCTCCTTCTTCGCGATGGTGGGCGTGGCGGACCAGTTCGCGCATCTGCGCAACTACCTCGGCCAGGTGCTTTCCATCTTCGCACTCGCGCGGTACCTCAAGAATCTGGTCCTGCGCGTGACGGGCCGCAAGCCGGCGCTCGAGCTCGACCGCCGCGAGTTCGCCGACTTTGCCAGCGGCAAGGGCGCGGCGGCCACTGGTGCGGCTCGCCCGAGCAAGCGCCCGCTCGTGGTCTTCTTCCTCGCCGTCATCGGGCTGCCGTACCTCATGGGCCGTCTGGTGAAGCTCATCACCGTGCGGCAGGAGGCTGAGCGGGCGCGCCTTGCTGCTGCAGGGCAGCTGCCGCCCGGCCAGGAGGCGCAGCTGGATCCCAGCAAGCTCGAATTTGTGCGATCGATGTACGCCTACGACGCCAGCGACCCGCTCGAGCTCAGTCTCAAGCCAAACGACATTGTCGCCGTGCTCAGCCGCAACGACCCGCAGACGGGCCAGGAGAGCACCTGGTGGCGCGGGCGGACTCGAGACGGGCGCATCGGCTGGTTTCCAAGCACGTGAGTTCAATCGCTGCTGCAACTGTGCTGTGGAGCGCCGATGTCTGACCCTGCACCATTCCTGCCTGCAGCTATGTTGAGTCGTTGGAGTCTGCAAAGGAGCGCGCAGCAAAGGCTGCTCTTGAGGGCCGCGCCGTCGAGGCGGCCTCCAGCGCCACAGCGCCGGCGACCGTGGACGCGGCGACGCAGGACACCTCGGCGCCGGCAAAGGCCAGCGCAGCCCAGTGAGCCGCGCGCGCCTGGCTCCGAATGTATCCTGCGCTATCCCCTCGCACAGCTCCAGGACGATTCAATGATAAGTCACTGTCACACTGCAGCGTTGGGCGCAGCGCGCGGCGGCACCGCGCGAAGGCTGATGGAGCAGACGGGCGCGAGCAACGCGCTCAGGGCCAGGAGCGCGATCGAGGACGATGAGCACGATCGCGCAGCAGGCGCCGGCCATCGTGAAACGGACGATGCATTTCTCGCGCAGCCCGTCGCCGCGGCACACGCTTCCCGGCACGAGCCATGAGTACTTTCTGTTCGTTCTCGATTGCCCTTCCCGCCGCGCAGCTGCTCAGGACCCCAGGCGCAGGCAGATGAAGAGGGCTATGTTGCGCTCCATCGAGAGCACGCGCGGGTCGCTGCTCTGCTCGATGTTCTGCCGGTACAGCACCCACGGCTCCGCATCCTGGTCGGCGCTCGCGACGGCACGCCGGATCCAGATCTGGTGCGCCGGAAACGTGGCCGCCAGCGTGGGCTCGAAGTAGAGCGGGCCGGTCGCATCGGCCGTGCCAGCAGCGGGATCGAGGGCGAAGCGCAGGAGGAACTTGGAGCGCTTCTCGGGCGCCTTGACGAGGCTCAGCGGCCAGCCGTGCTCCTTGCAGACGTGTGCCAGCGGCAGGATGAGGCGCACGCAGCCCACGCGCTCGCCGGTCTTGCGCTTGTCCCACAGCCGTGTCAGTTCGATGGCGCCGGAGCGATAGACGATGACGGCCTCCTCGCCTGCGAGGACTTGCTCGAGGCGCTCGCTCGCCGTCGGCGCGTACTCCTGCGGCGTGGGCAGCAGGCCGGGATGCTGCTCCTGGATCCACTTGACGCGCGCCCAGCCGGCGGGCGAGCACCATGCCGGTCGGCCGTCGGGGGCGAAGCTGGCCGCCGCGGCTGGCGCCAGCGCGTGCGACGATGACGAGGACGAGGAAGCAGCAGGGGCGCGGGGGGCAGCCACGCTAGCAGGAAGCGGTGGCGGCGGGACGTCGGCGCCGGGCGCCACGCCCGGAGTGAACGAGCGCCCGGGCATGGCCGGCGCGAAGGGCAGCAGCCCACTCGGCATCGAAGACGCCGGGGCCATGCCGCCGTCTGTACGCAGCGGCAGGGCGAGGCCGTCGCGATAGTGGGCAGCAGGAAAGAATGGCAGGCCCTGGTGCGCGTGACTGCTGCTCGCAGCATACTGCGGCACGCTGGCGGCCGGACGCTGCTCGTCGGCGACGACAGCAGCGGCGTAGCGGTCGAGACGCGCTCGCTGTGCTCCTGGCCCGTCGCCCACGGCCTCGTCTGCGAGCGGACGCTTGGCTGGATGCAGCATGCTGGACGAACGGGCTTCAGCGCGCCTGCGGTTCGCGTGACGGATTGCCTGCTACTCACCTGCTGGGGACGCAAGGAAGATGCCGGCGTCTGGCGGCCCGGGCCATAGGCTGGGGACTAGCCAGGTGCCGAACGTCGATGAAGGAGACGCTGCAAGTGAAAGCTTCGCAGCGCAGCGGATGGTGCCGTGGCGGAGTGATGGGCGAGTGAGACGGGCTTGAAGACAGCCGCCAGTTGCCAGCACACCGTCTTCTTCTTGTGCGATCTGGCAGCCTAGCCGCAGCCGCGGCGCTGGCGCAGAATAAGGAGCTCGTCACGAAGCAAAGTCTTTTTGCCCCTGCCGCCTGCTCCTTTGCGCTTGATCCAGGACGGCAATTGATTGAAGGGCAGCAGCGGGGCCGTCGGCCAGATGCAGAGGGCGGGGCAGTGCTGCTGTTGAGCACGTCGCGGGCACCGCCGCCGTGCCGCACGGCGCACGGCGCCAGGGCACGCCAGGGCGGGATGAGACTGATTCGTGGCGGTGAGATATCGAAGCAGAGGAGCAGCGAAGCCCAGATCTCTCGGGCAGGCGGCAGCAGCGTGTCTGAGCGGGACCAGTTCGTCGGTGCTTCGTGGTTTACTGTGCCGCCTGATGTCCGCAACTCGACTGCCGCGCGCACCCCAGCTCGAAACGGTATCAAGAGCGGCAAGAGGATGCTCAGAACGGCTCTCGGCGCCAGCGCAGTCTGAGTCCCGTCCGTGCTGCGGCAATCGGCATGCGGGCACATCACCGGCCACAAACAGGTGCACGGCGTGCGGCGGCCGGCCCGGCGCGACCCCTGTCGCACAGCGCCGCTCTGAGCGCGGAGGACTGCAGGACGTTCGATCGCACGACCCGCGCGGCGACGCAGCATCAGGTGTGTGTCGACGGGTGCCCGCATGGGCGCTGAGCAGCCCCACATCCAGCGTTGCTCTTGCTGCGTTGCGAGAGCTCCTTCTGTGATCCTGCGGACGTAGAAGGGCTGCGCTGCACGTTGCACACCGAAGAAGGCCGAGGCGATGAGCGCGACCTCCGGCGCAGCGCCGCGCAGCACAGCCGCAGCAGGAGGCGCCGCGCGCCGCGGCGGGCGCAAGGACGATCTACGGCTGTGCCCCTGAACAACGCAGCGCAGCACAGGGCTGGCACCTACGCAGAGCAGCACGTGCAACGACGCCCCACCTTGCGCCTGACCCTCCGAGAAGACGGGCGAGCGGGTCCAACAGAAGCGGCAGCACGCGTGGTATTGACTAGAGGGCGTGCTTGCGCGATGCAAGGCTCTTACAGAGCCCCTTCCTCTTCGCTCGACTCGCCTTCCTCCCGCTCCTCCACATCGATGCGCCGGCGCTGGACGCGGTCGCTCGAGGGTGGCGACGGCGCGGGAGGACGCTTGACGCTAGTTGATGGCAGCGTCTCGCCAGTCGAGCCCGCCGCATCACTCGAAGACAGTCGAAGCGAGCCAGTGTCGGCGACTGTGGGCGGCGCAGCAGCTGGTGGCGGATGGTCTTTGCGCGCGGGTCCTTCTGGCGTTGCACTGCGCAGTCCAGGCGGAGAGAGCGGCACATAGGCGCTCGTAGACGGAGCAGCTGTCGCGCTTTCTGCAGCGGTGGCAGATGGCGCCACAGCGTTTGCGCGCTCCTGGAGTCGCGTGTCATCCAGCCGACTGGGTCCAGTTGCCGCGCCGAAGGCAGGAGGAAAGGCGCCTGTGGGGGCTGACCCATGCCGGCTCGGAGGTCGAGCGTGAGTCGAGGGCGAGGAAGGGCTGAATCCTGGTCCCGGCGCCTTTGCGTGACTGGGCCCCGCGACAGGCGCCAGCAAGGACGCAGGAGGAGGGTTCGCTGCCAGCGCTGCTTGGGCTGTCGCGGCAGCAGGTGTGGCCGGATCGCTGAGACCGGCGAAGCCCAGGGGCGTGCCACCGAGGCTGGTTATCGGCGCACTGCCATCAGTTCGCGCTCGCGGCGTGACTGCTGTCGACGGCAGTGCAGAGCCACCTGCCGATGGGCCGGCTGTGCGGTGCGTGGGGTGCAGCGCATGCTCTGCGAGAAAATCGGCGACGCGTGGGAGGGCGTCTGGCGGCAAGGACGGCTCAGCTTCAGCGACGCAAGACACGCCGCAGACTAGGTACGCACCATCCAGCTCAGTCGCATCCACATCAAAAGCGTCCAGCCAGCCTTGCGAGGGCTCGTCGCCGCATCGATACTCCGCGGGCGTGGAGAATGTGGCTGGGTCGATGCCGACCTCGCGACACGCAAACTCGAACGCACACGCGGCCAGGATCGGCGCGTCCCAGCAAGTGACCAGCGCAGAGAAGAAGCTGCGAGCGGGAGCGTCAGAGCGGTGCGACAGGTCAGAAAGTTGCCGGCAGGCTTACAGGTTCGTGAGCCGCTCTGCCGCAAGGTGCGTGACGTTCCAGGAGGCGCCGAGCAAGCGAGCAGCGGTGGTGAGGTGGTAGTGCGGACAGTCGACGATCAGGTCGAAACAAAGCGCCTCGAGAATTGCCGTCTCGCAGTAGCAGATCGAGTCTCGCCACAGCCCAAACTCCTGAGCCGCGGGTCAGATCGGGCTACACGGCGCAACGAGAGCGGCTCCCTCACCCTGCTGCTCTGATCGACGCGCCACTCGCCCTTCTCCTGGGCCCTGAGCCCGTCTGGCGTCTTGTCGTTCAGCATCATGGTGTACTCGACTACGTCCTTGACGCGCCGATGGCTCTCCTCCACTTTGCACGCCAGCCATAGTGCCGCGGGAGCCAGTTCCTGTCGCGCAGATCAGCGTCTGACGCTCCGCCAAAGAGGCCCCGGTTTACTCACATGGATGGCGAACGTGTCGCGCGCTGAAGCAGACCGTGTCCCAGGAGGCAGCAGGGCCCGTCTCATGTAGAAGCGATGGAAGAAGAGAGCGGCCGTGGACAGGACGTGCAGACCGCTGCGACCGAGAAGGATGCGTCAGCCACGGATCATCGGCATCACAGAGGCGATTGCGAGCGGGCCAGTCCAGCGTGTTGTTGCACACGCACGCAGCGTAAGACTCTGCTGCTGCAGCGTTCTGTCTGCGCGCCCGCAGCCCAACGCGGCAATGTCAAGCAGGCCCACAAACGACGCACCAGCGCAGACTCTCGCCGATGCGAAAGATGTGTGAGACGCCCTTGGCGCGCAGTGCCCGCTCCGTCTCTGGCGCAATGCCGGCGCGCACCGACGGCGTGAGCGCCAAGTCTTCGGGCGCAAAGAGCCACTGCAGCGACTGGCGGTGCGCAGCTGCCGTAGACCCCTCGGCGGACGCCGCTGCGGCGGAGGCGAGCATGGCCGGCGAGCCTTGCGCGCGTCGGCAGCGGCAGGCAAGGAGACGCAGCGGGGGTCGAGGCAGAGTGCCCGGCGTGGCAGCCAGCACGGAGCGTGGGGGCGGGCAGAAGCTGGGCTGAGAGTCAGAGCGCTGGACGTGGAGGAGAGGGAAGAAGCCCGGCAGGCGTTGCGCCACGGACTGGAAGGCGGATTCGCGGCTGCTTGTCTTGCGCCGCCGCGGCGCTCGCCGCGGCTCGTCTCGCTCTCGCACGAGCGCAGCGCCGCGCCGCGCCCGGCGGTGCACGGGGCAAGGCACTCGACTCGGGCAGCAAGCGCCTCTCTGACCCCGCATGTCTCTCCACCACATCAACCCTGCCACACTCCACTGCGCTGCTCGCGGCTCTCTCGCTCGCTTCTCCTTGCCCGCAGTCTACGCGTCCGCTTGCCCAGGCTCCGATCTCCGACACCCTTCCGCTCGATACCTCGCCTCTCCCGCCTTTCGTCGCGCTCTGAGCTTGCCACTCGCACGGCCGCGCCCGCCGATCCATCTGCTCTCAGAGCGTCCAGACCGCAGGCCGCACACAGCATACCTCGGTGTGCAGACATCGCTCGCGTCTCGGAGTCTAGCCCGGGCAGCGCCTGTGGCAGAAGCCCAGTCTCTGCCGCTGGAGCGCCAGCGCCGGTCGGCACGCATCGCTCTCCGAGAGAGGTCGACCGCTCAACTTCTGCGTGCGACCTGCAGCATTACGGCTCACTCATTGCGGCGCCATGATCTCCGTGCGTCTGCACAGACCCCTTGGGCGCACCGCCGCCCGTCGGTTGGCCGCGCTGACGCGGTCACGTCGCAGGCCTTCTTCATCTTCAATCAGAAGGGCGAGGTGCTCATCTCGCGCCTCTTCCGGTCCGACCTCAAGTGCGTAGCGCCGCTGGGCGTCCTGCGCGCTCCTGCTCTGACCTGTCGCTTCCGCCCAGACGCTCCATCGCGGACATCTTTCGCATCCAGGTCGTGTCGAACCCGGACGTCCGTTCGCCCATCATCACCCTCGGCAGCACCAGCTTCTTCCATGTACGCCACGAGAACATCTATGTGGTCGCCGTGACAAAGTGAGTGTCTGCTCTGCTCAAGTGCGGCCTAGATGTGGCAGGGCTGCTGAAGGCGGTGCGCAGGCCAGCTCCATCGGGCGCCTGCGCCTGGGCGCACACCCCGGGGCGATGGCACAGCGGCTGACGGCGAGCCACAGATGCAACGCCAACGCTGCGCTCGTCTTTGAGTTCCTCTATCGCGCCATCCAGATCGGACGCAGCTACTTTGGCAAGGTGGACGAGGAGGCGATCAAGAACAACTTTGTCCTCTTCTACGAGCTGCTGGACGGTGCGCCATGTCCTGCACCGCACTGCCCGCGGCATCAGGCACTGACTTGACTGCGCAGAGATCCTCGACTTTGGCTATCCGCAGAACAGCGAGACCGACACGCTGAAGATGTACATCACCACCGAGGGCGTCAAGTCGGAGCAGGCGGTGCGCGAGGACAGCGCCAAGATCACCATCCAGGCCACCGGCGCGACGAGCTGGCGGCGAGCCGACGTCAAGTACCGCAAGAACGAGGCGTTCGTCGACGTCATTGAGAATGTCAATCTGATGATGGGCGCCAAGGGTGCGTCGCATTGCACGCCTCTCCGGCCGCTGCGCCCTCTGACGCTCCTCCTCGCGCAGGAAATGTGCTGCGCGCCGATGTCGACGGGCAGATTCTCATGCGCGCATATCTGAGCGGCGTGCCCGAGTGCAAGTTCGGGCTCAACGACAAGCTCGTGCTCGAGAAGAGGTGAGTGGCGCCGGCAATGCACGCCTCGCCCGGCTCTGACACGCGCATCAGCGATCGGAAACGAGGTGCGGCGTCGGATGCTGCGGATGTCGAGCTCGACAGCTGCCAGTTCCACCAGTGCGTCAAGCTGAACAAGTACGAGACCGACCGGAGCATCAGCTTCACCCCGCCCGACGGCGAGTTTGAGCTCATGCGGTGAGTGCAGCAGCTGCGCCGCACCGCACTCTGCGCTGCCTAGCTGAGCTGGGCCGTGCAGCTACCGGTCGACGACGAATGTCAATCTGCCGTTCAAGGTGCACCCCATCGTCGACGAGGTCTCGAAGAGCCGCGTCGAGTACAACATCAACCTCAAGGCCAACTTTGACGCCAAGCTCAGCGGCTCGAACATCGTGCTGCGCATCCCCACGCCGCTCAACACGACGAATGTCAAGTGCCAGGTGCTGCTCGGCAAGGCCAAGTACGTGCCCGCAGACAACCTGATCGTGTGGAAGTGAGTCGCGCCCCGCTGCCTGTGCCGCCTGTCTGCACCTGACGTTGCGCTGCGCAGGATCCCCAAGATGCAGGGCATGACCGAGGTGACGCTGCAGGCCGACCTTGAGCGCAGCGCCACCACTACGCAGAAGACATGGAGCCGCGCACCGATCGAAGTCGACTTCCAGGTGCTCATGTTCACCGCGTCAGGGCTGCTCGTGCGCTTCCTGAAGGTGCGTGTCGCTCAAGCGCGGCTCGGGCAACAAAGCTGACCTCTGAGCACCCACCTCCGCGCTGTCCGATCCACAGGTCTTTGAGAAGAGCAATTGTGCGTGATGCCATGATGACTGTCACACCGCGCCCCGAGCTGACCCGCATCAACGAGCAGACCAAAGCGTGAAATGGGTGCGCTATCTCACCCGGGCGCAGGGCACGTATGCCGTGCGCTTCTGAGCTGTGACCGCATGCCGCACAGCGCCCAGATATGCGTCCCCTGCCAGCGCCAGTTGTACGCGCACGCAAGACCATAATACACTGCTTCTTCCCGGCGCCGCTGGAGGAGGACCGGGCAGGCGTCCACACCCCAGCACCTTCGGGTGGGCGCCCGCGCGTACACAATCGAACGGCACAGCGCCCGCATTCACGCAGAGCACAATGCATGGCAAGCAGCAGACTTGCGCTGCGCTGGCTCTGGCGTTCTGCTGCTCAGTCATCTCGCGCGGCAGCAATGGCGAATGCACGAGATGAAAACGGGCGAAGTCCAGTCGAGCGTAGAGCGCTACCTGCATCATCTGCCGTTGCCGCTGCCGCGCGCGCCGCAGCCGTTTGCTGATGCGCCGCACCTCGTGTGCCGAGGCGCCGCCCCGCACCCCTCTCTCCTCACCCACCAGCACCCCCGCCGCAGTTACCGACGCCTCTTCACTGCCTGCCCGGTCGGGCCGGCCACACCTGCCACGCGGCGCTCAGGTGCGAGTCGTATCACAGATCCGTCGTGTCTGGACTGACGCCTGCCGCGATGTCAATTCAGCGTGACTGCGCTGGTCTGCGCCGATCTCCCTCCACACGCCCCGCGCGGCGCATCAACCTCACGCGGCGCAAACTGGAGACGCAGGAGCACGCGGTCAGTCATGCAGCAGCATCCTGCCCGATGAACAGCATCCTCTGACGATCTCTGGCTTCCCTGGCATGCAGGAGTTCGCCCGAGTCTTGCACTGCAGCAGGAGACGTCCGCAAGCTCCTGCGTCCCGTCGTCGAGTGCACCAGCTGCGAGCCGCGCGCGCCGATGTGGCACAGCCCGCTCTCCCACCATGGCTCCGCAGCAAATTGTCACGTGCCTCGTCGACGATGCAGCCCTGATGATAGCGAGGCCATCGTCGTTCCGCGAGATCGCCCGCTCACGGGAGCCGTCCCGCTTCTTCGATGACCTGCGGGAAGGGCCAGTGCAGCAGCCGGACGGCGCAGACACCGAGAGCGGCCTCGACCTCCTCGAGCCCTGGGTCATCAGTCCCGGTGAGCGCAAGCCTTTCTCCCTCCGTCGCGTTCGAACGTTCTTCGCCCGCGTCGCCGAGAATTCCGTCTCAGAAGCGAAGGAGAGTACAATCCGGCGGAGCGAGACGCGCAACATGACGCAGCAGCCAGGCACGAATGAAACGGCCTCTAGACCAGAGAAGCAACTCAAGACGACGCACTCGAAGGCGTCAGATCTGGCGTCCCGCGGCAGCGATGTGCCTGAGCAATCATCGCGTGACTCTGACGCCTCAAATCAGCGAGCGTCTGCCGCCTCGGCAGTCGTCGCGCCGTGGCGGAGGCGTTGGGCATCTCTGAAAGTGTGCGAAGCACGCATGCTTCCCGACGAAGCGCCTTTTGCCGCGACACGAACTCACGGGCCGACGCCCTTGTGGCCTTTGCTCCATCAACTCGGAGCGCGAGCGCTCGATGCTTTGCTCGCACCAGAGGCGAGTCGCCACACGCCGACGCCTCCATCGCCGATCCGTGCCGCGACGTTCCCGGAGCGTCTGTGGGAAGAAATGGGACTGGACACGCCGAACTTCAATCCGAAGCTGCGGCCTCCTCCAAGCGGTCGTATCAGGCATCACGATCTGGATGAGCACGAGTTCCAGAGGCTCAACGAGGAGGGCCTGTTCCGCATGGTCACCGCGCTCTGTATGACGTCCATCACCCAGAGCCAGGGCGACACAGCGATGCTGTTCTGGGTCGGCGAGAGAGACTTTACGCGACTCGTGTCTCTCTTTCCCGAGCTCAAGGAACTCGGGGCCGTCGAGCGAGCCCTCGCAGACGGGCGTCGCTGCGTCGACATCTTCCAACACGTGCCTAGCATCGCAGCGCAGCGACCATCAAGTCAGGGCGGACTTCTACTGCATTTACCGTAGGTCACCGTCCGCATCAGGCTCTGGTCAACAGCTGACCAGCGGTGTTGCTCTGTCAGGTCCGCCCGTCGACGCAAAAGACCGCACCGCTCGCGTTGCGGCCGTCGTCCAGATGAAGCCCTTCGTCCAGCTCTGCTTCGCAGCGTATGCGCTGCTCTGCCACGGACCCGCTTCGATCAAGCAGGCGCCGATGCTCGAGTCAAGCCGAGGCTGGGGGGAAAAGTCTCACGACCTCCTCGACCAACTGTCGCGTCAAATGGCCGTCACTGCACCCCGGTTAGCGTGCTGCTCACAAGCAACGCTGTCATCGCTCTGGAGCGCGACTGTGCAGACGGCATGCTGGACGCTGCCGAGCCGAAGGCGAACATCCACGTTCACAAGGCGGTATGCGCCCTCGAGGTCTCCGACCAGCTTGCCGCCGCCGACGATAACATTCGTCAAGCTGCACTGCCGCACTGTCCTGCAGCTACGTCGCCGCATCAAGGCTGCTCGCAACATGCATTCACCGTCGACTCGTCCTGCAACATCGTCGCCCACATCTTAGCCCTCAGCCTTCGCGCCGTCGAGCTGCTGAACGAGAAAGTGCACATCGCGCCGTTCTGGCCCCCCATGGATTCCGAGGCACGGTCGCCCGAGCTCGACCCGCAACCTCTCGATGCGGACGAGAACAGCGGAGACGCGCGACCGCCTCCGACCGCGGATCCAGATGGAGATGGCGCGCCGCACATTGCTGAGCAAGGCGATCAAAAAGGCCCCGACCGCGCGCTCGCACGGGCTACCGGCCCAGCGTCGCCCGCGATCGAGCCCGCGCCGGACGCCCCAGCTTATGGCGGTCGGCGCTTCCTGCTGTGTCGCGGAGTAGAAGCAGCGAGGGGACGCTTCGCCGTCGCTCACGTCGGCTGCATCGTCTCGGGGCCGGCACTCATCTCTAGCGAGCCGCCGGCGTGGTGTCCCAGTCTGTCGTACCGAGAGACAGAGGATGTGATAGCTGCGGGTGGGCGGCTTGGGGCCAACGGGCGCTGCGCCTTGCCAGGTCACGAGCCGTGCATCGCGAAGTACGATCGAGATGCGGGCGAGGCGTACATGGGTGATGCCACGCTGTTAGCGATGGCGGGACTGGAGGACGGGCCCGCGCGCGAGGCAGTTGTGGTGCGACAGTTGCCACCGCATGTGCTCGCAGAGTCTGTCGCTCCACTGCTGGGAGTTTTCCGCGGCGGCAAGACCTTCTTCGCCTTCGCTGACGCCGGCTGCTCTGTGAGTAAGACGGCGATGCATTTGCCGCTGCTATGCTCAGTGTCGTCCCAACAGCTTGCCGTTGAAGATCTGCTGGATGTGCTGGGATTTACCTGCTCCGAGGCACGTCAACTCGTCACAGAGGTGCAGCGGTGCTTCGCAGCGCTGCATCAAAGCGGCTGGTGCCATGGCGATGTCGCTCTCCGCAACATTTGCGTGCGCATCAACGACCTCAAACCGGCGCCACTTCATGACGCAGACTCGACGCGCGTACGAGCATCAACGCCGCGCAACGCTCCGGCAGCTAAACGGTCGGGACAGCATCAGGTCGGGAAGCTGTTGACGCCTCCGACCTGTCCTAGCTTCAGCGGCTCTGCATCTCCCGCGAAGCACGGCGTCAACCCGCGAGACGTAACTGTCACGCCTCCGTCCACCATCTCGAGCAGATCTGCGCGGAGCAGCGGCAGCGAATCCTCCTCGAGCGGCGGAGTCAGTCGCAAGCCTATCGTTCGCCTCGTGGACCTCGCTCGGGCCAAATGCTACAGCGATGCAGAGCTGCCGCAGCACGTCGCCGAAGAGGACATGCTCGTTGAGGGCCTGTTGAGCAGCCTGTGGAAGGAGCTGGGCACGGCGCACCAGAGACTTCATCCTGAAGCGCAGTGGCCGTCGAGGTGGGAGGAGCAGCTCTAATCAGATGACATTGATCGTGCGCGTGCTGGTGCCGGCGCCTGGTCGAGCCGCCCGCGCGTCCAGAATGCTCTCCTCACGCTCTCTCACGGCGCGAAGGCGCTCCTCGTCGACGGTGCGCTCGACTTCAGCCGACAGGCGAGCGCGCTCTTGCGCCATGTCGTGTCGGAGTGTCTCGTGCGAGCTGTCGCGCCAAGCGGCGGCGTAGAACGCGGCCTTTCTGAGCGTCTCGGGTATTGCCTGCGCAATGTCGGAGAAGACGAGCTCGACGCGAGACGGTCCTTCGCTGCTCACTCCCGGAAACAGCAACGCCTGAGCGCCGTCGATGAGGGAGAGGAGATGAGCAGCGGGCTGCGTACGCCGTGGGAAGCATCAGTGACACACGAAGGCGAGCGTAGCACTTCTGCCCACCACGCACCTCGGTTCCTGCGAGCGTCAATGCGCCCAGCACTCGCATTCCGGCTCCGTGCGCGTCCGCGATGACTTCCCTCGCGCTTGGCCCACGGCTGTGCACGAAGAAGGGCGCGGCACGAGCAAGCGTTGTGCGCACAGTGGCCAGGTAGGATGCTGCTTCGCGGCTGAGCAGATCTTCGATATTGCTGGACTGCTGCCCTGATCGAGGCAATTCGTCCAGCGGCAGGGAAGCCTCTAGCGGCGGAGGGCTGTGTGACGGGACTGTGACTTGTGTTGGCGGCATGATCACGTCCGAGAGCGAGCGCAGCTCCAGCGTCTTGAGAAGATGCACGTAGATCAGCACCACCGCCAGGAGATTGGCGTGCAGTCTCGATCCGAGCGCTCGGCCATCCGTTTGCAGAGGAGCCAAAGCGGCCTTGAACGAAGCAGAGAGCTCCAGAGGGTGGCCTTCCCACCAGGGCGTCGCCGCTTCGTCCGCTGCGTGGTCTCCCGAGCTGAGATACTCGGAGAATGCCGCACGCTGGGCCGGCGTCAGGCGTCTCAGAAGCTCGGCGGGAGAGGCAGTGTCTGCGATGGGCAGGTGAGCACATAGACCCGCAGAGCTGAAGGCGAGCCAGCCACCACGCACCAAGAGTCAGCGCATCGATGTGCAGCGCCCCGTCATCAGCGTGGACATCAGAGACTGACGCAGGGCTGCCTTCCTCCTCGCCGTCGCCATCGCCGCGCTCGTCTGCCGCACCCGAGCGGTATCTGACCAGCAAATCAGCAATGTCTCGCCTCTCCTGCTCGCTCGCGCCGGGCGCATCGCCTTCTTGAGCGTCGGACTCGAGGAGACGCTGGGTGAATAGCTGAGAGCAGCTGGCGTGCGTTGTGCTTCTGTAGCATCGAAGCGAGCAATACGGCGCTTGACACGATGGACAGGTGTAGCGAGCCTCCTCCTGGCGGCATCTGGTGGCCGATTGAGAGAAGATCGAGCGAGGCGAAGGATGCACGCTACTCACATGGCACAGCGCTCGCCGACTGCGCGGGAGGAGGACGCCTCGCCTTGACCCTCTGGGTCGCTCGCAGCAGCGAAGCGCCGATTGTGCGCAGCGGAGCGCCGAATGCTCAACAGCGCCTCCATCGCGTGTGTCGTCGCGCGCGCCGTCGCAGTGCGGTGAGGAACGGGCACGAGCGATCACTGAACGCGAGAGGGCCAGCGCGCTAAGCAGGAGAGGGCGGGGCTCGCTGGCGTCCGGTGCTGAGCGTGAATGGCCTACGAGGCATGCTCGAGACAAGCTGAGACGTCGGAGCTCTGCACGGCTGAGTGCAGGTCGGGGGATGAGGGCAGGTCGGGGGATGACATGGTAGTGAAGAGGGAAGGGCGAGCCGAGCCGCGGCGGGCGCGGCGATCCTCAGGGCAGGTGCAGGTGGAGGTGCTGACTAAGCACGCGCGGCGGCGCGCGTCGGCTCAATTCCGCGGGAGTCGCGCGACGCGCTGCCGCCCCCTTTCTGCTGCGCGCCGCGCGCCGCGCTGCCGCCGACCCGCTGCCGCCTCTGGCGGCTCCACAGTCGGCCCAGCAGCGCTGCAGCATCAGCGCTACGCTGCGGTAGCCGTAGATTGCTCCATCTGGTGCCACAGACGAGCGCTGACAGCGTAGCAGGGCAGGATGCTCCACCTGTGAGCCTTGCGGGCACGTTCTTGCTGGATCGCTCGCGGCACAGAGCGAGCTGAGAGCGTGTAGCCGGTAAGAGACAGCATCGAGTGTGTCTTCGCTCTGGTGCGGCATCGCAATGCCGAGGCGCATGATCTCTCACATGCAGCGCGTCAGACCCGTATCCAGCGGTCCAGTGCTTGACAGAGCGTCGTACAGGCAATGCTGCTGTGCGCTGCAAGTGGCGGTCCACGCAATGCATACAAGGCGGACATCGCCGATGGATGGCTGCGACGCATGTGACTGACACTCATGACCTCGACCTGCCTCTCGATCCATCATGTGCAGCCCGCACGGTCGTGCTGTCTCGAGTCGACCGTTTGCGCAGGGTTGCTGCTACAGAAGCGACTGCTCTGTCCGGCCGGCTCGGTGCAGGTGTCGCGCGCACGGCGGCGCGGACGACAATGATGCACATTGCGCGCAGATAATCAGCAGGCTCGCTCGCGCCCTGCAACACGCCGTGGCCGCCCATTTACGGCCGCGTCGGATCGTTTTTGATGCGCGCGCCGCCTAATACAGGCGACTGAGCGCCCACGGCTGCCTGCTCGCCGGCAGAAACAGATCTTGCGATGCTTCGATGCCCGTGAACATCAGCAGAGAAGCGCAGCTGGACTCGCGGAACTGCGTCGGAGGCACAGCAGACAGTCTGCCGGCTGTGCACACCAGCGTCGCATGCCTGCATGTCTGCTGCAGGACGACAGGACGCCACAGCCACACTGGGTCCCACACTGCGCGCGCAGACATCGAGGAGCGGCCGGCTGACGAGCACGCCAGACCATCCCCGTACGTGGCGACAGTCTGCAGCAGTGCAAGTGACATTCAGTAGGCAAGCCCGGGGTATGTGTGGTGGGCAGAGGGGTTCTAGACGTGCTGCACGCGCTGCAGGTAGGCACCGCGAGCATCACGGCAGCCAGACGCACACCCTGCAGTCCGAGCCCGTGGTCGCGAGCGCGTTGACGCGCGACGCGCCGGCAGTCGAGGCCTCGCCGTCTGGGCGCGGGCCGGCGTCCGGCTTCGCGCGAGCCCACGCCACGCTCGTCACTATGGGGAAGCGGTCAGCTCGAGCGCACAGCAGCTGGTGCGATCAGCCGACTCACAGAAGCGCGACCGGCCCAGTTCGTCGTGCGGGTTGTCGACGGTGCGGTAACACCGCCCACCGGAGCCAAGATCCCACACGCGCATGCGCCCGTCGTCGGCGCACGAGATCAGGTGGCGGCCGCTGAAGCGGCGGATGTCAGCACAGCGCTTCGGCGGCTGCACGGGCCAGCGCACGCACCTTGGGGCCCATACGAGACCGCGGATCCAGCCATCGTGCCCGAGCTGGAGGGGCGGTCAGAGTGACACTGCAAGACTGACTGCAGCGCACACGCACCAGCTTCTTGATCGTCTGGCCCGTGGCCGTGTCCCAGATGACGACCGTCTTCTCGCGATCGCCAGACGCTGCAAACTGGCCAGGTGCGGCGTCGGCCGACTTGGCCAGGCCGCCGAGAGTGCGCAGCGCCGGGTAGGCAGATGGCGGTGCCAGTGCGACGGCGTCGACGACGTGCTCGTGCTCGCGACTCTCGCTCTTCATCTTGCCAGTGGTCAGATCCCACGCCTTTGCCAGCTGTGGACCACGTCACGCGTCGTCAGTGCACTGTCAGGAGGTGGAGGCAGGTGCACACACGTGATCGTCGCCGCCGGTGAGCAGAGTTTTGCCATCCTCGGACAAGGAGATGCACTTGATCCATGCGCCGGTCTGGAGCGTGCGAATGCAGAACCTGTGGCGTGCGCTGGTCAGACCGCCGCTCACGCATGCGCACAGTCGGGTCGTCCGCCGCCTTGATGCAGCGCGCACTCACCCAGTAGACACCTCCCAGATCCGGATCGTTTGGTCGCGGCTCGCAGACACCAGCTGCGCACCCCCGGGCACGAAGCGCACTGCCGACACCACATGCTCGTGCCCCGCCAGCGTCTTGACGCACTTCCACTGATTGTTGCCGTCCCAGAGCTTGATCTGCGTATCTGCCGAGCACGACGCTGGCCACACATCGAGTCAGCACACGATGTTGACGCACTACGGGCGATGGGCGTTGCTCCGGTACGGTCGTGGTGCTCTAGCCTCTGTGCGGCCACCGTGTGCAACTCACCGATGCGCTCGCCCTTCCCGTCAAAGTCGACGTCCTTGACGCTCTGCGTGTGCCCCTTGAGCGTCGCCTCGCACTCGCCGGTCGTCCAGTCCCAGACCTTGACGTCACAGTCGTCGCTCGCCGTTGCAAGCACGCTGAACGTCGGGTGGAAGACGACGGACATGACCTGCTTGCGGTGGCCTTCTAGAATGCGCGCCGGCGCGTCCGATGGAATCCAGTCGGCGTCCGACGTGAGGCGCCGCCCAGTCGGCGCACTCTTGAGTTCCGCCTCGAGCTGGGCGATGCGGTGTTCCGAAGCCAGCACCTGGTCCAGGCGCGTTGGGGGTGAGCCAAGGTCGGGTGCGGTGCAGCGAGATTCCAGCAGTGCTCACCTTCTTCTGCAGCCGCACGGTGCCGGTCCATTTCTTCTCGAGCAGGCCCTGGATCTTCGCGCTCGTAGATCCCGGCTCGAAGTCGGGCAGGTCTGCGTCCTGTCTCAGAGCATCGTACGCAGACTCGAAGCCTTGCCGATGCAGGTAGTCGAGTAGCGCACAGTGTCTGTGCTTCAAGCGTCAGCCGCGGTGCGAATGGGCAGCGCCGGAGACAACGCACAGCTCTTGCCTCTGAGAGTTTGTCAGGCTGGACAGTGCAGCAGGCGCCGACATCGCACGGTCGCCGCGCAGCCAACGAAGCTGAGCGCGGTCGGCGGCGGTCGAATCGAGGACTGCCGGGGAACGAAAACTGCGTTGCCTCTCTAGACGTTGCCGCGAGCGAGCAAGTTGCGGCTCGCTGTAGTCGGCGGGGCCAGCACAGTACGAGCAGCGCTCGAGAAGGGTGGAAGGGGCGACGAGGGCAGCTGCTCAGGCGGTTGGAGGGACTGTGCGGTTGGGCGCCGCACTGTGGAGCCGGCGTGTATGCGTGCGCTGCGGGTGCTAGCACGAGCAAGCAGGCCGAGTAGGAGGGCGCGAGTGCGTGCGGGAACGCAAGTGGGATAAGACGCTGAGTGCGCTGTGTCGTGCGAGGACGCCGGGCTGCGTCGGGCGTGGTGGCGAGAGGGGGAAGGGAAGGAGCAGGGGCAGCGAGCGGCGCGGCGATGTTCGCGCGCGGCGGCGCGGCGTGCGCGCCGCATCCCGCGGTATCACGCGGCCGGGCGGCACACAACAACGCACGCGCCCGTGCGAGCACCGCCAGCTGGCGCAGGGAAGGGCTGCGCATCCGAAAGAACAAGCATGGCCGTCGGACGGCATGGCGGCAATGCGAGACCGATCTGCGCGAGATGAGCAGATGATCCTCAGCCGACGCAGACGGGGCGGGTCGTGCGCACGCCCACTCGTCAGGCAGCTCTGGCCCGTCGCGTGCTTCACGCGCCGGCAAAGCGCGTGCGTGCCGGCCGCCAGCCCCGGCGGACCCAGCTCATCTCCGCTGCCGTATCTAGCTAGGCAAGAACGAAGAGCGAGACAAGCAGCATGATGAGGGTAAAAGCAAGAGCGTGATTTTGGCCTCATCCGGGGAGGCTCTTATTGTCTCTTGAGCGCTCCGTGAGCGTGGGAGAGAGGCTGGTTGGTGCACAGACGCGAGATGCAGCTGCCAGCTCGACCGCCGCGCGGCGGACTGGAGCGGCGGCCTTGGCAGCGCGCAGCAGCACGCCCCAGCACCGTCAGCTCCTCCACTCGACTCGCGCCGTACGCCTCTCCATCACCTCCTCCCGCTCGCATTGGCTGCGTCTGGCGCGCAGCGCAGCCCTGGCTCTCACAGCAGACGGTCTGCGCCGCGCATCCAGCATCTCGCCGCCCACCAACGCAAGCACGCGGCAACAGAGCCTGTGCGCGCTGCTTCCCGCAGCCTGGCGCCCCCGTGCGTCGGCCGGGTGCTCCGGCCTGGTGCCCCGGCCAGAGCGCAGCCGCGTGCACTGCGGAGCCATCCTCTAGCGGTCGGCGCTGCCTCGGACCTGTTCGTCGCACTACGAGCTACCCGCGGCTGACTGGCTTGGGCGGGCCCCGGCCGGGCCTTGGCGCGACCGCCGACACGATCTGCTGCGATGCCCAGGCGCACCGATGCCATCGGCCCCGACAGTGAGTTGCGCTCAATCTCGCAGCTGTGATGTGACTGACAGTGCGCTGTGTCAGACACCTTGCGTCCGCCAGCGGCGGCACCGCGCCGGCCCACGTCCCGCACCCGTCTCTACTCTCTCGCCGATGCAGGCTCGTCGTCCTCCCTGGTCGGCGCAGGGGCGTCGGCAGCCTCGACTGGCGGCCCGAATGATCCGGCCGATGCTGCATTGCGCACACGGCCAGCACTGAGTCCGCCCGACAACATGCAGCGACAGCGAGAAGAAGCCAAGAAGCGCAAAGCGCAGACCAAACGGCGCAAGGATGCTGCTGCTGCTACTGCTGTCCAATCGGGGGCAGGGCCAAGCGGAGCCGGTGCGGAGCAGGATCGGCCAAGTAGCAGCCAGGCGGGTCGTCTGGAGACTCTTGCAGCCGCCGCCCTGCTTCCTCAGACTGCGCAGGCTCAGCCGCGTCGCCGCCGTGTTCGTCACACGACCGAGCCAGCAGCGCGGCCAGACGCCGCGCCCGACGTGCTGCGGGCGGATGCGCGGTCCTCGCAGCCTTCAAGTGCCCCAGCCTCGGGCCTATCCTCAGTCTTGGTGTCCAGGCAGCAGACTGCGCAGGCACCGGAGAGCAGTGCCGCCGCGAGAGCTGCTGCTGATGCGGCTGCCGCAGCCGAGATCGCTGCCGTGGCTGCCGAGATGGCCTCGCGGCCGCGCACCGATATATACTCTGCGGACTTCCTCGGCGGCGCACCGGGCGCCGAGATGCTGCTCGACGCGGAAGAAGACCAACCGCCGCCCTTTCCCGAGGGTGCCACGCGGCCGCTGACTCCACCCGGGCCGCCGGGCACTCCCGAAGGACCCGGGGGAAGCTGGAGCGCCAGGCAGCTGCGCGAGCAAGAAGAGGCAGAGTCTCGAAGAGTGCCCGACAGTCCTCCGCCGCCCTTCCGCTCCGACGAAGAGAGCGACGACGCGGAAGAGCAGACGGCTGCTGCGCCGAGCGCCTGGGAGCAAGATCTCCGAGACGGCCTTCCTTTCGACGACCGGCTTCAGCGAGAGCTCGCGCGTCGCGGCGCCGAGCTTGCTCCCGCGTCTGATGAGGAGGACAGCGCACAAGACGAGCTCGTTTCCGATGATGCCGAGGCGGCAGCGCGCTTCGCAGAAAGCGTCGGCACGCCTGACTCGCGGCGTTCCAACCTGGTGGCCACATCGCAAGTCGACGAGGCAGAACGAGATGAGGCGGCTGCTTCTGCGGAGGCGCCTGTCGCAGGCGCTGTGGACCCGGCCGCTCACTCCGCTGCGCCATCGGACGTGAACCGGGTGCCATCGCCGCCCGCGAGCGAGGTTCATGCTTCAGAGAGCGCATCGCGGGCGCAAGATGCTCCGAGCGTGATCGCCGCGGCGCCCGACATCAATCTGGGCGCCTTGGTGGTGGAGGCGAGGCGGCGGCGGCAGCTGCAAGCATCCGACGAGTCCCTTGATAGGGAGCAAGAGCCGGTGGACGCGAGCGCAGCCTCGGCCGTCGCAGCAATCTCTGCAACGTCCGCGACTGTGCCCACATCCTCGTCGTCGCGATCGCAAATAGGCAAGGGCACCCCAGTCAGCACGACACGACACGGATCAGACCCTCCCTCTGAGCAGACAGACCCCTCGGACCGCGCGATGTTACCTCACTCGGCGCCGGGACCGCCTTCCGGGACAAGTCGCGTGAACTCGCGCCAGCCGATCTCTTCGCCGCCTGCAACAGGTCAGCCACCGCCGCGCGTCCTCTCAGATGCCGGCAAGCCTCGGCAGCAAGCATCTCGCGCAGCACAAAGGAAGCCGCAAGATCGTCCTCAGCCCGCTTCCCGCCCTCTGGCAAGTAGCAGCTCATCCGCGCGGGGCGGCATCACACGCATTAGGCCCCGGCCGCCGAGCGAGTCGCATTCTCGCTTTCGCGACGATGCAGCAGCAGCTGCACAGCGACGGAGCGCTCTTTGGGCTGATCGAGCCACAAGTTCAACGCCGCATACGCTGGCACAGGCGCCAGTAATGCCCGCCATCGCCAGCGCTCAGGTCGAATCCTCTCGCAAGCAAGTCGAAGAGGAGGAGAGCTCGGTATCGACGCGAAGCACGACATCGCAGTCTGAGGCCTCAGACTCTGACGATTCGGAAGCTGCTTGGGAAGAAGAACACAGAGCTCTTGCAGCACTCCGTAGCGCTGAGCGTCGACCCGCGTCGCCGATGAGCAGCGCCGACGAAGCACCGCCTCTCGACCGTGTGCCTGGCAGCTGGCGCCCATCAGCAAGCGAAGAACGCCAGCGTAGCGAGCAGACCTCGGACCGGCGCTCGATCATGCGTGCCGGCAATCTGGCCGCAGGGACGAGTCCTTCGAGCACCGAGGAGACTAGCGACAGTCCCTCACAAAGTGGCACCGGCCGCCCTCGACTGCACGATCGAGCGAGCGCTTCAACTGCAGGCTCAGCGACTCTTGCTCCCGAGATCCGGTCTGCTTTACGTGCTCGCGCTGCGTTATTGAGCGACTCTGCTGATGAGAACGTGCGGCCCGGCTGCGGCGATGCCACGTCTCAACTGCTCAGCGGTGCGGCGGACAGTGAGACGAGACTTGCGGGAGCGGACAAGGGCAAGGCGCCGGTGCGGCCTGTCGACTGGCTGCTGTCACCGAGCGCCACGGACGCCCGGCCTCGAGCCGGCAGTATCAGCCCCACAAGAGATCAAGCGCAGCCAGAGCCCGACCGCGCTGGCACTTTCGTCGAATTTGACGGCAGCAGTGACTCCTTCGCTTCCTCAAGCGAGGACGATCCTGACCGAACGGTCCTAGATACGCGGCCGCGACCTTCTTCACCTGCTGCGACGGAGGCTCAAGTAGTCCCGCAGGATCGCCCAGCGGTGAATTACCGCCTCAAAGTCCTCTTCGCAACGACTCTCTCCGCTCCAAGCGCCACAGAGGCTGCTACGCACCACGCGGACGCTCTGGTTCGTCCCTCGCGCGATGCGCAGGGAGGCCGAAGTCCAGAGCCAGAGCACTGGGCGCCAAAGCCTGCGGCGCTTCCGCCTCGTCCGGCGCAGATGTCTGCCGTGACTCATCGTGAACATCAGCTTCGAGCACAGGCTTTGACAGACATCTCGCGCCTGCGATCATCATCGAGCACGGGGCAAGATTCACTTTCAGCTCTGGAGGCCCTGCTGCAGCGCGGTCTCGGCCATGGGCACGCTGTGCCGTCTTCTCTCGATTCGAATCCCATGTCCGGCAACGAGCCTGCAGCGCGCAACATCCGCCCAGCCAGCTTCGTGAACCCGCGCTCAAGTATGGCACCCCGGCCGCTGGGACGTCTTCCTACGATCACAGCCGCCACGCGGCACTTCGCGCCCTCGAGCCAGCGCGGCGGAACTGAGGCGCATGAGAGCGCTTCACCGCAGCGCGGGACACTTGAGAGCGCCAGGGATGTCGAGCTGCTAGATCCAATTCCCGCGAGGGAGCGAACAGCGTTGCCGGCGCCCCTCGTGCCGTCGCGGCCGAGGACGAACGTCTCGGCGATGGTCTCACGCTTCGAAGGAGCTTCGCTGGCTGGCGACCCGCGCGCTGAAGGCACATGGATTCGCCCGCCACAAACGTCATCGCATGCAACAACGGCACACGACACGACGGACCAGGAACTTGATCGGCGCGTGAGCAAACTCAGAAGAAGGCCGCCGCCGCCCCCACCTCGAGGAGCACCTCCGTCCCGAGCATCTGCGGCGGCCGCACGTGGCCTCGCGGCTCAGGATAGTCGGACGACGGCGGCAGAGCATGACGATGGCGTCAGCCCCACGTCAAAGTCTCCACGTACGCAGACCCTGGAGCTGCTGACAAATGGCGACTCGCGCATGCCGCGCTCACCCTTTCTCCCGCCGGAGGACGCATCGCGCGTCACCGCATCGCTGGCTGCCGGCCTAGCTGCCTCATCTCGCCGCAGTGCAACCTCGGCAGCTGGCAGCTGTCCACGGCCTTTGCCTGGCCTTCCTGTTGCGCAGTCCACAAGCTCTGCATTGAGCGCCGCTGAGCTCAGCGCCGCACATGAGCGAGGCACGCTCGCAGGCATGTCTCCGCGGCGCGCTCGGCCACTGCCTGTGCCGCCTTCTGCTCCGAGCGCCGCAAGTCCGCCTCCTGCTTCCGCCTTCGTCTCGCCCTCGAGCAGTGCCGCCAGCCAATCTGTCTCGGTCGAGCCACATCTGCGTGACAGAACGCCTGTTCGTGCCGATCGTTCTCGCGCCAATGACGATGCTGCGTCAGACGGAGGCTCCGCTCGGCACCTAGGCAATGGTCAGATGCGGCATTCTCCCACGACGCCGGAGCCCTCGGGCCGGCTTGGCAGCGACGACCATCCTGTTGGCGAAGTAACCGACCCGGGGCAACAGCAAGCTGCACCGGCACGGCAAGGCTCGGTCGAGTTCACCGACTTGGACCTGCTGGCCTCTAGGCTCGAGCTCGAGGGGGCTCACTACGACGAGCTCGCTGCCATCGCGGAATTCATCGGTCCGGCCAAGGAGACGCGCGCATCTGCCGAAGACCTCGCCAACGTGGGTGTTGGTGTGGTCGAGCTGCTGAGCAGGCGGGTGAACAAGGAGGGCAAGGTCAAGCAGAAGCTCGGAGTCGCCGGCATCCGCGTGGAGAAGTGCGGCATCTGCCTTGCGCAGTTCCGAGATGCGCAGAGGTGAGTCAGATGCTGCGCTCACGCGCCCGATCCAGGTCCGCTGACATCGGACTGCTTCAGAGCCTGCATCTTCCCTTGCCTGCACATGTGAGTTCCGACGCACCGCCGCAGCCCGATGGGCGACGCTCGCTCAGATGCGCGCGCACGCTGACGCTCACTCCACACAGCTTCCATGAAGCGTGCGCGACGATGCTGCTCCGCAACGCTCGCACGTGTCCGGCGTGCCGACAGCCGATCGGCGCCTCTTGACACAGTCCGGCATGTGGAACGACGAACACGCTGCTGGCGCTGTGACGCACGGAGCCGGACGAGGCCTGCATTGAGTATTGCACAGCCTGCGTGTCGAGGGTGGTGCGGGCGCAGCGCGGTGATGCCATCTAATGCGACGTCAGTGTATCATTGATGAGGACGAACAGTGTGAAGGGGGCCGCGCACGGAGTCGATGGCGACATCAAGACAGGGAATACTGCGGAAGCATGTGGTTGTGAGAAGAGCCTTGCCGGCGCGGGCGTGCTTTTTGCTCACCTTTGGTCCGCCGCCGCCCTCGGGCACGCGCCACTCGATGCTGGCGTCCGGGACCTTGATGCTGCACGTCTTGCAGTGGATGCAGTTCTGACTGCAGGAGGCAACTTGTCGTCAGCGCCAGGCGTGTCGCACGAGCACGTCTTTCGCCCTTACCTCGAGATCTCGAACCGCTTGCCGAACGCGTGTTCCTTGCCGCCCTCGGCATCGACGTACTCGTACACTGCAGCAGGGCAGGCGCGGCCCAGCAGACCGGCGTACTCGCCGACGTTCGTCTTGGTGTGCCCCTCGTAGTCGCCGCCCTTCACGTGCAGGTGCACGGGCTGGTTCTCGGCATGGTTCGTGCCTGTCCGCGACACGGAGGTGAGGATGTCGAACGAGAGCTTGCCGTCGGGCTTGGGGTAGTCGATCGGAGTGCACTGCGATGCTGGCAGCGTCGCATCGCGGTCCTCGCATGGGTGGTGGAAGGTCCAGGGCGTGCGGCCCTTGAGGATCAGCGAGTCGAGGCCCGAGTAGGCGATGCCGCCCCACAGGCCGAGCGGGTTGTGGAAGGATGGGCGGAGGTTGCGGACCTCCTTGAGCTCCTTCATGACGTAAGAGGCGTCCAGCTTCGTCCGGTAGTCCTCAATGTCGAGCAGATCCTCGGAGCCGGCCTCGCTGCGCTTGCGAAATGCCTCGACCGTGCTCTCGGCCGCGAGCATGCCGCTCTTCATGGCGTTGTGCGTGCCCTTGATCTTGGGCACGTTCAGGAAGCCAGCGGAGCAGCCGAGCAAGGCGCCACCCGGGAAGTGCAGCTTGGGGATTGACTGGTACCCGCCCTCATTCAGCGCGCGGGCGCCGTACGCCTCGCACGTGCCACCCTCAAGCAAATTCGCGAAGAGCGGGTGGTGTTTCATGCGCTGGAACTCGCGGAATGGCGAGAGATACGGGTTCTTGTAGTCGAGGCCCACGACAAGGCCGATGGACACGAGTCCGTCAGCCATGTGGTAGCACCAGCTGCCGCCGTATGTCTTGGCGTCGAGCGGCCAGCCGAGCGTGTGCGTGACGAGACCCGGCTGGTGCTTCTCCGGCGCCACCTTCCACACCTCCTTGATGCCGAGGCCATACGTCTGCGGGTCTGCCCCGACCGCCTCGCGCAGGCCCAGCTCCTTGATCACCTTCTGCGAGAGCGAGCCGTGCGCGCCCTCGGCGAAAAGCGTGATCGGCGCGTGGAACTCCATGCCCGGCTCGAACGTGTCCTTGGGCTGGAAGTTCTTGTCGAGTCCGATGTCGTTGGTGCGCACGCCGCGCACGCCCGTCTTCTTGCCGTCGGCGTCGGTCTGCCAGACAATGTCCGCGCCAGCGAAACCAGGATAGATCTCGACACCGGCTGCCTCGGCCTGCTCGCCCAGCCACGCGGTGACCTGCGAGAGCGAGACGATGTAGTTGCCCTTATTGCTCATCTGCGGCGGGTGCGGCATGGGGAACGACGACGAGGCGGTGAGGAAGCGCATGTGGTCCTCGAGCGCGGGCTGGTGCAGGGGCGCGCCCATCTCCTTCCAGTCGGGGAAGAGCTCGTCGAGCGCGTTTGTCTGGATCACTGCGCCGGACAAAATGTGATTGCCTGCATGGCAAGCGGATCAGCAGAAGCGCGGCGGGTTCAGCGGCGTCGAAGGCCGAGTCGCAGGGCTCTGGCCACACTGCGGCGGCGACGCAGCGCGCTAGCCGTCTCGCAGTCGCCACAGGCACCTCTGCGGCCCGCGCGCCTGCCGGAAAGCTGCCACTCACCCACTTCGGCGCCCTTCTCGAGCAGCACCACGCGGATCTCCTCGCCCTTTGCCTCGGCCAGCTGCTTGATCTTGATGGCGGCACTGAGGCCGGCCGGGCCGCCGCCGACAATGAGCACGTCCGCCTCGTCCTCGACGCGCTCTACGCTGGCGAGATCAAAGGGCGCCTCGGCGTCGTCGACGGGCTGAGCGTTGGAGCGGCGCGCCGAGGCGTGGAGGCGGCGCACAGGTGCCGCACGGGGCGCGGCGGCCGACGAGGCGGCGGCTGCGGCGCGCGAGGAGACGTGGCGGCGCGTGCCGGACGCAGTCGCGAGGCGCGGCAGGGCGCGCGAGGGCACAGCGGCGGCGGCAGTGGCCGAGCGTGCTGCAGCAGCAGGCCGTGCGAGAAGGCGCGGAGCGAGCATGGCGGGCAGACGTGAGATGGTGGTGGGCGAGACGCTCGATGGAGCGCCGGCCGCGGCGCCTGGCAAAGGCGGGTCCCTGGGCGGCTGCAGTGACCGCGCGCGGCCGGCAGCCGACCAATCGCGATGCGCGCATCACGCGGCCGGCATGTCCGCTCGCCGCATGCCGGTGCCATGCGGGTGCGGGGTGTTGCGCTGCCACGCCGCCGCCGCCGTCACTCCGCATTAGCCGACGCGCACGCCGCCTCGCGAGAGCACGATGCTCACCCTCGCCTCGCCTTCCGTCGGCATGCTGCAGAGGAACGAGGCCGCCTGCGGCTCTGCTGCGGCCGCAGCAGGCCCTTCGCGTACAGCAACGGTGGACCTCTCGATCCGCCGCGGCAGGGACCGTGAAAGATGCGCGACTCCCGAATTCCGGCGTCGGCAACGCCGCCATGCCTCAGCACCCCCTGGACAAGGAGAGGTCCATGCTGCGGCAGAGGCAGAGCACCGTTGCCTCGAGGACCACCATGCCGCGTACGGCGCTGCGGTTGGCGCAGCGCCTGCATTGCAGACAGGGACGGCGAACGGAGGTGGCGAAGACGTCGCCTCGAGCCTGCGGCTTGCGCTGCACCCTGACTCCTGTGTCGGCCGAGAGATGATGCTGGAGAGGAAGGCGGCGCCGCGGCCACGCCGCGCGGTTGCGCGTGCTTTCGCTTTCTTCTCACCACAACACAGCACGGACGACAGACGACACGGACAGCCAGCAACGAGCACGCAAGGCAGTAACTGCACGCAAACCGCTGCAGCTGTACATACTGCGCCTCGTCGGATCCCTTCGGGCCATGTCCGCCGGGCCGTCGGTGCCGCGAGGGCTGCGCCTCTTGGGCACGGGTCCTGCCCGTCGCATGGCACACGATGCCGGCGCCAGCAGCAGTCGACCTTTTTTGACGACAACTGCAAGCCGTGCAGGGGCCTCTTGCCGCGCTGCGAAGCACCAATCACTGCTCTCGCAGGCCTGCCCGTCCTCCCGCTCCGTCGGCCCGGCCGCGCTGCGGCACCTGCATGTGGCGCCGGTGCGACAGGCGCACACAAACGCTTTCGTTCCGCCTCACGTCGACTGCGCTCCGGCGCTGGGCCCTGAAGGCGCCACTGTGCCGCTGGCGCCGTACGATGCCGCTCCTCTCGCTGGCTCTGCTCCGGCGCACACCACACATCTCGTCGTCGTGCCCCTGCAGCCTCGCGCGCCAGACCAGTGGCCCTCGCATCTGGCGGCAGCCTCGCCGCTCTACGCCGAGCTCGAGTCACGCTGCCGCGCCGGCGGGAGTCTGGCTGGCTGTCTGCTCTCACTGGCGCACTTCATCGGGCCTGCGCCCTTGCCAGGCGAGCACGACGACGTGGCGACGGCCGATGCCGGGATGGTCGACCCGCCGCTGCGTGCCTGGGACCCGACCGCGAGCCGCTTCTCGCGAGCGCCACCCAGAGCAGAGCAGGAGCTCTATCAGCTGCGGCTGTACCGCGCCGGCAGAATTGCTGTGCTGCCGCCGCTCTCGCTAGACTCGCTAGACAGCCAGCCTCTGCCTCAGCGCATCGAGGATGCATTCGCTGCCTCGCGCCTCCAGACCGCCAAGCAGCGGCGCGATGATGCGGCCGACATCTTCGTGTGTGCACACGGCGCGCGCGACTGTCGATGCGGTGTGGCCGGCGCAGAGGTGATCGAGAGCCTGATCGGCGACATCGTTGCGCAGCGTGAGCAGGTGCGCGTGGAGGGCGGAGCTACGAAGCGCGTGAGGGTCTGGGCCATCAGCCACGTAGGTGGTCACAAGGTGAGTGGCTGCACCAGAGCGGAGTCCGCTGCACACGTGCTGAGAGATGCCGCGCAGTGGGCAGCCAATGCCATCGTTCAGCCGCACGGCGACTGGTACGGCAACCTGCGCAGATTCGACTCGCCGCTGCTCCTGCGCTCCGCGCTCGCCCCTGCCACGAGCTTCCACGATGTGCAGGATCGGCGCGAGCGCCTGGTGCACTGGAGCCGCTGGCGCGGACGACTTGGCCTCAGCGACCAGGAGACGTACGACAAGCGCGACGAGTGGGGCGGTGGAGGAGTGCAGACTGCGTCTTTCGCACCACGAGCACGCGTTGCGCCGGCGCCATTGGACAGCGCCGCGTCCCAAGTGCCGGCGGGTTCCGCTGTCACGCCGCAGGCTGCCGCAGACGTCGAGTCAGCGTCTGGGTCCGGCAAGGACCAGCTGCAGCTGCACTTTGTCTCGTGGGAGGGCGAGTCCTTTGCCGTGTCGGCTGTGGCCGGCGAGACGTTGAAGGATGTCGCCAAGCGCCATGGGCTCCCGAGCATCGAGGCGACGTGCGGAGGTGTCTGTGAGTCTTTGAGCCCGGCCAGCCGTTCTGCAGCTGCTGACCCATGCCTGATAGGCGAGTGTGCCACATGTCACGCCTACATCGCCGCACCGACGGGCGCACAGGATGCCACTTCGGCGCGCGACCGCTTCGCCCTGGATGCAGCGCCGCCAGACGAGGTCCTTGGCGCGGCTGCCGTGCCGAGCGATGCGGAGCTCGACATGCTCGAGTATGCCATCGGACGGCTGGGCAGCAGCCGGCTGTGCTGTCAGGTGCCGGTCAGCGCTGCCCTGGCGAAGTGGATGCAGGACCACGGCGGACGGATCGTGCTGCCACGCTTCTGAGTCCGAACAGGCTGCGTAGCGAATGGCATCCCGTGTGCAAGGAGATCCGAGCTGCAGCTCAGTAGCGGGCAGCGCTGCCCACCCACGTGAGCAGACGTCTGCGTCTGGGAGTGTCAGGCTATGTGTCGTGCCCGCTCAGCCGATGGGCGCTCCGCAGCCGTGCGCCGCGGCAATGCGCGCGCGCGCGCTATTGCGTGACGTCGGCCCGGCGGCGCGGCTAGCGTCCTTGCCTCTTCTCCACCAGCCCTTCACGCCCGACTCTTCTCCACTGTCGCTCTCGCCTGGCTGCTGCGCCACTCCTCCGCCAAGCGCCCCTCACTCACGCACGCAGCGTCTCGCGCCCGTCCGCCCGCGCGCCTCTTGCCCGGCTTGCCGCCGCAGCACGCGCGCAGCATGGCCGACGCCCCGCGCTGCCCACTCGGCTTCACGGGCACGCCGCCCGTCGGGCACCCGACCATTGCCGGCATGTTTGGCAGCTCGGACAGCAAGACGGCCACTCGCAGCGCCGATGCGGCGCCCGGGGCCGCAGCACCGTCGCCGCAGGCACAGACACAGGTGCCCGCCGCGGCCGCGCCGCGCTGGAGCCCCTACACGCTCCTCACGCTCGACGCCCTCTTCCTCGTGGCGTGCGGCGCGCTGGCGTGGTACTGGCCGCAGGTCAAGTCCAGCAGCCTCAACTGGAGCGCGGCGGGTGGGCAGCACGGCCTGGCTGGCTGGTGGTAGCGCGCGAGCAGGGGCGAGAGGACGGCGGTCAGACGACGCAGCGCTGGTGGCGCGCCGCACGACGCTTCGAGGGGAGGGCACCGGCGACTCGGAGGAGCGCGGCTTGGGGACGCTCAGGCGCGGAGGAAACACATTTGTACAACAGCTTTCGCGCGTTAATCGGATCACATTGTATCAGAATGGGCGACAGGATGACGAGAGAGAGAGAGAGAGAGAAGAGAAGTATGTGGGCCGGGTGACGGAGCCGGCAGGCAAGCACTGGCGCGACAGGCAGGCCGCGGGGCGTAGGCGCGGCGTGCTCGGATCAGCAGAGGACAGGACGGTGTAACAAGAATGTGGGGAAGGGCTATCAGACAGGCAAATGTACCGAGAGAGAGAGAGAGAGTCGTGCTTCGGAATGGTGGCAATGGCGTGACGATGCAGGTGCGCCATCAGCTGGCGGCGACGAGCGCGCTGCCCTGCGCGGCGCTGCGGCCGCCCCAGAAGCTCTTGGAGGCCGCCGCCGGACCGACGTCCTTGCGCGTGTTGAGCAGCGAGCTCTCGTTGCGGCGCAGGCCGGGGCGCGGGCTGGTGGGCGTGCTCGGCCGGCTGGCCGGGTTCGACGACGAGGCGAACATGGCCTGATCGTCCGACGCTGGCGCCGCGCCGGCCGGCAGGGCCACGCCGGTGCTCTTCTGCAGCGCCTCGAGAATGCGGCTCACGTCTGTGGCCGAGAGCTGGGTGCGCTTGAGCGTGCGCACCTCCTCGGTCAGCGACGCGTTGGCGACGCTCAGCTGCGACAGCTGCGCGCGCAGGCCGGCGATGATCGAGTCGCGGTCGGAGAGCTCAGACTCGAGCGCAGTGATATGCTCTGCAATGAGCGCAGAGTCAGTATGGTGACGGAAAGAGACCCGTCCGGAACGGCGGCGTGCAGCTCGAAGTTTGGACAGCAGCTCGGCACAACAGCCGCTGGACAGACGCGGACGGGCTCGAGGCACGACTCACCCTTCCTGCGCGTGCGGAAGTTGCGGGCGCTGATCTTGTTGCGCAGCTGACGCTTTTCCTTGGAGCTGAGCTTGCGGTACTCTTCGGGGCTGGGGCGCAGCATCGCCGCGGCGCTCAACGTGCCGCGGCCGCCGGTGTTCGAGCCGAGGTGCGCAAACGAGGCCTTGTCGTCCTCGTCGTCGTCTTCCGACTGGCCGCCGTCGGACGAGTCCTCGGACATTGCGTCGGCGGCGCGGCGGCTCTTGCTGTAGCTGCCGGACGCGTTCGACGAGGGCACGATGGGCGCGCGCGTCACGGTGAAGGGCTCGTGCACGCCGACCGTCGAGCTCTGCTGCGGCAGCGTCGCGAGCGCGGGCGGCGGCAGCACGAGGGAGTGCGGGTCGAGGAACGCCTCGGGCGACGGCGGCGTCGCATCGCGGAACGCCTGGGCGTGGGCGAACGAGGGCGCGGGCGGCGACGGCGCGCGGCGGTAGGGCTCGTAGTTGAGCGTGGGCTGGGCGACGGGTGCGTGCGCCGCGGAAGCCGTCGACGACGACGATGCGACGGGCGCGGCGGCCTTCTTGCTGATCGACGAGTAGTGCTGTGCCACGTACTTCTCGATGATGTGGTCGTCGGCCGACGAGCCGATGCGGCGCAGCTCGGCGGCGAGATAGTAGCGCTGCGCGAGGGTGTGCGAGTCAGTGCGATGGTCCAGCAGCGCCCAGGCAGCGGCACCACTCACGAAGAGCACCTCGGGCGCAGAGCCGGGCGGCGGCGGCGGGCCCGTGGCGCCCGGCGGCGTGCCGGCGACCTGCACGGTGGCCGCCGAGCTGGGCGCCACGGCGGCGCTGCGGCGCGGCGACGGCGCGGGGGCCGGTGCGGCGGCGGCAGCAGCGGCAGCAGCAGGCGGCGCAGACGGCAGCGCCGCCGGTGTCGGGGCCGGCGAGGGCGCAGGGAAGGTGAGGAAGTCGTCGAAGGAGAGCGCAGCCCAGGGCGCGGGCGACGAGGGCGCGGCGGGCACGGCGACGTCGACGGAGGCCATGGCGGCGCGCAGGTGGCGGGTGTGCCGTGTGCGGCAGAGGGTGAGGGTGGAGAGCGGCGCGGCGCGGTGCTGCGGCAGGCACAGCAGTCGAGTGGGTGGTGGTGGTGCGGGAGGAAGATGAGGCTCGGGCGCGCGGTGGAGCACACACAGCACAGCGAGGCGGTCACGCGGTGCTGACGCAGCGCAGCCGCGCGTGATCTGGCGGCCGAGGGGCGCGGCGGCGTCGCGGCGGGCGAGCTGCGCCGGCGGCTCAGCGTCGCCGCACGCGGGCAGCAGCAACAGGCTCACGCCCTCGCTCGGCGCTGCATCTGCCGCCAGTGCCTTGTGCGGCCATCCTCAACAGCGCAGAGATCGGCATCGAGCGTGGTTGCGCCTGCCCGGGCGGCGCCTACGGGAGCGAGAGGCAGGCGCGGCGGCGCTGTCGCGGAGTCTGCGCGGCGGCCGCGGCGGTGCGCGCGGTCAGGGGCTCGCCGGCGGCAGCGGTGTGCCTGCAGGCGCACACAGCAGCGCACCTCGCAGCAGCATGCTCCCGTTGACCTCGAGCCTCTCCTCGCCGGCACCATCCTATGTTCTTGTCCCGCAGATGCGACGGTCGACGGACTGCTGCCGCGGCGCTGCTGAAGCCGCGGGGGTGCAGCGAGGCCCAGCTGCTCGATGCTTCTCAGCTTACGGCCGACGCGCAGCCACGTGTTGATGCGGGTGCGAGATGCATCGCGATGCGCAGCCGGCTGTGCTGCGCACCGGCAGCAGCAGAGCGCCGTCCGCACGCCTCCACACCCTGCCGCTGCCTCTGTCTCCCGCCCTCCTCTTGCCTCCACCCACTCTTTTCTCCTCTCCCCCTCTCGTCGCTGCCCAGCATGGTCAAGGCGTCCGACATCCTCCTCTGCCTCGTCGCCATCCTCTTCCCGCCCGCCGCCGCCGCCTTTGTCGCCGGCTGCTGCTCGTGCGACATGCTCATCAACGTGCGTGGGGGCGATGCGCGGGCAGGAGGGGGGTAGGGGCGCGGCAGAGGAACGGGTGCCGCGTGCAGGAGTGCGAGGGTGCTTGACACTGCACAGCTGTAGAGGGACGACGCCGGACGTGCTGCGAGGCGCTAGACGGTATTGAGCGGCGCTGCGGAGGCGTGCGGCGCTGTCGCCCTGGGACAAGTGCCACCGCGCGGTGTTGTCGCTCGGCGCTGCAGAGCAGTGCTTCACGGCAATGGGGGGTGATGCTGCGGAGCGAGGCTGTCGTGCAGCGCTGCTGTGCGGAGCGAGGCTGTCGTGCAGCGCTGCTGTGCGGCACTGCAGCCCGTTGCTGAGCGGCACGGCCGAGCAGCGATAAGGATGCAGAGCCATGTTGCGGTACCCAACGATACTGCCGCCGAACGGCAGTGGCCGCCGGTGATGTCGTCGTTCGGCAACGTCACTGGCGATGCTGCTGCCGGTGCTACTAGCTGCTGCGACCGCTGCTGCCAGTGTTGATGCTCATGCTACTTCTGCTCTCTCTCCACCACCGCCGCTGACCACTCCCTACAGATCTGTCTCACGCTGCTCGGCTACATTCCCGGCCACATCCACGCCTTCTGGCTGGTCAGTCGTGCCGCCGCCACCGCGGTGTGTGCTTGCGTCTCCAGCTCACCCTGCCGCGCCGCACCCGCAGATCTACAAGCAGATGAAGGCCGAGGAGGAGTTCGGACAGGGCCAGTACATGTACATCGGCTCCGGCCAGTACGTCGCCGTCGACGGCGCCGCGCCCGTCGCGAGTGTGCAGCCGCCCAACGTGAGTGGCGCCACGGTAGCCGAGCAGCTGGGGCCACGTTCTGACATGGTGCTCCACCAGTACGGCGCGGCAGGCAACGTGGCTTAGCGCATGATGCGCGGCGACGCCGGGCATGGGCCCAACTCCGGCAGCAAGGAGACGGTCTCGACTGCATCTGCATCTATTGCCTCAATGCATCTGTCACAGGGAGTCTTGGTCACGGGGGAGACGCGCGTAGTGTTGGGGAGTGTAAGATTGAAGGGGTTGCGCTTCCACAGCGCTGCAGCAAAGCCGCGAAAGCAGGTGATGGCGTGCGGGCCTAGGCATCCTTGACGCTGTCGTCGCGCGAGTCCACGGCCGGGCGGTCCTCGGGCAGCGCGAACTCGGCAGCGTTCCAGGTGCGGCGCTCCAGGACAAAGGGCTCGCCGCGGCGCTTGGCGAGCAGCCACATGAAGCCAATGCGCACGCCCGCCGAGGCGAGGGTGAAGCCCAGCGAGCCGAGCGGCGCAGCAAAGAAGGCCAGCAGCACCGAGTAGTCGTCGCCGCCCACGTAGAGGCCGAGCGGCAGCGCAATGAGCTTGCCGCCCTGCACGGCATCGCGGTAGTAGACGCTGCCCGCAGCGAAGACGGTGAAGAAGCCGCCGCAGCCACCGACGAAGCTATGACAGGAGGGGGTGAGCAACAGGCAGTGAATCACAGGCGCAGGACCACTCACACGTCCAGGCCGTTGAGGAAGTGAAGCGAAGGGATGAGGCCGAGAAGCGTGCCGGGCAGGACGGCAGCGGCGCCAAGATCGGCGATCAGGAACACCTGCAGAATGTCGACGTTGCGCACGGCAAGCACGACGGCGGGCACGTTGATTGCCAGGAGGATCAGACGGCACCACCACAGGTTCACGCGGCCCATGACTGTGCGCCACAGTCAGTGCGCGGCCGACGTGGGCCGCCGAGACCGTAACTCACAGACGTCGTTCTGGATGGTGCTGATCTGGGCACTCTGCAGCGTGTCGTACGCCGAGCTCGTGAGTGCGCCGGCAAGCACGAGCACGAGGCCCTGCACCCAGTTGGGCAGCGTGGCGATGATGTAGAAGAAGTTGCTCGAGCCGTCGTCCTCGGCGGTGACGCCGTCGAAGAGGCCGGCCCACTGCGCAAGCGGGCCCGTCATGCCGACGAGGAAGCAGATGGCAAAGAGCGGCAGTGTGGCCAGGCCGACGGAGAGGTAGAGCGTCTTGTTGTTCTTCGACGCAAAGGTGCGCTGCCAGAAGCCTGTAGAGCCGACGTCAGCGACGGCAAGAGGCGAGCGCGCGGCGCCACGCACCCTGGTTGAACATCTGGCTGAAGATGAGCGCCGCAGGCAGGATGAAGAACAGCTGGCCGCCAAAGCGGTTCGCCGTCAGCAGGCCGCTCGAGTCGATGCGCTCCTGGCTGATCTCGATGCGCGTGCCGATCGCGGCGCCGCCGATGATGATGAAGATCATGATCACGATGGCCTGCACGTTGTCCGTCCACAGCGACGCCTTGAAGCCGCCGTAGGCGGTGTCTGTGCGGGCAGAGTGAGCGCGCGGACAAGGCAGCGGCGCGCGGCGTGCGGCACGCACAGATCGTCGTGATGATCGCCACGACGAGCGCGGCGACCGTCGAGTTGACGCCGCCGAGCAGGTTCACCACAGAGCCGTACGTGTTGAGCTCGACGATCATGAAGCACAGCATGAAGCCGCAGAACTGCAGGGCCACGTCGTCAGCGACGGCAGACGGGGGCTGGCAAGCGGCAGACTCACGATCACGGCGAGGAGGACACCGACGGGCCAGCCGAAGCGCACGCGCACATACTGCGCCATGGTGAAGCCCTCGGGGCAGACGCGGCGCATGAACGGACCGAGCAGGGCGAACGCCCAGAGCGGCACAACGGTGGCAAAGGCGTACGCCGTCAGGCCCAGAATGCCCGAGTTGGGGATCACGGCAATCTGCGGGTACGCAAAGAAGAGCGACGAAGACATGTCTGTGAGGGGGGCAGGCATGAGACGGGCACTGGCGCCTTGGACAAGGCGCGCCTCGCATGGCAGGAGCGAGGAGGAGAGGGGGGCAGCTTCCCGTCGCGAGCATTGTCTCGATCCGGTGGTAACCAGCTCATGTGGTGCGTGCCCGCGCCGGCGTTGCCGCCGGCAGCACGGCGCGCACCGAGCGGTGGACGGTATAATCTCAGCCTCGGACGACACGGGCCCTCGCCGGCGCGCACTTGCAGCGCCGGTGCAGCCCAGTCAGTCCTCAGCACCCGTAGCTTGTAGTGCCCAGGCCCGCAGCGACGCACGCGCCGTGGCCACGCGAGGTGACCACGGCGCGCCGCCGTGTGCAGGGTGGAGTTGAACAGCAGGGAGATGGTACATTACCGTGCGGAGAGAGCGAGGCATGCTGCGACTTAGAAGAGCGGGCGGCGTCGGGTGCGGCGCATGGGCGCGGGCTGAACTAACTGCTTGCGATCCAGTTGAGCGCCAGCGGGAAGGCTGGGTGCGGCGGGTGTGAGCGAGACGTGCGCAGGTGTGCGGCGCAGTGCTGGGACAGAAGAGGCACAGTCGACCGTGCTGCAGATGCAAATCCACGCTCCGGCGTCGAGCAGCACCGGCCTATGACTGCCACGACCCTCCTGCGGCCGCCCTTCTCTCCCTGCACTATCCTGTGCCGCCTGCCGGCGCCGGCGCGCGCCACTCACCGCTCTGGGTGCGCAGGCCGCTGAGGAACTGCGTGGCGTTCTGCGTGCGGTAGCCGGCAAAGAGGCCGACGAGCATGAAGGCGCAGAGCGTCGAGTAGACGAGCGCGTTGCCCTGCGAGACGGCGAGCATGGCGGGCGGCGGGTGCGGGGTGTGGGGAATGGGGTGGTGGGGAGCAGGGCGCAGAAGCGTGCGAGCGCAGAGCCAGGTGATTGCCGGCTGCACCCGTGAGAAGCGAGTTTGCACGGCAGCTCGGTGACCGCGTCGGGAGCACACGTGACTGCCTCGGCACTCGGGCACCGCACGCGCCGCGCCGGATAAAGGCGAGCCGGTGCGCCTCCGCCTGAAAGCAGCCGCAGCGGCCCGCTCGCTTCCCCACACCGACACCTCCTACCACCACGGGCGCGCGTCGCTTCCACCTACCCTCGCTACCACCTCACCGTCAATACTCTCTCGTTCACCAGCCTCATAAGCCGCACGGCTTCTTGCTGGGTAAAACGACTCCAAAACAAACCTCCACCGCGCCCAGCATGGCCCGCCTCTCCGAGCTGCCCGCCGCAGTGCCGCGCCCGACGGCGCCGCTCGCTTTTCTCGGCGCCTTTGCCATCGTCTTCGGCCTGACATTGCGTCATCTAGCCTTCAACTTTATTAACCCTGGCGACTTCTACGCGCAGCTCGCGCACCTCGACACGCCGGCGCTGTACCGCGACATCGGCGTGGCGCCGGGTGCGTGGCCCGAAAACGAGGCAGGGCGGATCTTTGGCTCGCTAGTGTTCTTCTTCCGGGACATGCTGAGGCTGCCCAGGGCCGATGGCGTGCGTGGCTGATGCGTGGCACTGCTCCCGACACCCGCACTGACGCCTTTCCGCCACGCGCCCTGCTGCACCGTTGCCAGCTCATTCTCATCCTCGCCTCCGTCTTTGCGCCGCTCATCACCTTCCAGACGCTCGAGAGCCTCAAGCAGGGCCGCCACGCGCTGCTGCACCCCGCCCTCTTTGCCCTCAGCGCCGCGCTCGGGCAGGTCATCCTCATCGGCGCCGCGTCCAACATCCTCTGGGTGCCCGTGTACGCCTACACGCGCTGGCAGGAGGTGAGTGCCGGCCTGGCGCGCTGGGGTGGGCTGTGTGCTGCGGCAGCGCATGCGCCCGATGGCTTGCGCTGTGTGCTGCGTCCGTGCAGCCTGGCCTCGGCTCCACAGGTGCTGCTCCAGGCTGACCTCACCTCAACAGACGAGCAAGAAGACCGTCGACATCCACCCGCTGCCCTCGCCCGCGCGCTGGGCCGTGCACACGGGCACGACGACGACGCTGCTCACCGCACTCACCTTCCTGCCGATGCTCCTGCCGTCGACGGGCCCGGACTCGGGCAATTTCCTCCTGCCCAACGTCGTCTTTCAAGCATACCCGCTCCTCTACGTTATCTTGTTCTTCTTGCCTCTGTCGCGGCAGAGCGACAAGCCGCGCGCCGCCGCCGCCGACTCGTACCGCCTGCTCAGTGTGCTGCTCATTGCGCCGTGGTGGGCGGGCGTGTACAAGTACGGGCCCGTGGTGCTCGCTGCCTGGCGCCGCGGCGGCTTCACGCACGACGGTGCGTGGCGGCCCGGAGACGGCAGTGCGGCGCAGTGCTGACTCGTCACTGCGCAGGCTACCACGTGCTCACGCTCGACATGATCGGCGGCATGGTGGCGGCGTACCTCATGGTGCTCATCGACTCGTACGCCGACGAGGCGCGCGTCAAGGCGACGGGCGAGCGTGTGCACCACCGCCGCTTCTTCTTCGAGGAGGTGTGTCACGCCTTTGGTGCTGCCGCGTCCGTGTCCTGACCGCCTGCTGGCAGATCTTTGGCCTCATGGGCCTGCTCACCCTTGGCCCTGGAGCGGCGTTCGCGCTCTACTTCCGCCGGTGAGTCAAGTCTGCGGCAGACTGGCCCGCGGAGCTGACCGGTCCCCTGGCGCAGGCGCGAGCACCTCGCCGAGCGTGCACGTCTCGGCCTCAAGGACGAGTGAACGGCTCGCAGTCTGTCTGCACCATCTCTTGCTCTCACAAACAGAATGTCCGCCGGAACTATCAAAGTACTAGTCATCATTCTGATTGCTGGAGCAGCCGCGCAGCCAAGAAAGGGAGGCACTGGGATGGAAAAGACACACGCGCGGGGCATGAAGGACGTGAGAGTGATGCGGAGAGGGGTATAGCTACCGACGCGTGCGCTCGGACGGGAGGGAGAGGAGCGAGGGTGGTGCCAAGAGCGGCGTCGTAAGGCGGGCGATGCAAGGGGCCGCGGCGTCGATGTGGGCAGGAAGGAGAGGCAAGCAGAGGGAGATTCGTGTCCAGATCCGGAAGGAGCGTTAAGATAGAGGAAGAGGAACCGCGGCGACGCATTCGGCGAGGGGCATGCATCATCTCCATGCGCCCTGCGCATTGCGCGGCGTGCCATCGTCGTCGCTGCCGCCGGCAGTGTGCCAGCTGCCCTGCGTGACGTTGGACTCCTCGCGCGGGTGCATGCCGGGATGCTGGGCAAACGGCGGCGTGGGGCGCGCCAGCGAGTCGTCGATGAGCTGCGCGGCAGGCGCCTGCCCTGGCCGCGGCGGCGACTGCGTCTGGCCTTGCTTGAAGCGGTTGTGGAACTTCTCAGCCGGCGACGCCGGGCTGTCGGGGTCCGCGGCGACGGCCGCCACACGCGGCGGCGAGGCGTACGTGGCAGCCGCGGGCGCCTGCTGAGGCCGCTGTTGCTCGTCGGCGAACGTCGAGTCAAACTGCGCGTCGAACGAGTCGGTACTCTGCGATGCAAGTGCTGTCCGGCTCGTCGCGTACGACTGCGCATTGGCGTACGGCGACTGCGAGCCGGCGCGCGGCGCCTGCGACTGGCCGGACGCACGCTGGATGCGGATCTCTGGCGCCAGATCTGCGTCGGGGTAGTGCGACGCCGAGCTGCGGGCGCTCGGAGGGAAGGCCCTCGTGTCGGCGATGCCGTGCGGCGTGGGGCCGCGCGACACGTCCGGCGAGTCTGCGTACGTCGCCGGCAGCTGGTCGGGGTCGTAGAAAGACATGTTCGTGCCTGTCCGCGCCGGCGGGCCGAGCGACTCGCGCCGCTGCTGGTCGTGCGTCGTGCGGTCGCCGTAGCGCTGCTCGTAGTTCGTGGGCAGCGGCGAGACGGACGAGTCGGACTGCGTGCCGGCAGAGAACTCGCGGTCGCGCTTGGCGGGCGCGGCGTCGGCAAAGGCGCTCGTGCCAAGCTCGGCCTGGCTGGCGTGCCCGGGCTCCTCGAACACGTTCTTCTCGCCCTGCATCTGCCGTCCGGCGCGCAGGCCGAGGCGCTGCTTGAGGTCGCCGGCGATCCAGGCCTGGCGCACGAGATCGACCTCGGTCGGGTTGAATGAGGAACACCACGCGTTCCACGTGTAGCGCGGCAGCAGGCACAGCAGCACAGACAGGCACACGATGGCCCAGAACTGCACGGTGCTGAACAGCACGTATGCCGTGCCGCTGAACGTCGTGCCCCAGAACGGCGCGCTGTAGATGGCGATCCAGGCGAAGTAGGCGGCGTTGGAGCCGATGATGACGAACCAGATGATGCCAGACCAGTTCTGCAGCGCCAGGCCGCAGTAGAAGTTGGCCGCGACAACGGCAGACGTGGCGACCGTCGTGCCGAGGGCCGAGAGCGGGTCGAGACTCGTGCCGTCGGCCATGACGGCCGGGTAGTAGAACCAGGCGGCCCAGGCGACGACGAAGCAAACGCCCGCCTGATACACGCCGTCGAGACAGGCGGTCCAGAACTGCGTGCGCGTGTACAGCTTGCCCTCGCGGCCGGGGCGGTACGTCTGCGGGTACGCCATCAGCGCCGGCGCGCGCACGTCCTGGTCCAGCGCGCCGAGCATGATGACGGGCAGCGACGTGAAGACGAGATTGTAGAGCAGGATAAGGCCGTAGTCGAAGAGATACGTGGCGTCGGCTTGCGTGAAGATCTGGAAGATGAGCAGACAGCCCGTCCAGATCAGGTTCTTGTAGAAGAAGACTTGGTGCAGCACACCGATGCGGTACGTGTTCCAGTGGCCGTGCACCAGCAGGAGCTTGGCCAGGTAGCGGAACTGGCCGATGGCGTAGTCGGCGCTCATCGACGCCTGCGCGCCCTCGAGACCGGCGATGCCGACGCCGATGTGGGCCTCCTGGATCATCGACACGTCGTTGGCGCCGTCGCCGATGGAGAGCGTCATGGCGTTCTTGCCGTCCTTGACGAGCTTGACGGTCAGCGCCTTCTGCGCCGGGCTCACGCGACAGCACACGACCGTCTCGCAGAGCGTCGTCAGGGCGAGGAAGAGCGGCTTGAGCTTCGGGTCGAGGGCGTAGCGCAGCGTCTCGCCGTCGATGACGACGGCGAAGCCGCCGACGGGCGCCTCCTCGGTGCGCTCAATGTTGAGGCGGTGCGACGTCTTCTTGGTGATGCCGCCGCGCCGCTCCGTCTTCTCGATGACGACCGGGCGGCCGGCCGCGGCGATCTTGTTGCACGCCGCCTCGATCATCGTGCGCGTGCCCGCCTCGTGGTCCGCCGAGATGATCATGATCTCCATGTTCGTCGAGAGCAGGTTGCAGCTGAAGCCGATCTCGATGGCCGTCTGCAGCTTGTCGCCCGTCAGGATCCAGAGTTTGATGCCCGCCTGGTGCAGCTTCTCGATCGTCTCCGGCACGCCAACCTGCAGCTTGTCCTCGAGCGCCGTCGCGCCCAGCAGCGTGAGGTTGATCTCGATCTTCTCGCTCGCTTCGTCGATGAGGTCGTCGCGGTCGACGATGCTGGCCGCGGCCTCGTCGTGGATGCGCGCCCACTCGGCATACTCGCGCTCCTCGAGGTAGCGGTAGGCGATGCAGAGCGTCCGCAGGCCGGCGTTGGCAAAGTCTTCCAGGTCGCGCTGCGTCTGCTCCTTGAGGCGCGCGTCGTGGTCACGGCGCAGCCGCTGGTAGATCACCGAGTCGGCGCCCTTGCAGATCATCAGGATGCGTCCGTCGGGCTCGCGCACAATGACGCTCATGCGCTTGCGCGTGCTGTTGAACTCGAGCACCTTGAGCGGCGTGTAGCGCTCCGGCTGGCCGGCCACCTCAATGTCGACGACGGTGTTGTTCTTGTTGATGAAGACGGCGCCGACGTCGCGCGCAGCAGCCACGAGGGCGGCCTCGTCGGGACTCTGCGCCTTATACTCGAGCACGAACGGTGAGTCGGCCTCGGGCCGGTCGGCCAGCGCCGTGTGGCAGAGGGCGAGAGCGCGGAAGAAGGCGATAATGTTGCGGCGCTGATCGGCACCCGACGGCGGGTTGGGGCCGAGCTCGTCGGCCATGGTCGGCGAGATGAGCGTGAGCTGGTCCGGGCGCAGGTAGCGGTTCTTGAAGGTGCGGTTCATCTTCTCGATCATGGCCTGCTTCGAGGCCTCGAGGCGCTCCTCCTGCTCGGACGAGCCCATGCCGGACGTGTCCTTGCCCTCGCGCTTCATGGCGCCGATCATGGCCTCTGTGATGCCCTCGCCGTACGAGTCTGCGCAGGGCGGGGTCAGCGCATGTCAGGCCGTGTGCAAGCAACGCGCCGCGCTCACAGCCGTTGATGGAGCACTTCTTGAACTCCATGACGTTCTGCGTGAGCGTGCCCGTCTTGTCGGAGAAGATGTACTCGATCTGCCCGAGGTCGTCGACGATGCCCCACGTCTTGGGCACGCAGGGATGGTCCAGCGGCGCGTAGTACATGTCGATGTCCTGATAGATGAAGAAGGCCGAGATCGTCTGGTGGCAGAGGACAGGCGTCAGCACATTGCGCAAGCAGTCCGCCGGCGAGGGCACGCACCTTTGTCAGCTCGATGGAGATGTAAAGCGAGATCGGCACGATGTTCTGGAAGAGCACGAGGCACGTGCCAAACACGATCAGTGCGTTGAGGATGTTGTTGTCGCTGTCCAGCGCGCCCGGCTCGTAGAAGTTGCGGCTCGTGTCCGTGCGGTTGAGGAAGATGCCGCCGACGACGGCGCACGCCGAGCACATGATGATGAGGAGCACGAAGTTCGCGGCGACGTTGACGTTTGTCTCCTTCTCGATCTTGGAGCGCTTCGACGGCGTCTCGCCGCCGTTGAGCATGATCTGCAGCGTCACGCGTCAGTCAGGGCCGCGCTGCACAGCCACACACAAGCAGCTCGCCTTGGTGTCCGCGCCCGTGAACACGACGATGCCAATCACCCACTCCGTGTTGCGCAGCGCACAGCCGCGCAGCAGCAGCTCGTTGGTCGTGATCGGCTCGACCTTCTCGCCCGGGCGCGCGACGGGTGCGCCGCGCGACGCATCCTCCACGTCGTACTCCTCGCGGCTGCCGCCGGCGTGATACTTGAGCAGCGCGTTGTAGGCGTACAGGTTGGCGTGCGGCAGCTCGGAGTCGATCGTGAAGCGCGCGTGCTCGATGTCCTCCTCCGTCTGGATGCCCATCGTCGCCTTGACGCACTTGCGCGCCTTGAGATTCGTCTCGCCGTCGAGGTTCTTCGTCTCGACGAACGCGTTGCCGTCAGGGTCCGAGGAGTTGAGCAGCACAATGTCCGCAGGCACCTGGTCGTTCTCGCGCAGCAGCACAATGTCGCCCACCTCGAGCTTCTTCCACAGCGTGCGCTCCCAGCGCGCCGTGCCCGGCGTGTTCTGGCTGTAGTCGACGACGCCGTTGGGGCTGGGCGTGTGCTGCGACGAGCTGCCGGCAAGCACCGCGCCGGAGGAAGGGCCAAAGGACGCCACGCTCGACGCAGGCTGCCCGATGTAGCCGCTGGCGCTGCGGCCCATCGACTTGCCGCCGGAGTGGTAGTCACTCTCCGACGCAATCGTCTCGAGGCCATTGTAGCCGTGCGCGCTGGCGCTCGTGAGGCTGTCGCTGCGCAGCCGGGCGTCGTTGCGCGCGTCCTGCGCGCCAGAGGCGCCGTACGGCATCGCGGCCGCGCTGGCTGAGCTGCCCTGACGCACGGCGCGCATGCCGATGGCATCCTCCTTCTCCCGCAGCTTGCGCACGCCCTTGGAGACCTTGTCCGGCGAGCTGCCGAACCCGAACAGCTTGCCCAGGAAAGTGCGCTTGGCGCGCGGCTGGTTGACGTTGCGCCAGGCGCCGAGGCGCGTGACCGCGCTGTTGTTCACCTGGTTGTCGAGGATGTGCCGCCGGTAGTCCTCGATACTGTCCTTGATCGCAGTGATCGTGAGAATGGCGACGAGGGGCAGCATGGCAATCTGCGGGATCGTGGCGCCAAATTGCGGGAAGACTCTGCGGCGCGAGACCCGCGTCAGAGCTGCTCCGAGCGCCGCCATCACGCCCACAGCAGGACTCACTGGAGAACGACGAGCAGCAGGAAGTAGACATTGGCGAGGCGCCGGAACTGCTCGGAGAGGAAGCGCGGCAGGAAGGTGATGAACGTGTACTTGCTCGTGCGGACCTTGTTGCGCGCATACCGCGCCTTGGGCTCGCCGTGCTTGCCCTGGTCGGCGGGCAGCAGCGGCATGTTGAGGTACACGTTGCGCCGCGACGCAGGCTTCTTCTTGCCCTTGCGCATGCCGGTGTCGAGCTTCTGCTCGGGCACAGGCTCGCCGACCTCTGCAGCTTCGGCATGCGCCTCAGCCTCGGCGCGCTTCGCTGCGCTCTCGGTCGGGTAAGCAGGCGTGGTGTCCTGCTGCGCGCTCTCAAACGGCACACCGACGCCCTCGCCGCCCGTGCCGTACGCGCCAAAGCCGGCGCCGGGCCGCGAGAGCTCGTCCTCGAGCATGCCCTTGAGCGCCGGAGCCTTCTGGCTCTGGCCGCGGCGCAGCAGCGTGCGTCCGCGGCCCAGCTTGCCGAGCAGCGAGCCGTTGCCGCGGCGGCGCGCCTTGTTGCGCTCGTCGCGGCGCATCTCGGAGCGGTGCGACTCGGCAATGGACTCGGCAGCGGTGCGCACGGTGCGCAGCTGCAGGTTGGGGTCGATGGCCGGGTCGTAGTCGGGATGTGTCGGGTCGCTCACGTGGTCACGCCCCGACGGGCCGGCCTGGTAGGGCCCGGCATGCGGGTCGTAGTGATGGCCCGCATCATCGAGGTTCGGCAGGGGACGGCCGGGGCCGAAGAGCGGCATGGCGACTGCGGCGGGCTGCACCTAGCAGGCGCAGGCAGAGCACACTGCGAGGTGAGAGAGGCGAGATGCCGCGGCAGCGCTCAGCGATAAGCAGCTGCGCGAGAGAGGGCGAAGAGGTGCGCGCGTAGCTCTGAGGCCTGCTGAGAGCGACGTGACGCAGCGACGAGAGACCGGGCCAGCGAGCGAGGCGGTGCCGGCGGCGAGGCGTGCAGCAGCCGCAAGAGCAGCGGCGGCCGGGAGCACGCGAGAAGGCGCGACGAGTGAGGGGGCCGAGGCGGCGGTGAGGTTCGTGTGTGAAGGCCGGGGAGAAGGGCCAGGAGGGGCGTCAAGGAGCGTAGAGGGGAAGGATGGGAGGATGGCGGCGGCTGATGCTGGATGCCCGAGCGTGCCCCTCGCCGGCGCGCGCGGCTCAAGCGCGCCGTCGCCGTGGCGTGCCCCTCGCGCCGCGCCGCGCGCCGCTCTTCGCCTGCTCGCGCCGTGGCGCAGCACCGCGCGGCGGCGAGGCGGAGCTGCCCTTCGGCGCGCGGCGGCATGTGCGGTGCTGCTGCTGTGCCTGCGCTTGCTGCCTTGCAGCGGCATCAGGGGTCCAACGCGCTCGACACGGCTCAGGTGCCTGGGCTGTGCCGCGCTCGTCTGCTCCGCCAGCGTAGGCTTCTCGAGCACCCAGCAGGCAGAAAGCAGCCTCGAGAAGCGACAAGCGCAGACCAAAGGCAGACAGACGGCGCAGAAGAGGCCTGTCAGAGGGAGGAGAGAGCACGCCGTTCCTGTCTCTGTGAGCGATGCGCCCTGTCTGTGGTGGAGCGCGAGAGGGGCCAAGGTGCCTCCTCTGATGGTGGCGCCGCCGCCCGCGTGCCATCACGCATATCCCGCCGCCGCCCGCCTCCTCAAGCTAGTCGAAGAGCACACGAGCGAGGCTGACACTCCACCTGTGAGCAGGTCGTCCTTCTCCAGCCTGCGCTGCGTGCTTCTTGCTTCGCCGTCAGCGAGGACAAGGCCGCCATTCTGGCGCGCAGCGTTGCGGAGAGAAGAAGCACAAGCGACACCCGCCCGTCATGCGCGCTGCACGCGCGCCTCCCGTTCAGGGGCTCGCCGCATGCTGGCGGAGGCTTGGCGCCTCATCGTCCCAGCATCGCAGCACGCAGCTCTCGGCGGCGCCTGCTTCTGGTGCAGCCATCCGATCAGGCATGCAGCCGTCAGGTGCGGCGCAGCAGCTCGAAAGTTGCATCTTTGCAGCATGGCTCGCAACCGCTCACGCCTTCAGCGCACGCTCCCTTCCCGCAATCACACCTCGGCTGCACGCAACACACACACGCGCCGGCGCTCCGCAATAAGAATCGTCATGGCGGTGGAAGAGGGGGGGGAGAACACAGAGACGAGACGTGTGACAGCGAGCCAAGGCACGCGCACCCACGGTGGTGCGCGCACGCAGTATTTTGATGCACGGCGCCCTACGAGGCGGGCGCGGTGATGGGCTCGACGTCGCTCTTGATGAGCGACGGGTGCAGCGTCATCTCGTGCAGCGCCTTGCCGGCGGCGATCATCGGGTAGCAGTGCTCGTTGGTGTGCACGCGGCACTCGAAAAGCACGGGGCGGCTGTTGTCGTACTCGATGAACTCCTTCATGGCGCGCGGCAGGTCGGCGACCGCGTCGCAGTAGATGGTGTGGCAGCCCATGGCCGCGGCCAGCTTGGTGAAGTTGGGGTTCGTCATGCGCGTGCCCGAGTAGCGCTGCTCGTAGAACAGGTCCTGCCACTGCAGCACCATGCCCTGGAACTCGTTGTTCAGCACGAGAATCTTGACGCCGACATTGAACTCGTGCGCCGTCGCCAGCTCCATGGCCGTCATGCTGAACGACGCGTCGCCGTCGATGCACACGACTGTCGCGTCTGGCCGCGCCACCTTGGCGCCGACGGCAGAGGGCACGCCGAAGCCTGCGCACGCGCAAGGGAGGTCAGTCGGGCGCATGCGGGCGGGCCGGCTGCGCTGCATGCTCACCCATCGTGCCGAGGCCGCCGCTCGAGACCCATGACCGCGGGTACCGCCAGCGGATGTGCTGGCACGCCCACATCTGCCGGTGCTGCGTCAGCCCTGCGCTGCCGGCACGTACACGCGGCGCAACTCACCTGGTGCTGTCCCACGCCGGTGCTGATGATCGTCTGCTCCTTGCGCGGCTCAATCGCCCGGTCGAGCGCCTCGATCACCTCCTGCGGCTTCGGGAACTCGCCCTTGGCCGGGTCGCTCGGCGTGTACGTGAAGGGGAAGCGCTCCTTCCACTCGGCGATGCGGCCGAGCCACTTGGGGTGCTTGTTGGCGTTGACGTGCGGCAGCACCTTGGCCAGGTTGCGCACCACGTCGCCCTCGAGCGCGCACGTCGCCTGCACGACCTTGTTGATGTTCTTCGGCATGATCTCGAAGTGGATGATGCCGCCGCGGCCCTCGAGCGCGGCGGCGCGGGCCTGCGGCGCGAACTTGTCCACGCGGCCCGTGACGCGGTCGTCGAAGCGCGCGCCGAGGGCGATGATGACGTCGGCCTCCTGCATGGCCAGATTGGCGTAGGCAGAGCCGTGCATGCCGAGCATGTGCAGCGACAGCGGGTTGAGCTCGTCGAAGGCGCCCAGGCCCTGCAGCGTCGTCGTGACGGGAATGTTGGCGCGCTCGCTCAGCTCCTTGAGCAGCTGCGGGCCCTCGGGCGTCGAGAGGATGCCGGCGCCGGCGTAGATGACGGGCCGCTTGGCGCCGTTGATCAGCTTGGCAGCCTGCGTGATCTCGACGGCATCGTCCGGCAGACTGGCCGACTGCGCGGCGGGCTGCGCCGAGTGGCGCAGAGCGCGGGCGCGCGGTGCTCTTGCGGCGGCGCGCGAGGGCAGGGCAGCGAGCGAGGGCGTGGTGCTGGAGTAAGGCAGTGCGTTGCGCAGGATGCCGGCCGTGACATCCTTGGGCAGGTCCACAAGCACAGGGCCCGGGCGGCCGCTGGTGGCGATCTTGAACGCCTCATTGATGCGGCGCGGCAGCTCGTTGATGTCCTTGACCATCACGTTCCACTTGGTGCAGCTGCGCGAGATGCCGATCACGTCTGCCTCCTGGAACGCATCGCTGCCAATCGCCGACGTGGCCACCTGGCCACAGAAGACCACGAGCGGCGTGCCGTCGCTCATGGCGTCCTGCATGGGCGTGATGACGTTGGTCGCACCCGGGCCGGACGTGACGAGCACCACGCCCGGCTTGCCCGTGACGCGCGCGTAGCCCTCGGCCATGTGGCCGGCGCCATCCTCGCGGCGCGGCAGGATGAAGTCAAAGTGCTTCGAGTTGTGGATCGCATCGAAGACGGGCAGAATGGCGCCGCCCGGGTAGCCAAAGACGTGCTTGACCTGGTGGCGCAGCATCATCTCGTGGAAGATCTCGCCGCCCGACATGCCGACGAAGGACGAGTCGAGCTCGGTCGGCGAGCGCGACGTCAACGGCGAGGGCGACGGGGTCTGCTGGAAATTCCGTGCGGGCTCTGGCCGACTGCGAGCAAGGGGTCAGCGAAATTCACAGAGCCGACGTGGAGATGCGGGCACCAGAGCTGCGGCAGCGGCGTGAACAGGGCGGGCGATGGCGCATAGCACCTCCGCACGTCAAGTAATGACGGCCCCGCCGGACGCTCACTCCTGCGGCATCCGGGTGCAGGGCCGCAGCTCTCGAGGCGCCACCCGCAACGCCCTCCACCGCTGCCCGCTCGCGCAGCTGCCTGGACGGGTACTCACGGCGCGCCCTTGGGCTGTGTGAGGCTGGCAGTGTTGGGCGTGGCCATGCCGGCATCGGCCTGTGCTGAGGCGGCGCTGCTGCGGCGCGCTGCGGCAGCGGCAAAGGAGCGGCGAGCGGCGGCGGCAGCGGCGGCGGCCACCGGCGATGCCGGAGTGGCGGCGGCGAGGCGCGCACGCGCCAGGCGCAGAGGCAGGACCATGGCGGGCGATGCGAGAGCGTGCAGTGGACGAGCTGTGGCTGTGAGGAGGGCGCGTAGGGACGGGGCGTAGGGGATGGCTCGGGGTGTGCTGGGTGCCGTCGTCAGGAAGGAAACGCGGGTGTCCGATGCTGCGAAGGAGCGGGGCCGATGACTCGGCCCCGGCGCAGGAGCAGCACCGGCCTGCGCTGCTAGGCTGCAGCCACCCACTTTTGGCTCGCCGGCCGCGAGCGACGCCCGCACGAGTAAGGCCGCGCCACCCGCGCGTGAGTTAGGTGTGCAGGCAGCCACCCCTCCGCACGCTGCTGCAAGCGGCGCAAAGGCTCACCATGCAACAGCAGATGGCGTCAAAATGTAGTGCGAGTGCTGGCCAGCAACAGTGTGTTGTCTCTGTGAAGGAGGAGTAAAGGAGGCTTGCCTGGCTGACCCACAGACAGCGCGGCGTCAGATGGCCCACAGCCGACGCGTCTCACGTACTGCGTGCGGGGCCGGCGGGTGCTGCAGCGGCACTCTGCCCTGCGCAGATGCAAGCACGAAGCGCTGCCTTGATGAACGAGTGGCATCTCAGGCACCTCGAGAGGCCTGCTCGAGGCTCGAGAGGCCTGCTCGAGGGCGAGAGACGATCGCAGAGGCAGCTTGGTCGATGCGCAGGGCTTGGCTTGCTCACGGGGCAGGGGGCAGCTCAACCGGCGCCGCACGTGATCCCACGCGCACGGCGCGACTCGGTGCCCAACCAACACGCCGGCGGCGCGCGGCAACGTGCAGCACCGCGCACGCAGCTGCCTGGCACCGCTCCACCACACCCGCGCGGCCCCGCTGCGCCCTCAACATTCCCAAGACACTCACGCACGCAGCATGGACACATACGAGGCACGCCTCGCCACGTTCAGCGCGCCGTCGGCCTCGGGCAGCGGCCCGTCGCGGCGCGGCAAGGGCGCCGCCGCCGCCGCCGCCGCACCAACACACGCCGGCTGGCCGCACGCCAGCCGCAAGGGCGGGCCCTCGGCGGCGCAGCTTGCACAGCAGGGCTTCCGCTTCGCTCCCTCGGCGGCGGCGCCAGACCGCTGCGAGCATGCACTCTGCGCCGTCGCCCTCGACACGTGGCGCGCCGCCGACGACCCGCTGGCGCGCCTGGCGGCCGTGGCGCCCGAGTGCCCGCTGGGCCTCGTGCTGCGCTCGGCGCGCGAGCGCGACGCCGCCGCCGTCGCCGCAGAGAGCCTGGCGCCGCGGCACGAGCGCATGACGCAGGCGCGCATCATGACGTTCGGCCAGGCGTGGCCGTACGACGGCAAGAAGGGCTGGCGGCCCACCAGTGCGCGGGTGAGTGCAGCAGCTGTGCAGGTCGGCATGAGCGTCGCCATGCCGGGGACACGCGTGGTCGAGCCGCCTCACGAGCTTGAGCATCAGCGATGCAGCGTGAGCTGAGACCATGCCCCTTCAGCTAGCAGAGGCCGGCTTTCACTACGCCCCGTCAGAAGAAGAGGCCGACAACGCCACGTGCGCATACTGCGAACGGTCTCTGGGCGGCTGGGAGAAGAACGACGATCCTATGTGAGTTCGGCGACGCGCAGCACGGCTCGCTGTAATCTCACACAAGAGCGCTCAGCGAGGAGCACCGGCGTCGCGAGCCCGACTGCTACTTCTTCACGAGCGCCCTGCCGGAGGAGGTGAAGGAGCAGGAGGCCGTGAAGCCAGCGAAGGCCACCAAGAAGGGCCGCAGCGTCAGCCGTCGCGGAGCTGCACAGGAGGCCGAGGAGGCGCGCGCATCGGAGGCCGAAGCGTCGGCGGCCGAGATCGGAGCAGAGCAGGAGACGGAGCCCGAGACTGAGCCTGAGACGGCAGAGGGCACAGCCACTCGCAGGTGAGTTGCAGAAGACCTCAGTCGGTGGGACTGTCCTCACTGGACCTCTGCAGCACACGACGTACGAAGCGGGCCGCTCTCACGCCGTCAACGACGTCGGAGTCAGTGCGGCCGACACGGACAGGTACGCGCGCGGCCTCACGTGCAGCAAGCACCTCGAAGCGCACGGTGCGCGGCCGCAAAGCCGCCAGCGAAGATGAGGCTGAGCAGGAGGAGGAGCAAGGCGCGGCCGTGCCTGAAGCGGCAGCCGCTGAAGCGCAAGAGTCTGCTGCAGAGGAGGAAGAAGTGCAGCAGCCGTCGCCGCCAATCACTCGCAAAGCTTCGACTGCGCGCGGCAAAGGGCGCGGCCGGGCCGTCTCGGCGCGCACGCGCAAGAACGATGCGCCTGCCGATGAGGCGCCCGAGGCGCAGGCGGCACCGGACGCGACGATGATTCAGCACGACGTCGACGATCAGCAGCAGGCTATTTCACAGGCCGCCGCTGTGCCCGCAAGCTCAGATCGCGCAGACGGCGACGCAACAGCGCGAGCGCCCATCGCGGATGATGTGGACGAAGCTCCGATGGACGTCGACGCAAGCGAGGCGGTCCCTGCCCCGCTCCCGTCGACTGGCTCCTCGGGCACGAGAGGCACCCGCTCCGCTTCCACGCGGTCAGTCTCCGGCCGCAAGGGCGCAGCTGCGCGCAGTGCTAGCTCGTCCTCTCGCCAGCGCGATGTCGGCGACGACGAGACCGAGGTCCCGCCGCCGGTCGCCGCGCCTGCCGCCGAAGAGGACGCTGTCATGTCGCAGGCTCCGGGAGCCGCGCCAGCATCTTCGTCGGCGCAGCCGTCGAGCGAGGTGCTCGAGGTGCCCAAGCGACGCGGGCGTGCGCCATCGGCCAAGGCGGCTGGCACAGATGCCGCTGCCAAAGGCGTGGCAGCGTCCTCCAGCGGCTTGCCCAACGCGCAGCCAGCGGAGGCCGCGAGCCGCACGCAGGCTGCTCCGCCAACGCACAGCCGCAAGGCCTCCTCGCAGCCTGGCTCCGACGCAGCAAGTCTGCCGCCGTCGTCCGACGCTCCCGCTGCCGCCTCGTCGGGCCCCTCTGCGCCCTTCGGCTCCTCGTCGCCCGTGCGCGCCACTGCGCTGCTGCCGCGCTCGGCACTGGCGCCGCTGCCGAACCTCGACGGCCTGCTCGACGACGCCGCGCGCGCCGGCACCGTCGAGGAGTGGCTGCGTGCCCAGGTCGACGCGGCGTGCCGCGAGCTTGAGGAGGCGGGCGAGCGGCGCATCGCCGAGCTGCGTGCGGCCATGAAGCTCGGGCGCGAGCAGGTCGAGCGCACGCTGCGCGGCCAGGGCGCTCGAGGCGCTGTGCCGCAGACGGCGCAGTGAGGCACGCTGCTGTTATTCTCCCTTACTGCCTCTTCTGCGACGGCCGTCACGGCTTCTCCAACGGCCGTACGCTCTCTCCAGCCGTCGCCCATTCTCTCCCGTCCTCTCACTGACCGCGCGCTCCCGCTGCGCCCATATCTTATATACCGTGCGCGACGCCGTGCCCTCCGCTGTACCATACTGTCGCATCCGCATCACCTTTACTCATCAGTCGTGATGCCTTCGACGGCGCTTGGCGCGTGCAGTGCGGCTGTGAGCGAGGAGCGGCTGCGCGACAGGGCGCGGCAGACGAGCAGGGTGCAGCATGCCGCAGGTGGAGGCGCTGACAGATGCGCGGCCGCCGGATGGCCGCGCTCCGCTCTCCTGCGTCCCGACCCTCATCCCCGCCGCCCCAAGCGCCGCTCCCCGGCCCATGTCCTCGTCCTCCTCGCCGCTGCTCGCCGCGCCGCGCACCTACGCCTCCGACAGCACCGCCGAGGCCGAGCCGGCCTCGCTCGGCGCCCTCGTGCGCGCCAACAACATGCGCGGCAGCGCCCTCGCCGTGCAGGGCGCGGCGCTCGCGCTCATGGCGCTCGTCTGGCAGCTCGTGCTGTCCAAGATGGGCGGCAAGGGCGCACTGCCGCTCTTTGCGTGGCATCCCATGCTGCAGGTGAGCGCAGCGCACGGAGCACCGAGAGCGCAAGGCCAGAGACATCGCTTGCTTGCCTCTCGCATGCTTGGTGCGGGCGAGTGCAGCGCAAGACGCACCTCGACGTGACGAGAGTGGCGCGAGCACGCTCGCGACATCGGCTGCATGCCTCTCGCCTGCGCGGTCTGCACCTGCTCATTCACTCTCCTCGTCCTGCAGTCGCTCGGACTCGTGCTGCTCGTCCAGTCCATCCTCGTGCTGCAGCCGACGAGCACGCCGGCCGCCAAGGCCACAGCGCTGAATCTGCACCAGGCGAGTCTGCCTTTTGCGGACGCACGCAGCGCCTCGCTCACCACTCGCACAGCTCCTCAACCTCTTTCTCGTGCTGCCGCTGTTCACTGCGGGAGCCTGGATCATGTGGCACCTGCACGAGCAGAGCGGCGCCCACTTCATCAGGTGCGCATGGCTGAACAGCAGGGACGCGCGGTCCCAGTCGAGGGAGCTGACGCCCAGCTTCTTGGACGCACAGCTGGCACGGCACATTCGGCGCCGTGTGCGTCGTGTGGGCATGGCTGCAGGCCGCAGTCGGCGCGGCGAGTGTCTGGGGCGGCGGCGCGCTGCTGGGCGGCGGCAGCAAGGCGAAAGCCGTATGGAAGTGGCACCGGTGAGTGCGGCAGGCTTGACACGCAGTAGAGTCGGCACTCGCCATGCCCAAGCTCGTGGCTGACCGCTGCGGCAGACTCTCCGGCTACCTCCTGCTGCCCGTCTTCATCCTCACCTTCGTACTCGCCCTCCTCGAGACGACGTGGGTGCGGCAAAACGCGAGCGTCTCGTGGCGTGTCTTTGGCGTGCTCGCACTTGGCGGCGTCCTCCTCGGCGGCGCCCTGCGCGTCCGGCCCTCCAAGCTGCCCAAGCTGTTCTGAGGCGCTGCAATCATGATGCATGCTCGAGCAGAGTGCACTGAAGCTTCATTTCAGGCGTCCCGCACCGCGCAGCACCGTCTGTCGGCGGCGCACCTCGCGTGCCACCTCCTCGGCGCTGGCGCGCAGCGTCTTTGCGTCGTCGAGCTTGCGTGCCTGCTGCGCCTTGGCGGCCCAGGCCTCGAGCTGCGCCAGCTGCTCCTGCAGCGCCTCGAGCTCCTCCTCGGCGTTGGGGCCGAGCAGACTCAGCTCCTCGGGCGTCAGCGAGGCCAGCGAGCTGGTGCTCGGCGTCGGCGAATGGGTGCCGTTCGTCTTGCTCTTGCCCTTCTGCGCGCCGAGCTTCGGCAGCGACTGCAGCGGAAACATCTGAGGGGGAGGGGAAGGGAAGAGAGGGGGGAGGGGAGGGGGAGCGGTCAGCACATCTCATCGCATTCAAATTGGCGGTCGCCGTGCTCACATTCTGCTGCAAGAAGAGGTTTGCACGCGTCCAGATGGCCTCCTGCAGTCTCTCCTGCGCTCCCTCGCGCGGAGCGGCGCCCCCGTCCTCATCGGCACCACCTTCGGCGTCCTCCACCGGCAGCCGCCGAATGCGCTTTGCCAGGGCGTCGTAGTTGGCAAAGTTGGTCAGGAGCGCTTTGCGCGCTTGTGCCGCCTCACGCTGCAGCTGCAGCGCCGCCCGGGAAGGCGCAGTGTCGACGTCGGTGCCGAGGGCTGCGGAAGCATCTTGCTTCCTGTGGGCCAGATTCGTCAGATACTGTCGGATGTGCAGCGCCCTTTGTATGCTCACTGCAGGCCCATGATCATCTCCTGGAACTCCGGCAGATTCGTCTCGATCTCGCGCTGCAGACTCGATAAGGCCTGTCCGGATGTCAGGTCAGCAGGAGATCTGGAAGGGTGAGCGCTATACGCACATCGTACAGCTTGACCAGCGCGGGCACATGCCCGTCATCCATCATATACTGCCTCCGCCTGGGCGTCGGCAGGATCAGCAATTGGGCCGCCAGCAGCGAGCGCACACGACTCACATGACAATGCTTCTGCAGTCGCGGCAGACGCGCACGCCCACGCGCTCCGGCCTGCTCGGGTCGGTGCGAGGCGCATCGCGCATCAGCGCGCTCGCGGGGTCCGCGACGACGAGGCGCGAGCACTTTTGCGCGCTGATCGGCTGTGCTGGCGACGGGGCGCCCGGGGCTCCGAAGCCGTTGAGCGCCGCGAGATGCGGCGATGCACAGACGACGCGGCCGCACAGGCGACAGTGGTGCTTGCGCACTGCTAAGCTGAAAGGTGTGCTACAGTGCAGCGACGCGCGCCTGTGAGCAGCTGCGAAGCACTGGCAATGAGGGCAGCGCGCGACTCACGAGCACACGGCACAGCTCCGCCGCTCGCCGTCCTCTTCCCACCGCACAATCTCACGCTCGCGCTCTCGCGTTCGCTTCTCCTCCTCCGCCCGTGCACCTCGCCAAGAGCCTGTCCACGCTGCGAAGGTCGACGTGCTTGGCGCGTCTGGGGCAGGCGCATCGCCGGAGAAGTGGATCGCGACAAGCTGCGCTGGCAGCGTGAGTAGTGAAGCACCGCAAATGACCGAGCCCCGCCCAAAGCTGACGCACCTTTTCCAGACGTCTCTGCATCCGCTCGCCCTCCAGGCCGCGCTCTTCCCTGCCTTTTCCCTTGCTCTCACGCGCCGCGAGAAACTCGTCTGTGCGGCTGCGTGAGACGCCCCGAGGCTGGAAGCCCGGCTGACGGGAGGCCGCAGACGGGCCTGGCTGCAGCGCCGGGAGCTGAGGCTGCGCTGCTTGCTGTGCCGACAGGGTGGGCGCCAGTGCGGGCGAGAGGAGTGGCGAGACGGGCAGCGGCGACGAGGCGCCCGAGTGGCCGCCTGCGCCCCGCAGGCGAGCGGCCGTCGAGATGTGATGCGGCAGCGGCGTGCTGCTCAACGAGCGGGCGTGCGAAGGGTGCGAGGCATGCGATGGCGCAGCATGAACAGTGGAGTGCGAATGCGAATGCGAATGCGCGTGCCCTGGCCGCGCTGATTGGCCGTGCCCTGGCAGGAGCTTGGAGGAGCTGCTCGCCTCGGCGGTCAGACTCGGCGTCTGCTCGCTGCTGGCTGCCTCGCTCGGGCCTGGCGTGAGCGGCGGCGGCGCGCCGCTGGCTGCCGTGCCGAGTGCTCGGCCCGAGGCGCTGCGCTGCACGGGCGGCCGGCCAGTCTGCGACGGAGACGCATCACTCGTTGCGGCTGCGGCATCTGCGTCTGGTGCTGCCGGCTGCTCCTGTGAGGCGCGTGCCTTGCCCTTGGCCGCGGATGCCGGCGCAGCGGCTCGCAGCGAGGAGGCCGTGCGGAGCGCAGGCGGCGGCCGCTCATCGGCGCCGCGTGCCACTTGCGCTGCCGCCGGCGGAGCTGCTGCACCGCGCAGCGAGGAGCCGGTGCGCAGCGCAGGCGGCGGTGGCAGCTTGTCGGCACGCAGCGGGCTCGGCCGCAGGGCCGGCGGCGCCACGAGCGGAGCGGCGGCCAGCGCCGACGTCGGCGCCCGGCTGCTCTGCGCCTGCTTTGATCGCGCAGCAGGAGCAGGAGCAGGCGCAGCGGAAGCAGCACTGTTTGGAGGAGCACGGGCGAGCGTGGGCGGCGGCGAGGGCGCGGGCGTCGTCGCCGCCGACGAGGCGAGGGAGAGCGACGATTGGGCGCGCCGATGCGAGACGTAGGCGCGGTACGGCACCGGCGACGCCGGCGCAGCGCCCGTCGCTTGGCCGTCGGGCATGCTTGGCCGGCGCGGCTGTGGCGACGCAGAGCCAGGCGAGCGAGTGCGGAACGTCGAGAAGGAAGGCAGCTGGGAGGTGTGGTCGTGGGAGGCCAGGGACGGCAATCGCCGATCCCCCACTGCGCCCGTCCGCGGCGGCGTGCTGTCCAATGTGCCAAGTTGGGCGCAGCGCCGGCTTTGTGCCCCGTCGCGCCCGCCCCCGGACCCTGGCTTGTGCGCGGTCCCACGCTCAGCCGCGGCCCGACTCGCCGGGACGCGTTGACGCGTTGAGTGCCACGCGTGCCAGGCCAGAGATGCACAGCGAGAGCCGCAGACGACGACGGGCCGGCCGACCTTCTCTCCACATCCTCGCATCCCCACACAGCAGCACACGCTCACTCACACACTCCGCCCGCTGCTCGCATCCTCTCTGTCTCCGCCATGTCTGGCCTCATGTACGGCGCCGGCAGCTCCGGCTCCGGCGCAGGTGCCGGCCCCTCGGCCGCCGCCGACAAGCCCGAGCTCGGCCTGGGTGAGTCAAGGACCCGGCGCGGTGACGGCTAGCACGTTACTCGGGTGTACGCGTGCACTAGGTGCGCCAAGCGAGGAGATGTGCAGTCTTGGACTGCGCAGCCTGGCTGCTCAGCCGCGAAGTCGGGCGGGCTGGCTACACCTTGGCATGTCCGCTCTTGTGTGCGCTTGTTTGCCCTCGCAGGCGCATGGCCAGATGCCGGCTACGAGCACTCTGAGTGAGCTCCGACTGACCCTTTGTTGCGAACACGCAGACCAGGCGGGCGAGACGAGCTTCTGCTCGTTCTTCCGCGCGATGCCGGCTGCTGCGGAGGGCACGGTGCGCCTCTTCGATCGCGGCGTGAGTACGGCGCTGGGACCTGGTGCTGCGTGTCTCATCCTTACATTGCACTGCAGGACTTCTACTCTGCGCACGGCGCAGACGCTACTCTCGTTGCGGCGCAGGTGTTCCGCACGCACTCCGTCCTGCGCTACCTGGGCGCCGGCGGCAAGGCCAGCGGGCTGCCCTCGGTCACACTGGGTCGCGCTGCAGCCCGCGACTTTCTGCGCGACGCTCTCACTGCGCGACAGCTGAGAATCGAGATCTACGCCGGAGGCGGGAAGCGCAGCAACGTGTGGAATCTTGTCAAGCAGGTGAGTTGCATGGCCTGGTCTGATCCGCCGGCGTGTGTCTTCCGCACATCGCTGACCCTGTTGGTGTGAAGGCCTCCCCTGGTAACCTGCAGCAGGTGGAGGACCTGCTGTTCTCGCAGAGCGACCTGCTCGCCTCTCCCATTGTGCTGTCGCTGCGCCTCTCGATGATCGACGACGTGCGCACTGTTGGCGCAGCCTTTGCCGATGCCAGTGCCCGCGAGCTCGGCGTGGCACAATTCGCAGACAATGACCTCTTCTCAAACGTCGAGGTGAGCACAGCGCGACGCATTATTGCGAACGCCATCTGAGGCCCTCTGCAGAGCCTGGTCATCCAGCTCGGTGTCAAGGAATGCCTGCTGCCAGCCGACGACAAGAATGCCGACTACGACCTGGCTCGTCTGCGTGCTGTGCTCGACCGCTGCGGCTGCGTGCTGACTGAGCGCAAGAAGGGTGCGTCCGCTGCGCGCAGCTGATGAGCTTGGCAACTGACAGCCGAGTGCGCGCAGGCGAGTTTGTCGGCAAGAACATCGAGCAGGACCTGTCGCGCCTCTTGGCAGACACGTCCGCTGGCTCTGCGCAGCGTGAGTCTGAGAGCGACTTGGAGTGTGTGTCGTCTGAAGCAGACGCCTTGCGCAGCCGAATTCGCCCTCAAGTCCGCCATGGGCGCATGCGCGGCCCTCCTTTCCTATCTCAACCTGCTCGGCGAGGCGCACAACTTTGGCCAGTTCACGATGCGCACGCACGACCTCTCGCAGTACCTGCGCCTGGATGCGAGCGCTCTGCGCGCGCTGTCCATCTTCCCTGAGCCCGGCGCGACGGGCGGCAACAAAAGCATGTGCGTCTACGGGCTGCTCAACCGCTGCAAGACTGCGCAGGGCCAGCGCATGCTGGCGCAGTGGCTCAAGCAGCCGCTCGTCAACGTCATCGAGATCCGTGAGTGGTTCGCAGTGCGCCGCTTGCATTCAAAGTTGACACCAAGCCCCCTCAGGCAAGCGCCACACCCTTGTCGAGACGTTCGTCGAGGACTCTGGCACGCGCCAGTCACTGCAGCAGGACCAGCTGCGCATGATGCCCGACTTCCACCGCATCAGCAAGCGCTTCCAGAAGAGCGTCGCCACGCTCGAGGACGTCGTGCGCGTCTATCAGGCCGTGCTGCGTCTGCCGCAGCTGCTGGAGCTCCTGGCAGAGACGCAGACTAGCTCCACCGAGGCCTCTGCGCTGCTGCAGAGCGCGTTTGTGGAGCCCCTGAAGGTGCATCTGTGTCATTTGCCGCGCGAGGTGCTTTCCCTGACCCGCCTCATCTACAGGAGGCAGACGTCGACCTCGGCAAGCTGCTCGAGATGGTCGAGGCGACGCTCGATCTCGACGAGCTGCAGCATCACAACTTCGTCATCAAGGCCGACTACGACGACAAGCTGCGGCGCATCAAGACGAGTCTCGACGCAGTGCGCGACAACCTCGACGACGAGCACCGCCGCGTGGGCAAGCAGCTCAACATCGACATCACCAAGCGGCTGCACCTCGAGAACCACTCGTCGTACGGCTACTGCTTCCGCGTCACCCGTACGGTGCGCATGCTCCCTGAATTGTCCACCCGCCGCGCTGACCCTCCACACCAGGACGCAAAGGTGCTCTCAAACGACAAGAAGTCGTACAGAGAGATCGCGACGACAAAGGTCGGTGAGCCAGACCGCGTGTCTTTGGCGTCGCGCTGACCTGGCGTGTCCAGAACGGCGTGCACTTCACCACCACGGCGCTCAAGGAGCTCGGAGAGGACTTCCGCACGCTGACCGAGCAGTACACGGCCCAGCAAGCCGGCCTGGTCAAGGACGTCATCGGCATTGCAGCTTCGTACTGCCCGCCGCTGGAGCAGCTCAACGTCATCCTCGCGACGCTTGATGTCATCATCAGGTGAGTGACTCGCTTCTGGGAACAAGAGCAGCGCTGATTGTTTCATTGCAGCTTTGCGCACGTCTCTGCGTGCGCCCCGGTGCCCTACACTCGGCCCACGCTGCACGAGAAGGGCAAGGCGGCTCCTCTGCGCGTGACGGAGGCGCGCCATGCATGTCTCGAGGTGCAGGACGATATTGCCTTCATCCCGAACGACGTCGAGATGGACCCGGCGTCGTCGGAATTCCTCATCATCACTGGGCCGAACATGGGCGGCAAGAGCACGTTCATCCGCCAGGTGGGACTGCTCGCCTTGCTTGCGCAGGTCGGCTGCTTTGTGCCCGCTGCCGAAGGCGCCGAACTGCCAGTGTTCGACTGTATCCTGGCGCGTGTCGGAGCCGGCGATAGTCAGGTGCGTCGCTAGCGCCTCACTGTTTCGTCACTGGCTGACACAGAACCCCTGCGTCCAGCTTAAGGGTGTCAGCACATTCATGAGCGAGATGCTCGAGACGGCGACGATCCTGAAGGTACGCGCCCGCGATCGTCGTCCTGCTCTGCCCGCGTCCTGACGACCATCACCCGCAGACCGCGACGAAGGACTCGCTGATCATCATCGACGAGCTGGGTCGCGGCACCTCGACGTACGACGGCTTCGGCCTGGCATGGGCCATCTCGGAGTGAGTCAAGCGTGCGCAGAGCAGAAGAGCGGTGCTGACGGCTGCCCAGGTGGATCGCGACCGAGATCCGATGCAAGACGCTCTTCGCGTCGCACTTCGCCGAGATCACGAATCTCGCCGCGCAGCAGGAGCACGTCAAGAACCTGCACGTCGTGGCGCACGTCTCGGAGCGGGCGGGCGACAAGGGCAAGGTCGCGGCGGCGATGGGACAGCAGGACATCACGCTGCTCTACAAGGTCGAGCCTGGCATCGGCGACCGCTCGTACGGCATCCACGTCGCCGAGCTGGCCGGCTTCCCGGAGTCAGTCACTCGTCTGGCAAAGCGCAAGGCGGAAGAGCTCGAGGACTTTGAAGGTGAGCTGAGCGGCCCTCCTGGTCGGTCTGGCTTGGCTGACCCTGCCCGCAGACGAGGATGGCGCTTCGCCGCTGCAGATGCCGCGCGACGTGACGGAGAAGGGCACCGCCCTGGTCGAGGAGTTCCTGCGCACCTGGGCCGCTCGCTCGGCGGCGCTGGGCGCGCAGGCACGCGACGGCATGGACGTCGATGGCGAACCGCGGCGCAAGGTGTCGCCGCAGGAGGAGATGGACGAGCTGCGGCGCACCGTCGACGAGTTCCGCCCGCGCTGCGAGAACGACCCCTGGGTGCGCGCCGTGCTCGAGAGCTTCTAGGCGGGCGCGGTGATGAGGTGACATTGCTATGAGATGTTGTTACAGATGCTGCTGTGATGGAGACAAGGAGACGGGGTTGCGGAGCGCTACAGTGACTTGCCGAAGAAGGCCTCGATGCCGCGCCGCCTGGCCTTCTTCGCTTTGGGCTCGGGCAGAGGAGGCCCAGTCGTGGCGCCGCACTCGGAAGAGTCCAGGTGGCGCGACATGGCCGCGTTGGCGGCAGCATCAGACGCCTGCGCCGGCCAATGCACGGTGCGGCCGCACAGCGGACACTCCGCTCCGCCCTCGACCGAAGCCCCGCCTTCAGAGTGAGCAGGCCGCTTGCCGAGCACAGAGGAAAGCGCTCCAGCCTCTTGCAGAGCCGTGGCTGCGGGTGCGGTAGCTGCAGGTTCTGACGCGTCGGACGGCGTTCTGCTCGGCGTGGGTCTGCGGGACGGCAGCTCGTCCGGTGCGGGCTCACTCAAGCCTGCCTCTTCGAGCGAGGCACGAATAGCCTCTTGTAGTTCGCGCTCGGCATCCTGGCTGCTCTGTGCGACGTCGTCGTTGCCAAAGACGAAGGCGCCGAGGTCGCCGAGGCGCTCCTCGCCCTTCTCGTGCCGCGGGCCGCTCTTCTGCAGCGCATTGGCATGCTCGAACGCTGCCTTGAGATTGCCCGGTGCGTCGGCCGACTTCAGGTCGCGCAGCGTGCCGGCCCGGACTCCGATGAGGCGCAGTGTGAAGGTGCCTTGACGCTGACGCTCGATGTCGAAGAGCTGGAGCGCGCAGATGAGCTCCGTGTGGTCTTCAATATGTCGCTCGACACTCTCACCTCTTTGGCGTGCCTGAAGAGGTCGTCGGCCAGCCAAACATGCCGCTGGAGCTTGCGATCTCGGGTGAAGCGCTGCAGCAGACATGAGCGCGAGAACGCAGCCCGATCTGGAAGGGATGCTCACAACATAGCCCGAGGTCTTGCAAGTCTGAGCCATTGAAGTCAGGCTCGTGCGACGAGGCCACATATCGGCGGTACTCACCAGCGTCACTTTCTGGCCTTGGTAGCCCTCCTCCTTCAGATCTTGCGCCACCTTCTCCGCGCTCTGCTCAGCGTTCTTCGTCAGTCGTGACATACGTCTTGGTGCTGGCATGTACGCACCTCGCGCAGATAGAGGAGAAGCTGATTGTAGTCGGAGGTCGGAGTGAAGGTGTGCTCGCGGCCCACACTCTTTCGCCAGCCTAGAGATAGCGCGCGTGAGCACAGGCGATGGCGCAGCGTGAGCCGGCAGCGGCACCCACCTCGCGCAGATGGGGCCACCTTGTTGCCGCCGAGGCCGAGGTAGACCTGCAGGAACTCTTCGTAGTGCCGCATCGTCAAGCTGAGCACGACGCGGTGCTTCCAGATGTCGCCGCACGTTTCGATGCCGAGCGCGTCGAGCCAGCGCTCCGTGACGCGGCCGATGCCCGGCACCTTGCGCGGCGGCAGCGTCGACATGAACTCGAGCACCGCTGCGCGCTCGGGCAGGATGCGGTACTGGCCGTCCGGCTTGTTGCGGTCGGAGCAGATCTTGGCCAGCACTGCGCAGGCGGTGAGAAGTGGGAGACAGCGGCGAAGCAGCACGACTCACTCAAGTTTGGCGCGACACCGCATGACACCGTCAGGCCCGTCGTCTCCTTCACCTGCTTGCGCAGCTGCGCCACAGCATCGTCGACGCTCATCTCGTTGTTCGCGCAGTAGTCGGTGAGATCGAGATACGACTCGTCCAGACTAGCGACGGCTGTGAGCGCCAGGCGGAAGGCAGACCCAGTGACGTGACTCACCTTGCTGGACGCAAGTTCTCGTCGTACTGGCGCAGCACGCTTTGGATCTCGCGAGACTTGGCGGCGTATAAAGCGTGATCTGAATCGACAAGCTGCCCGGCGGGCTCAGTCGGAGGCCATGTCACGCAGCATCTTCTCTGCTCACCCTGATGTGCGGACACAGCTTGAGTGCAATGTGCGAGGCCATGCCGCTGCGCACGCCAAAGGCGCGCGCGGGATAGCTGGCAGTGACAAGAACGCCCTGCAGAGAAGACTGTGCTCAGCTGCAATGCGCCACCAAAAAAGGAAAGCAGAGCGACCCACTTTGCCGACGCCGAAGCACTACGAGACGGGTCAGCCTTGCGTCGCCACGATGACGGCAGGCGAGTCTCACCGTGCCTTCGAGTGTTGGATCCTTGAGCACCTCGCATGCGCCATAGAAGACGTCCATGTCCGCTGCGGCGCCGTGTGATGAGTCCCAGAGTCACGAGGGAGCACAATTCGACGCACCATGCACGATGGCCCTCGAAAGGTCTCGAGTCTTCTCCAGCTCAGCGGCCTAAGAGTCATTGTGAGCGTCTGCACGGCACCTCCGCCGGCTCAATGCGCCTGACAGCTCGTGCACTGCCTGCCGCGCGCTCCGCCTGCCGACTCACCATCACGTCGATGCGCTTCTCGATGTTGCGCCACTCGGTGCCGCCCTCGGGCACGCGCTTCAGCAGCTCGTCCTTGCGCTCGAGCATCTGGCGCACCTCGCCCTCGATGCGCGCATTGACCTCCTCCTCGCGGCGGAAGAAGCGCGAGCCCTTGCTGGCCTCGTAGATGGCACGGTTGATGGTGCCGTGGTCGGCGGCGAGGCCGGCCTTGCCCGACGAGGGCCCGGCCATGCGCTTGTGCAGCGACGCCAGCGCCGCCGCCTCGGCGGCGGCGGCCGCACTCTCATCGCCCGCAGCGCTGCGCTCCAGCGGGCGCCGCGAGGCGGCGGCGACAGACGAGGCCTTGACGGGCGACACGCTGCCGCGTCCAAACATTGGTGCTCAGCCTCTGAGGACGTGTAGCGAGGCACACTAGGAGTTGCGGGCAGCAAAAGAAGCGGCGGCAGCGAGGTCGCCGAGAGGCGTGCCTGCTCGCCGCCGCCAAAGCGTGCTGCTGTGTGCCGGCTCGCTGCCTCAGGGCAGCAGCAGGCAGACAGACAGTGCCGCTGCCGAGCTGCTGTGGGACGTCGTCAATGCGAATGACGGCCGACAGGAGAGACGACGAGCTGCTGCCGGCGCAGATGATGTGGAGCAGAGCAGAGAGCCTCGCGAAGGCACGCCGCGCCAGCACGGCGGCTACTGTAGCGTGGCGCGCGCGTGGCGCGTCTAGCTCGCAGCTGCCGGTGAGGACGTGCGCGCGGCGCGCGCATGTGTTCCTTCCCACCACCACTCCGCACCACTCCATCGCTTTGACTCCGGGCAGCCGCGCACCTGGGCCTGCGCCAGCTCTTGGATACGAGCCCTCGCCACGGCGCTGATCCGTCTGCGTGCAGCACGCTGCGACTGCGCGTCCGCCTGCCTCTCTCGCCTGCCCACACACCTCTCGCCCGCGTCCTCCAGCCCTCACCGCCGGCCATGTCGGGCCCTCTCTCGCCCATCGAGGCATCAACACCGCCGTCCTCCATGCTGGCAGCCGCCGATGCCGAGATGTCCGGCGGCGCTGCGGCCGCTGACGGCAGCAGCGCCGACGTCGCGGCCGAGCTCGAGCGCGTCAAGGAGCAGCGCGACTGGTTCGAGTCGCAGTACCAGAACCTGCTCGCCAAGCTCACGACGATGCGCAACACGCTTGGCGAGCGGCTGCGGAACGATGCTGTGAGTCGGCGCATCCCGTGTACCGGGCAGCGTTCGAGCGTCGGCTGCAGACGTGCAGCTTGCGGGAATGGGAGCGCTCGGCGCAGGCAGGCCAACTCGCCGAGGGTTGGCTTCCTGTCAAGCTCCACCTCAACTCTGCTCCCAGAGGCGCAGTACGCGCCCGCGCCAGCGCTAGTCGCTGATGCATCATTCGCCTACCACAGGAAGAGCTCGACCGCAGAGAAACTCAGATCGAGACTCTGCAGGCCCAGCTGGCCGAGCATGCCACGACCTCGTCGACGTTGCAGTCCGAGCTCGTCGCTTCGCATGCCGATGTGGAGCGTCTGCAGACGTCGCTCGATGCGCTGCGTGCTGCTCCAGCAGCTCCAGACCGCACACGCGAGCTCTCCGAGTCGCTCGAGCGGCTACGCATCGAGTCCGAGTCGTTCAAGACGTCCTACGAGGAGGAGCGCGTGCTGCGGGAGGAGGAGGAGCGGCGGCGAGAGGAGGAGGCGCGCCGGAGAGAAGAAGCAGAGGAGCGCGAGCGGCACTGGCGTGAGAAGTTCGCGCGGGAAGAGGATGTCGCACGGGAGCTGGGAGAGGTGCTCGAAGAGTTCCAGAATGGTGAGTCGCATGCTCGAGGTGCACGCTGCATTGCGCCTGTCCTGGCAGCACGGCGCGAGGCTGCGAGCCCGGCATGCCAGGGATGACGCACTCACACCTGCGCAGCGCAAGAGACCGAGCTGCAACGAGCGCTCGGCGACTACCAGGAGAAGTACGACCAGGTCGCGTCTGCGCTCGAGGAGCACAAGGAGCGATGTCAAGTCGCCGAGGTGCGTCGGCCCCGCCGTCACTCTACGCGCTCGCTGCTGACGCTTGCGACTTAGGCAACGCTGTCAGACTACAAGGAGGGAGCGGAGCGATGCAAAGCGTTGGAGAAGGAGGTAAAGGAGAAGAACCTGCTCGTCGGCAAGCTGCGGCATGAGGGTGAGCCAGGCAGCCGCCATCTGATGCGGATTGCGTGAGGCTGAGCCTCCACGCCCGCAGCGGTGATCCTGAATGAGCACCTCACCGAGGCGCTTCGGCGGCTACGCACGGACACGTCGGACACCAATGTGGACCGGTGAGTGAAGCGGCGAGTCCGGATTGGCGCGTCGCTGACATCCTCGACAGGCGCCTTGTCACCAATCTCCTGCTGCAGTTCCTCACCACGCCGCGCGCAGACGCCAAGCGCTTCGAGATGCTCTCGCTGATCGCGTCGGTGCTGGACTTCACCGAGGAGCAGCGAGAGACGGCAGGGCTGCAGAGAGGCGGCAATGCGACGTCGTCGTGGCGGGGCAAGGGCCGCGCCGGCGCGCAGCAGGGTGCACAGTCACCACAGGCTGTGGGCGACGAGGTGAGTCCGGTACGCCTGCCCTCACGCGCTCCTGCTGATCTGTGCGCTTGCCGAGCAGTCATTCTCGAATCTCTTCGTCGAGTTCCTGCTGTCTGAAGCACAGCAAAAGCCGCCGCCATCACCCGAAGCGACCGCGCCGTCAAGTCCCCAGAGCGCCGCGCCGCGCTCGTCGTTCAACCTCGGCAGTCTGGCGTCGCTACGGCGAGCGAGCTCGGATCTGCTGCGCAACGGCACCGGCTCAAGCAACGGCACGTCGCCGGGGAATGGTCCGCTCAGCCCGCCGCTTGGCAAGGGCAAGGGCCGGTGACACTAGAGACGCTGGCCTAATGCACATTATACCTCAGCACTGGCTGCCGGGCAGTGTCTGTCGCCAATAGAGAGTGCTGCTCAGGCGAGTAAGAATCCCTGCGAGCACGTCCGGCAGGCCCGTGCGCGCTGTGGATCAGCTCTCAGCCTCGAGTCCGGGCTTGGCGGAGCTCCTCGCGTGCAGTGCCAGACATGAGCAGACGACCGCGAGGAAGGTGAATCCTGCCTCCTGTTGCGACGTCTGTGAGACAGCAACAGCGCCGGGACGGATGCTCGTGCTGCTCCGACGGCGGCGGGCGCGTCGCGCGTGGGCGCGATTCGAGGCGACGCGACGCCGTTCCCCTGCGCAGCGCTGTCCCGGCTCGATCGGGCAAGTCAGAGTAAGAGTCAGCAGGCCGTCAACACCGCGCAAAGCACGCCCTGTCAACAGGCAACGACGCCGAGCGCATGCTCTGCATCAACACACGGCGACCTGCCCCTGCTGTCCCGCCAAGTGGCACTCCCCCGGCCGCCGCTCGCTGCGCTCTCAGCTCAGGGGCAGCGCCGCTCCGCGCGGAAACGATGGACGGCGGCATGCGAAGATGAGCACCGCTCGCGGCCTCACCGGACGTGAGATGAGGCAGGTACAGACTGAACACCTCGGCCTTGTCGCAGTCGCGAGTCGGCAGCTGCGGCGTGCTGCTGGAGCCAGCGCCGGGGCCGCTGCTGTCGCCTGCTACTCCGTCCCACCACCACCTCCTCGCCGCCACTCCCGCCAGAGTCCTGAGCCCGCACTACCATGTCTCGTCCTCCTGGCTTCGTGTCATCGCCGCGACCCCAGATGTCGCTCCCCTCACCCTCATCCCGCGCTGGACCGCCGCCATTCGACGAGCGCACCTCCCGCTCCTCGCTGGCCACGCCGGTGCGCAGCGGCATGTCGTCTCACGAGGCCCGCGAGAGCCGGCAGCGTGCCGAGCTGCCACCTCGCCCACGTGTGCCCTCGCCCGAGACACGCGGCAGCAGGTCAAGCTACGGCCGCACCTCTGCGACGCGCTCGTCGCTCGTGCACTCGCCGCTGCTCTCGATGTCGGGCCGGTATGCGCACGACGGCCACGAGCGCCGCTCGACGCACTCGTCGGGCAGCACGTACGTTGCATCGCGCTCCGAGCACGCTGTCCGCCACGAGCGCGAGTATGAGCACGACCGCCAGCACCGCTGGTACGCCGGCACGGGCCGCGCAGACGCATACGAGGCGTACGTCGCGGATGTCGCCCACGAGCCGCGCCGCAACAGCGATGGCAGCATCGCGTATGCACCTGGTCCGATCGACGCAGGCCGTCCTCCAGTGCTAACCCGGTCGATGGCCTCAGCTGAGGCTGACCGAGCCGCATCGGTGCAGCGTGGCCGAGTGAGCGCCAGTACGTCGCTCAAGCACGAGCGTCTCGAGTACGGCGCCGGCGAGTCTTCTGAGGCGCGCGGCGCTGCTCGGAGTCCGTCACCGTCCTTCGACCACCAGCACAAGCGGCGCCGCACTCGGCCATCTTCTTCAGAGCGCAGTCCTCGGCGCCAGAGTCCGACCGCTCGACGCGAGAGCCCATGCACCGCTCGCAGCAGCTCGCGCCGCAGCGGCGCAGAGCGAGAGGAGCCCCGCCAGCGCGAGCCTCGTAGCAGCACGGCTGCGCCTCGCTCTCCGATCAAGGCTGAGTTCGGCCTGCCTACTCACCAATCGACTCCTAGTCTGCACCCGGAGCGTTTCCAGGCGGCGGCGAGCCTGCCGAGCGTGACGCCTGCTCAAGGCAAGCCGACGGCGCACCATGCACGTCTGCTCGAGGCTTTTGAGGACCTGGAGCACAGGATCAGCACAGCAACGCACAGCTCGGCGTCGGGCAGGAGTTCGTTCGCGAGCGGCTCGCACGAGCGCGTCGATGAGCCCGAGACTAGCACTGTCAAAGCAGGAATGGCGCCAGTGCAAGGGCTCGCCTCTCCGTTCGAAGGTACACCTTCTGCGCGGTCGAAACAGCAGCTGAGCTCAAGTGCACAGGCTCCTCCCGGTGCATCGTCGATCAACGACAACATGAGCACGCAGGCACATGTCGTCGCTTCCGCCTCGCATCATGATCAGAATGCGCCGGCAGCGCCAGAGCCGCCGTCCTTCAGCGAGCTGCTCTTGCGCGCGCAAGAGAGCACATCCATCGACGAGCGCATTCAGAACGCGCGCATTCTGCTCAAGGCTGTGCGTCCTGATCTTGCCGAGGAGGACCGTGAAGCCACGCGAGACGTAGTATGGGATCTGAGCGAGTCCGAGTATCGTTCGGTGAGCTGCTCTGCCGCTACAGGGCACCAGCAACTAGCTGACCATTGCCTCTCAGGGACGCAAGGCCGGAATCGAGCTGATGTTCACACTCTCCGAGGTCGTGCCGAGTCTCCGCGCTTCCAGCTGCGATGTTCTGTTCCAGCTGCTCAGCCTTCCGGATGATGAGCTGCCGCACGTCCGGGCGAGTCTCGGCAGGCATCTCGAAGCGTGGCCCAAGACGATGTGCGACGTCGCCGCATCAAACCTGGTCGAGCCGCATTGTCGCACAAGCGTGCTGAGCTTCGTCGCTCAAGAGCAGCTCTTCGCCAGCAGCATCGCCGCCGCCGGTGCCCTTCTCGAGAGCTGTACAGCTCAGTGGCTCCAATTCTCTGCGGAGCCCGACCTCGCCCAGCGCATGGCGACGCAGCTGGCGGCACTGAAGGTCATCTTCGACGCAGGATCGAGCAGCGCTCGGTTGGACGCAAAGGAAGAAGAGCAGTTGCACGCTGCACAGCAGATGGTGTGCAAGATGACGGACGACTCGATGCGACTCGCGCTGCTGGGGTGTCAGGTCGCGCCCGTTTCGCTGCCGCCTGTTGCGCAACAGACAGCATCAACTGCTGGCCAGCGCGGCGTCGCGACAGCCGATGCGAAGCTGGCCACCAACGCCAGCCCGAAGATGCCCTCGCCTGCCTGCTTCGCCACTGCCGTCTGCCTGCCCATCCGTCTCAAGGGCGATCAGGCGTCGCGCCGCGTCGACTTGCTCAACGCGATGCTGCCCGGCGCCTCTGCAGTTGACCAGCTCGCCGCTGCTCCGCTGGTCTCTCTCTCAGCGCAGATGCAGATCACCGTGCTACGCCTTGCCGGCTCGGAGATGGCTGCACATCGCAGGCTGACCGATCATGGCGCCGTGCCAGTGTGGTGCTATGACCCGATGCGCTTGTCTCTGCTCTCGACCTTTGTGGTGAGCAGCGCAACGCTAGTGGCTCGCCCCTTGCTAACTCCTCTCCTCAGCGTCTTGTGCCTCCCTTCCACCCAATGAAGGACGATGTGGTCCACGACAAGGCATTTCTCGTCATCGCCGAGTCTCTGCTGGGTGCATTTGTCGTCGCGTGGCCTGCTGTGAGTTGAGCCTTGCGATGCTCCCTGTGACTGAGTGCGCTGACACGCCACCGCAGACCCTCCGTGTGCCTTTGCAGTGGACTGCCGGAGCCCTGGGCATCGAGCTGCGCAACCGCTTCATGTCGCTCTACGGCCTCGCTCAAGCGGAAGTCTCGCGCCTCAAGAGCCTGCAGACGTACGACACTGCCATGGGCACGGCAGAGTACGTCCTTGCCATTGCAAAGGTACGTGTCTCGGCGCGGACCTGGCAGGACGTGCGCTCACACCGGACTCGTCCGAGCAGGAGTACCTCAAGCCACTGAACCTGCGCCGCTCGCTCGCCATCACTCCGCCAATCTGGGGCCAAGCGCTGCGTCGGCCTGCGATCATTCCGCCGCCGATCGCTTTGGGTCAAGACCAGCGCGCCAGCGCTTCCGCCGCTGCACTTCCAAAGGCCTCTCTTTCCGCGGCGCAGCCGACCTCGATCCCGCCCAAGGGAGCCGCTGCGGCGGCGCGCTCCCTCTCGCCAGTCCCTCCAAGCCGTCCGGGAGGCCAAGCGAAGGCTGGCTTGGACACCAAGCTGCGGAGCAAGCAAGAGTCCCGCGCCAAGGCAGAGGCCTCAGCACCGCAGTCTCGCGCATCCGATGCGCGCCAGCACGAGCTCAAGGTCGAGTCCCGCTCCAAGTCTCGCTCGGCCAGCCCGGCGCTTGGCCCTTCCGGCGTCGCGGCCAACCGCACGGCCAAGTCGCCCGAGCACACGTCCGAGAGACGCAGCAAGGGAAGCAAGAAGGGCTCGCACCGCCGCGGCAACTGAGGTGAGGGTGCGTCCGCCCGGGCTGCCTGTCTAGCACTCACCAGAGCCTCACCGGCAGAAGACTGAGCGACACCGCCCGTGAACCTGCATCCGCTCTCATACCTCTCACCACGTTCTGTACACACGTCACGTCTTCGTTCCCGCACACGCGTCACCCTACCTTCACCAGATCTCGCCGTCACAACAACCATAGTTCACAGCGCTGACGGCGTGTCGGCCTTGCGCCGCCAGATCATGATCTGCTCGAGACCCTCCTCGCGGTCCTGGCCGCGCACGAGCGGCGGCGCCTGGTGCTCCAGCTCAAAGGCGGGCGAGAGCAGCTGCTTGTAGCGCTCCGGGTCGACCGAGTACTGCAGCGCAGCGATGAGCCTGTAGTCAGCGGAGGACACCGAGAGGAACTCACGGGTGGTCCGCCTGGCCGGTCTCCCTGGATCGGATACACGAGCGCCAGCAGCTTGCCGCCCGGCTTGATCAGGCGTGTGTAGGCCTGCGCCCACTTGTCGTGCAGCGTCGACGGCAGTGCGCCTGGCACGCCGCGCGGCCGGTCAGCGTGCTGCGGGTGCAGTCGAAGGCAGCGATCGCCGCTCACAGAAGAACGTGTAGTCGTAGCACAGGTCGAAGCGACTCGAGGTTGTGGGCCCCTCTTCGGCGTCATCGGCGACCGGCTGCATTGCGAACCAGTCGGCGGCGCGCAGCGTGATGCGCTCGTGTGCGGCGTCTGACGGCTGCGCATCGAGCCACTGCGAAGCGCCAGCATGAGTCCGGGCGAGCGCGCGGTCTCCAAGTCACTCACCTTGCGTGCTTCCTCGACGGCCGTCTCGCTGATGTCCACACCGGTCACATGCAGGCCACGGCGCGCCAGCAGCTCGGCATCGAAGCCCCTTCCCATGCCCGGCACTGCAGCGCGGCCGGAGCGCGGCAGCAGGGCGCCAAGCTGCTCATCGTCGAGCGTTGCTACAAGCGCGGGCTGCGCGGCGCCCTTGTCCCACGGCGTCAAACCCGCCTTCCAGGCGGCGTCCCAGCTCTGCGACGAGTGCGCGCCGTTGAGCAGCGAGCGCAGTTTCTCGACGCCCGGCGGCAGCGAGGCGGACGTGGAGGCGCCAGAGGACATGACGCGCGAGGTAGCGGTGGAGCGGAGGCCCGTTCGAATGGCTGATTTGATGCTCGCGTGTGCAGCAAGGAGCATGCAAGAGTCGTGAAGAGCGAGGGCCGGTTGTGGATGTGGACGGGAGGAAAGGCTCGCGCGTTTGGGTCGCGCTCGTGAGGCCAAGCCGAGCGAGTGCGGGGAGCCGCGGTATCTCCAGCGGGCAACGGCGCGCCGCGGCGGTGCCCTTGCTCCCGCCAGGCGCGCCTTCAGTCCGAGTGCGATCTCGCCCAGCGTCCAGGTATGAAGGGTAGCATTGCGTGGGTGACAGACGACGGGGTACGAGCGGGAAAGAGAGAGAGACAAGTACAAGGAGGCTCAGGCATGCGGTCCAGCAGCACTGCTGCTCGGCGGCGGCTGCGGCGGCTGCGGCGCCCAGGCAGGGTGCCACGCCGAGTGGCTGGCCGACGGCTCGGGCTCGGTGAGCAGCGTGGCCCAGTCGGGCGCATGGCCGCCGAGCAGATCGCCCAGCATCATTTCAACACTGCTCGACGTCGCCGACGGCTGTGCGAAGAGCTGTTGCTGCTGCTGCTGTTGCGGTTGCGTCTGCTGGAGCTGCTGCGGCTGCTGCTGCGGAGCCGCGTGTTGCATGTGAGGCTCGAACTGCGGCGGCGGGTACGGACCGGCCTGATGCGGTGGCGGGGCCGTCATGGGCGGGTACTGTGGCGCGTGAGGTGGCGGAATGGCATACTGCTGTGGCGATTGGTAGTTGTAGTGCGCTGCGGGCTGTTGATAGGGTGCAGGCGGCTGATCCGCCTGGCCTTGCTGCTTCGGCTCGGCTGCCTGCGCCGAGCCGCCACCGAGCTCGAGCATCGCCGACACTGCAGAGTGCTCCGGCGGCGGCGAGTCGGCACGCAGATGCTTGCGCCGCGAGAGGATGCTCTTCCACTCCTCCATCGCGTTGGCCATGGAGCCGACGAGGATGCCGCTCGTGGCGAGCAGGTTGCCCTCGCGCACGCGGGCCTCGATACTCGGCGCACTGCCGTCGCCGTGCGAGACTGCATCGTGCATGCACGCCTCGACCTGGCGCATGATGACCACCAGGCTGTCGTGTCGCGGGCTCGTGCTGCGCCAGCCGACGATCGTCGCCGCCTGCGACTCGGTGCACGACTTGGCAGTGTCGACGGCGGCGGCGCACATGAGAAGCACTGGCAGCCCGACGGTGTGCGCCAACGCATCGCCGCCTGCACCGCGCTTCAGATTGCCGCGCTTGAAGGGAGCACAGCAACCCAGCAGAGCGACGAGCGCCTTCTCGTTGGTGTCCTGTCCTTGGCTGCATGTGGTGTCAGTCTGGGTGTCGCGTTCGCGACGTGCGTGCCACTCACGTGCCCCACACCTGCGCAAACTGCAGGATCGTCGGCGTGTCGCGAATGCTGGCGATGATGCGGACAGCGTTGACCTCGGACTGCGTCATGCGGCGCCGCGTCTCTGGCGGGATGTGGTGCCAGCCGTCGGGGCCCAGCAGCACGCGCGTAAAGCCGTGGTTCAGCAGCAGCGCCTTGGCCAGGTTGACCTCCATCTCGATCCAGTCGATGAGCCGGTCAACGAGCGGATGCGAGCGAAGCGGGACTGAAGAGCGAGGCCTGTCAGCTCCGAGTGCGTTGTGCAAGGCCACTCCGTCAAGATTACTCACGCATGCGGCGCGATCGATCCGCGTCTAGTCGGTCCGCGATCTTGGTGAAGGCGGTGAGCGCATCGCCGACGACGCTCGAGTACTCTCGGTGAGGGCGTCGTCCAGCCTGCCGCGCCTCGAACACTTCGTGCTCGGCCCGCGCGGTCTCCTCATTGACGTTCTGCCAGGAGGCATGCACAGCCTCGAGCTGCGTGAGGCGGCACGCCAGGCCAGTCCGTCCGGCAAAGCGCAGCTCCGCAGACTCGGCACTGTCCTCTGGCACCCGCCCGCACTCTGTGAGAATCGAGGCGACCTGAATGCCAGGCGATGCGATCGGCGGACAGCGGACGCATGGATCGGACCAGGCGGAGTGGCAGCGCAGGACGTGCAGAGAGTACCACTGCGTCGCATCCTCCTCAGCGCCGCGCAGGTCGTTCTCGAGAGCCTCCCGCAGGGCCGTCTCGCTAGAGTGCAGGCGCGAGAGACGCTCGCGCAGGCGCAGCACATCTCGCGGCGCGTCGTCGAGGCCGAGCGCCATGGCGATTGTAATCGCAGTCGACAGGAAGCCTTCGCCGGAGAAGCGTGCGCCGGGCCGTCGCAGCGAGCCGCGAGCGGGCGGGGCTTGCGAGAGGGCCATCGGCAGGTGTGCTGCCAGCAGCTCGAGCGCTGCGACGGCGCGCAGGTCGCGCGGCGCAGAGGACAGCACTGACGCGGCGTCACGCGCCACGAGGGCGTGCAGAGGCGGCGAGAGGGAGCCGGCGAGCGAGACGGGCAGCGACAGCAGGTAGAGCGTGGAGAGGAGGAGGCCGGCGGAGAGCGTCGCCGCCTTGCTGTAGCTGCGGCGCAGCTCCTTGAGTGTCGGCAGGGCAGGGAAGTAGAGCAAGTGGGGCAGTGCACTGGGAATGCGTGTCAGACACGCTACGCCGCGAATGCCAGGCCAACGCTGCTCACCGTGCTTCAATGACCTCGGCCGTGCGCGCATCCACCACATCCAACACGTCTCGCGGGCACGTCTTGCTGCCGACACTGCTGATGCCCTCCGCGAAGCCCTGGTGGTGCAGCAGCAGCTCACTGAGGAGAGCAAACGGCCTGCGCGCAAAGAGACCTGCGCTCTTCAGTTTCTCCTGCTGCAGCAGCGGCGCGCCGTCGTGCGTCGCGGCAGGCGAGGCGTCGCTCGGCGAGTTGTTGTCGTTGTAGTGGCCGAGCTGACCCGAGCCCGAGGCGCCGGCATACGAGCCCGCCTCGCCGCCCTGCGTGAGGCTGCTGTGGCCGCGGGTGTGGCCATTGGAGCGCGGCGAGTCGAGCGCCTCGTGCTCGCTCTGCGCTGGCAGGTCCTGGAAGAGGCTGAAGTTGCGGCTCCACAGCGCGCCGTTGTAGTTGCTCGCGCCGTCGCCGAGCGCCGCAGCTGGGCCCTGAGGAGACGTGGCCGATCCCGGGCCAGGCACGCGCCGCTCCGCCGCCTTGGCATCGGTGGATGTGCGAGCCTTCTTGGCCGAGCCGGGCGCCTTGCGCGGCGGCGGCGGCGCGCTGCCGCTGGCACTCGTGCTGGCATCGAGGCTCTCGTCGCCCGCCGCGGCGGCATCAGCCGGCTTCTTGCGCTTCAGGCCGTCCTCGCTGACGATGCAGCTGACGCCGAGCATCTTGCAGCGGTGGCACATGCGCTCCGGCGGCAGCGCGACGTTGGAGAAGGGCACGTTGGCGTCGGGCAGGTCGCAGCGCGTGCGCTTGGCGCGGCACTCGAGGCAGGTGCGGCGCGCATGGCCGCGCTTGCGCAGCGACGCGCCGGGCGCGCTGGGTGCGCTGGCCGGCGCCGGAGAGGTCATGTGCGCCGAGGAGGGGCTCGCGCGGAGGAGGCGTGGGTGTGGCGGTGAGGAAGGACGGCGCTGCGAGGAGGCGCACGAATGGCACGAGATGCCGGCGCTCCCGTCGCGGCGCGTCGCGCTGACAGCGCCAGACGCGGGCACGCTGCATCAAGAGCAGCGCCCGACGGCCGCGGGATCGGCTGAGAGGGCCCTGAAGGGCTGAAAGGCAAATCGGTGCCGTTGCGGAGCCGTGCCTTGTGCGTGCTGCTGCTCTCCTGCTGCGCTGCGCGGGGCGCGCGCCGCCGCGGTACAACGACAGCCGCCGGAGCGCGGCGAGCTCCGCGAGCTCGAGAGGCCGAGCATCGGCAGACGCGGCCACCGCCCCTGCAGGCTGCAGGCTGGCTGGCAGCACACACGCCGTCACATCGTGCCAGCGGGCGCAGAGCGGCTGCTGCTGAGCAGACATGCCCTGTGCTGCACACGAGTAGAGTAACAGAAGGGCTGCTGCTGCTGCGGTCGCTTCCTGAGTCGGGACGGCGGCCAGCAACAGGCGCTGCCGGAAGCGATCCCGATGCTGCCTCGTCGGGCACGACGCGCCTGCTCCCGCGCTCATGCGTCCGCATGCGTGGTCCACGACGTCCTGCTGCTTGCCCGCAGCTGTCGGCTGCCTGTCACGATGGGAGCGCCTGACATTACATCTCATGGCCCTACTCAGGTCAGTAGGTCTGTCTTGATTGCAACTGTCGCAGCGAAGTGACAGAGGGCGCGAAAAAGGGCGCATCGGGGCAGGAACAACGTCGAGCAGCGACGGCCGCGCGACACGAGCAACACAGCGCTGAGGTGACAGAGACAGGGCACGAAGCTGAGCCGGTCGGAGCTAATGGCCGTTTGAAGGTATACAGAGCCTTGCGCCGCGACGAGTCTTGCGTATGCCGGAGCACACATCGCGAGGTAGAGGAAGCAAGAGGGACATCGGGACGGCTCGCCTCTCACAGCTTGCTGCCTCTTGGCTTGTCGTCCTGGCCCTCTCGCTCTGCCCGTCGCTGTGCCGCCCGCTCACGCAGCTGCGGCTCCAGCTCGGCGTACGTCATGCCCATCGTGCCACTGAGGGGGCAGGAGCTCGTCAGCGCGTCTCGCGGTCGTCCTGACGCTCGACTCACGAAGCCCAGGGCTGCAGCGGCCGGAACTCGATGACGCCCTGCTCGATTGATGTGCCCAGCGCGGATCCGAGAAACTCGAACAGGCCACGCGACATCGCTGCTGTCCTGTCCTGTAGACATCGGCGACCGTGCTCAGCTCAACGTGTCGACGTCACGGGCGCACATCAGGCTCACCTCCGTGACGATCTCAGCGGCAACAAACTCCAAGAGCCAGGCACGCTCTGCGAGTTGGCCGCCGAATGACAGCTCTCCCTCAGCCAGCTTGATGAAGATGAACCTGCAGTGTCCGTCAGTCATCCGGCATGCAGCCACAGACGCCCGTCTCTCGGCAACCCACTTCTTCTGCCGTCCAGCAACGCGAGCCGCCGCCTGGGCAAAGTCGTTGCAGAACTGCGCTGCGTCGACTTGGCGACGCAGCGCGGGCGTCAGTGTGAGCACCAGCAAGGGCATCCTGGGCGTGCAGAGCTGTCGTTGTCGTGATGAGGAAGGAAGCACCCCGCAATCTGGCCCGCGCGCGGAGCATATCCCGCACCCGCTCATTGGCGCGTCCGGCAGCGCGCAGCCGGATGCCGGAGACCCGCCTCATGCGAGCACGTTGATGGGTGGTCTGCTTCGCCGGCGAGCTTCAAGCGAGAACAGGCGACAATGACGACGCAGCGCGCTCTATGCTATGCCCTCGTCGCCAACGATGTAGCTGTGCCATGGCGCTCCAGCCCGCACAACCACGTTCACGGACAGCAGCACTCGCACACATCGCTCACGCATCACCGACGCAGCACGCAAAGAGAGATTCACAGATTCGCATTTCTGCATGATCGCAGAGAGCTGCACGTGCGAACAGAAGAGGGGTTGGCTGGCGCGCACGCTTAGGCGGCGACAGTGACCTCGACCTCAACTCCCGGCTCGAGGGAGATGGAGGTCTGCAGACATGAGGTGTCAGCGGTGTTCACGAGCCTGAAAGGTCTCTCCCCTTGTGCGCTTCTCCTGCCCTGCCCAAAGCTCGTTCGCCCAGCTGCCCGCCGCCCGCCAGTAGCCCGCCCCTCCTCGTGCCACACCGCAAACTCACGATCTGCTTGACAATCTCCGAGGGGCTGTGCAGGTCGATGAGGCGCTTGTGGATGCGCATCTCGAAGCGGTCCCACGTCTTGGAGCCCTCACCGCACGGCGACTTGCGCGTCGTGTGGGTGAGCACCTTGGTGGGCAGGCGCACGGGGCCCTTGACGCGCAGCTGCTTGTCCTTGGAGCGCGACACGAGGTCGTTGCAGACTGGCCGGAATGGTCAGCCAATGTCTGCTGCAGTGCTGCACGGGCGACTCACCCTTCTCGAGGTTCTTCACGTTGCGCGACGCTGCACGAGGAGAGCACCAGGGTCAGTCTTGCAGCCACCACACGCCATCGCAGCATCACACGCACTGAGCGTGATGCGGATCTTGTGGATCTTGGCCGACGGCGCCGAGGCGTCGACGTCCTTGTCCTTTCCGGCGACGTAGCTTGCAGACATCTTGTTAAGCCAGCGGTGACCGGGGGAGGGTGAGATACTTGCGTGAGGGGGGAGGGGAAGGGAGAGGCGCGGCGCAGCGAGGCGGGCGAATCGGCGCGGCGGCGCAGAGGGCGAACCTCGAGAGCAGCACGTGACTCAAGCGCGCGACTCCCGCGAAGCCGCGCAGCTCGCCGCCACGAGGCTGCCGCGTCAGCCCCCGCGAGCGCTGGCGAGGCCTACGCTCACAGCAGCGCAGCGGCCCTCCTGCTTTGGCGCTTGCAGCAGCTCCTCTCTCGGAGCGTGCTTTGTGCGACGTGCGTCACGCTGCCGCAGAGTCGAGCTAATTTTCCGAGCCGGCGACGACTGAGGGTGTGGTATCGCGGCGCGCTGCCGGCCCGGCGCCTGCACGGCTGCGCTGTGCTGCCTGTGCTGCTGTGCTGCGCTGCTTCTGCATCGGCAACGCAGTTCCACGCGTCTGAGTTTGACAGGTAGAGCAAGGTACGGCTCGCCGCCATTTCCAGGCGAGCGGAGCAGCAGCCCAGCCACGCAGCTCACACGCAGCAGGGACACTCGCAGCAGCAGCCAGCCTGATCCTGTACCACGAGACAGTCGAGGCCCGTCTCTAAATCGCGCCCTTCTCGCAGCCCCAGATTTCGATAGAGTGAAGCATCGCCGGCGAGAGAAGAGGCGGCTCGAGAGCGCTTGGCCCCTCCGCGTCGCGTCGTGGGCCTGCCGACGCGTCGCGAACGTGGCCTCTCCCCGTGCCAGACGTCGCTTGCTGGGCAGCTGCGGCGAGGTGTGGCGCACCAGCCGCCACAGCCGCCAAAGAGGGTGAACGCGAGTTGGAGCGAGTCGGCATCGGTTGGGAAGGAGAGGTCAGCTCGCTGTATGTTGGCACTGCCCCTGTGCGGGAGCGGGGGCGCAGCAGCAGGGCCGAGGGTGCCGCCCTCCGGCTGCGTGCCTCTCCTGCGCCTGTGTCTCGAGATTCATTTGGCGTTGCTTCGGCCTTTAGGCTATCCTCGGCCCTGCGCAGCTCCTCTGCGAAAGTGCCGCTCGTCATCGCGCGCACGGCGTGGCTGTTGAGCATGTCCAGCATCGCCTCGCAGCACACGCCGCAGCAGCGCCTCAACTCGCGCCGCCTCGCCAGCCAAGCGCTCGGAGCCGGCGCGGAGTCCGCGCTGCGCGGTGCTGCGGCCGCTGCGTCATTTCGGCAACCGCTCCGGCGCACCCCAGGGCCGCGTTGTATTCAGCGAACACAAGAATCGAAGGCCGGCCGCCCGCGTGGTCTTCAGGGTGCAGGGTCCAATCCTCGTCGCGACACTGCTGCCCTGCCCGTGCGTGGCGCGCAGCCCGTGTGCGCGCAGGAACTGTGGGGCGTCCGTGGCCGGATGCCTCGTCGCGGCGCGCAAGCAGTGTACGAAAGCACTCAGGGTTCAGCGCGGAGGAGGCAGAGGAAGGCGTGGCAGCAGTGTGCGCAGCTGACCGCTGCACGCCACCAGCGTGATGTGACCGCGCTTGGCCGGCATCGCACGCCGGCTGCGGCGCCATGCTGACGAGGCATCGGAGCAGCGGCCTCGGATTTCTCGCCACAGCGCTCGCTGCGTGCTCGGCGCGCACGCTCTGCTGCGGGCGTGCCTGCGCTGCTGCCGTGCCTCGCCGAGGCCGCGTGCGCAGCCAGTAGCCGCAGCGCGCGTCGTCGTCGTCGCCAGCGCGCCGCGCACGCTGCCACACCACCACCATCACACACCAAGTCGCGACCGATATCGCTCCGCGCACCTCCAACACTCGCACCCACTTGCACACCCACACCTCAGAGCACCCGTCTGCCGTCACACGCAGGCCGCTGCTCTGCACCTCGCACCTCGCCGCGCACACTCGCAGCGCGCACACCCGACAAGGACCTCGTTGCTCCCGCCAGCCGATATCGCTCTGGCATTTTGCAGTCGTCCGCGTCCCGTTCCCGTCCTCTCCCGCTCGACCTAGCTCTTCTCCCCAGCTTCTGGTCGCCTGAACTCTCCGTCGAAGCACTCTCTACGCCGCTCTAGTCAACAGCCCGCGCGCTCTTGACTCGCCCGTACTTGCTGCGACAGCACATACAGCACATACGGCTCTCGCACGCCTGGTGCGCCCATCTTGGTTCCGTAGTTCCGTGGCCCGTTCCAAAAGACCTTCCGTGAGTAGTGCAGGCTTAGTAGGGCGCAGTGGGCTGGAAAGAGAAGAGAAGAGGCGAAGAAATGCGCGCGAGCAAAAGCGGGCCCGGACAGACGCGTTGGCGACCTCGGGATGCTGTTGAGAGCTGTTGAGCGAGGTCAGACGGTCTCAACAGGCATCTGAGGTGGTTTGTGTGGTGCATACGGCCGGGATGCACGGTTTGCGACGGACACACTGGTGCATGGCGGTCTCGGCTGGCAGGTAGGGTCCTCATGGTGCCGATGCACCTCGCACACCGCGCCACGCCTCTGCCACGCACAGCCGCGCCTCGTGCGGCCTTCCTGCGGTCTCTTCGGGCTCTTGTTGATTTTCTGGACCGTTCGTCGTCGTCGGATGGTCCCCGCGCGGTGTGCACCATGCGCCAGTGCTACCACGCGTGGATGGCTTGCGCAGGTCACGATGGTGCGCGTCCGAAGCCCACTGCCTCGACGTCGCCCTTCTCGCAGTGTGGCTCCGTTCGATCACTTCCCTCATGTCTCGACTGCATGCTGACACTGCCCTCCAGGTTATCGCTAAGGTCGCCCTCTCTTCCGTCGTCTCTTCGATACTTCCGTCCCCTCTTCTCGGCCCTCTTCTCGGCCCTTTCGCTCCGTAACGTCTCGACCCGACTCGACTCAGTCCTTCTACTCCGTCCATCGCCCAACGCTTGTTTCTGGAGTTTCAAACGCCTCGCGTTTACCCCGGTGTCCGACTATCGCTACACCAAACTCTGCAAGTGCCCACCATGGACTCCACTTTTGATTTTGCCGCCTTCATCAACTCTCCTGCTGCGGCAGGCGAGAATCCGCGCCCGTGGGGCGACGGCACCAACGCCGACGGTCCGCCGGCCGCCGACATGCACCGCTCGATCAGCGAGACGCTGCTCGACGGCTTTGCACCGTCGGGCACGCTCGGCGACGTCGACATGCACAGCACCATGTCGCGTCCGCAGGACTCGTACGTCTCCTCGGGCGCCCTCAACAGCGTCTTCGCAGGCCTCGATGCCAGCGCGCCGGTGCAGTCGTTCTCTGGCAACGCCGGCGGCCTGCTCGACGAGTGGGCCAGCCGTTCGGCCGGTGTCGCCAACGGTGCGCCATTCGACCAGGCCATGTCGTACGCGCCGCCCGGCATGAGCGAGCTCAGCAACATGGTGCAGCCGGCCACGCTGACAAACGACGGCCGCCCCGTGGTGCCGCTGCCCGCCGACTACCGTGCGCGCATCGCGGCGCACCACTCGACGCTTCTGCGCCAGTGGCTGCCCACGGCCGCCGAGGTCGCCAGTGCCAGCCGCGGTGCACCGGGACGCACGGCGCTCGGCATGCACAGCTCGCCGACCGTGCCGCTCAGCCAGTCGCTCCGTGCGACGCGGCCGACCATGATGACCTCGTCCACGGGCGTCTCCTCGTCCAAGGAGGGCTCGGACTGCTCCCGTCCAAGCCTCACCATCCAGGAGCGTCGTCGCCTGTCGCGCCGTCAGACTGCTGCCACCAAGACGACGTCCACGTCGTCGGCCGACTCGGGCGAGCAGACCGTCAACCCTGTCGTCAGCGGCCGCAAGCGTGTTAAGAAGACTCGCACGACGTCGAACGCCGGCACCGTCGACGTGCACCATGGCAACGACGGCACGCAGCCTCCGTCTGCGGTCGCCGCGTCGCCCGAGAACGTCTCGCTCGACGAGTCGCCGCCCAGCTCCACCAGCGGTCACGTCTTCGCCGGCGACTTTGGCAACGTGCTCGAGAACAGGCGTGCGACCAGCAACCTGTACTCGACGTCGGGCTTTGACCTCATCGGAGCACTCACGCGCATCGCCAACCGTCCGAACCCGCGCATCAACATCGGCCCCATCGATCTCTCGTGCGCCTTCACCGTCGTCGATGCCAGCCAGGTCGACCAGCCGATCATCTACTGCTCCAACTCGTTTGTCCAGCTCACGGGCTACGAGCGGCACGAGGTGCTCGGCCGCAACTGTCGCTTCCTGCAGTCGCCCGGTGGCCACGTCACGGCCGGCGCCGAGCGCGTCCACACGGACAGCCGAGCCGTGCGCCACCTCAAGAAGCACTGCCTCGCCATGAAGGAATGCCAGACGACGCTCATCAACTACCGCAAGGATGGCTCGCCGTTCATCAACCTCGTCACCGTCGTCCCGATCACCTGGGGCGGCAGCGGCCCGAACGGCGAGGCGCCGCCGGTGCTGCTCATCGGCTTCCAGGTCGACCTCGTCGAGGTGCCCGGCGCCATCGTCGAGCGCAAGCCCGATGGCACGTACCACGTGAACTACAGCCGCGCCGAGACCCTCGCCTCGAGCGTCGACGACTTCTCGCAGCGCGACCAGTCGGCCATGTCGTTCATGCACGGCCAGCAGTACCAGCAGCACGCCCGCCAGCAGCTCCGCCCGCCGGTGCCCGAGGCGCCCGTCGTGACGGAGGCCAGCCGCAAGGCGATGCAGGCGCAGGAGCTGGCCGACATCATCGGCAACGGCAGCAGCGAGACGTCGCAGTGGGCGCAGATGCTGCTCGAGAACTCGCACGACATCATCCACGTGCTCTCGCTCAAGGGCACGTTCCTGTACGTCTCGCCGTCCGTCGAGCGCATCCTCGGCTACAAGCCCGAGGAGCTCGTGGGCAAGTCCATCAGCGAGTTCTGCCACCCGTCCGACGTCGTGCCCGTGTTCCGCGAGCTCAAGGACTCGACGAGCAACGCGAGCATCGCTGCAGCGGCCCGACACTCGGCACGCACCGAGGGCACCGTCAACCCGCTCACCAAGGGTGGCGCTGGCCAGTCTGGCCCGCAGGTGAATCTCATGATGCGCATGCGCCACAAGAGCCTCGGCCACGCATGGGTCGAGAATGTCGGCAAGCTCCACCTCGAGCAGGGCAAGGGCCGCAAGGTCGTCATCTCCACCGGCCGTGCGCGTCCCGTGTACGACCTGCCGTGGGAGAACGCCAAGCGCAGCCTCGACTGCGCCTCGACGCCGAGCTTCTGGGCCAAGGTGTCGATGGACGGCCTCTACCTCAGCACGACGGGCCACCCCAGCGACGTGCTGGGCGTCGGCGCCACGGGCTCTGCGATGTCGGGCCGCCACATGCGCCGCGTCGCGAACCCCGAGGCCTTCGAGACGATCCTCGCCTCGCTCCGCGGCCACGGCGTCAGCGTCGTGCCGCACGAGATGAGCGACGGTGTCGGCGGTGAGAGCATCTCGGTGCTCTCGACCTTCTACCCCTCGACGCCACTCGCCGGCTGCCAGGAGCAGCCGGCCGTCTTCGTGCACACGCAGCGCCTCGACATGAGCAAGTCCGACCTGCAGAGCAACGTGCGGCATCCGCTCGCCACGACGCGTCTCGACGCGGCCATGTCGACGACATCGCATGGTGCCGGCGGCGAGGCGCACGAGACGGGCGCCGTGCCCAAGAGCGGCGAGCCGGGCGTCGGCAGCGTCTTTGCCGAGCTCTCGACGTACCGCAGCAGCTCGTGGGTCTTCGAGCTCCACCAGCTGAAGAACGCCAACAAGCGCCTGCGCGAGGAGGTGCGCCAGCGCCGCCGCGCGGCGGACCATGGCCACCACCACCCGGCGACGCCTGGCGGCCCGCAGCGCCCGCCGCTGACGGTGCACCCGGCGCACACGCCGAGTAAGTCGGCGCTGAGCAAGACGATGCAGCGCTCGCCGAGCAAGAGCATGCTGGCCAAGCCCAACAACAGCAACAGCAATAGCTCGATGAGCAGCGGCACCGAGACGACGTCGTCGCGCAGCTCATCCTCGATGCCGTCGAGCAGCAACGGTCGGCTCGGCTCGGGAGACAGCGGAGACGCCAGCGACGAGACGGAGGCAACAAGCGTGCCGAGCGACGGAAGCGCCGAGCAGGACCACGTGCCGACGCTTGCCAGCATCAAGCAGCACTAAGCTGTGTGGCGCTGCGTCGCCACCACGGCGGCTTCGGCCGTCATGCTCGCCAGGTGGCTGCCACCTGGCCACCAGTCCCTTGCCTCCGGCGCTCCGTCGCCCGTTCATCAACGCTCCCGTCTCTCCAGGCTGTAACCCCGTCACCGCTCGCTCCGTCGTCGCTTCCAGGTCGCTCGTCCGTCACGCTCGTCTCCAGTCACTCGGCCTTCTCACTCCTCGCATCCGAGCCGTCCGTCCGACGTTGATTCTCTCTACCCTTTGATCCTAATTGTGCAGTCTCCACGCTCCCTCTCTACCCCTCGCCGGTCATACTCGCACCGGCGCACTCCACTCTCTATAGGGCGCTGCTCGCAGCGCTCGCACACCCGGCAAACACGCTCGCAGCGCCCCCTCTTCACGCTGCCCACTTACCTTGCCCCGACACACCCGTACGCACCGGCACCGCGCCATAGCGCTGCGCCATCTGGCCCGCCCCTCTGTGTATCATATACGCTGTGCCACCCCATCCGTGCTCACCCCCATCCAGCCTAGCCCCGTCCCCCCGCTGTGGCCTCGCTGAAATGACCGATTGCGTCTCTCAATCTCGCTGTGCTTTAGCCTGAGCTTCAAGCTGACGGGTGTCAGCGTCGGACCGGAGCGCCGACTGCTCTCTGCGCTGCGCACGTTCACAAGCGCCCATCGTGGTGCTGCGGCGGACGAGGCAGCACGCTGGACGGTCCACGCCAGCGCCAGCGGCCGCTGCGACGTGCACGCCTTAGCGGCGAGCCGCAGAGATCTCCAGCGCACAGATCGTCGCTGTGGCAGCCTCAGCACCAGCGACATCCAGAATGCAGGCTCGCCTGGCCGCTGCATCCAACGTCGAGCTGCAGTCGTCAAGCTAGCCGCACGAGGATGCGTTTGGTGGTGCCATGGTGCAGCAGAACCCTGGCGGTAGCGTGCCCGTGTTCCTGCACTTGGCCCAGCCGCTGCCGCTGCGCCACGCCCGGCCGTTGCATCGCTGGGCTGCGGGCTATGGCTGGCTGGAGCATCAGAGCATGAGAAGCTCACTCGACGCGGTCCGCAGCGACGGCTTGGGCGCGAAGAGGGACAGACCGTCGAGTTTCGGAGGGTCGCTGCGCTGTTCTCACCTCCATCACCGCCCGTCTCCTTGCCGCAAGCTGCTTGAGAACCTGCCGCAGCGCAGACGACACCAACCTCTGTCAGAAGGCGCATCAGCACCAGCTCGACGGAACGACGGCGCCGAGAGCTCTTTGCACGGCAACACGGAGCGAGGCGGCTGTACGAGGTACTTGAGGCTGTGTCGGCGCCAAGCTCGAGGCGTGCCTTGCCGCGCCGCAGAGCGAGGTCCGCGTACAGCCGGCAGCCGCCCCGCACTGCGCCTGCTGCTCTCTGCTCCACTCGCACCGCACGCTGCTCTCGCATAAGAGATCGGCGTCCAAGCCAGCGCCCGTCTCCGCCCAGCTCCACCATCTCGAACGCCGCACACGCCGCAGTCTCGCACCACACTCCCGCCTCTCCGCCGCGCCTCTTCTCCTCCACGCCCTCCAGCGCGGCCTCTCCGCACGCCGGCGCTCCTGCCGCCTGCGCCCACCGCCGCCATGTCGCGCCCGCCAGTCCTGCCGCCGCTGCCGATGGGCTTCGGCGACAACGCCGGGCCCTTTCCGCCCGTCGCACGGCGAGCCAGTGGAGCACCGCCGCTGCCGCCGCACCCGCCAGGCGCCCTGCAGCGCGAGCAGCAGCTGCGGGCCTCGCGTGTGCCGTCGGGCATGCCGATGCCGCCCTCGCAGCAGCAGCAGTACCCGCAGCCCATGATGGCGCCGCAGCCGGCACGCGCCTCCTTCGTGCCCGGCCAGTTCGTGCACCCGCCGCCGCCGATGCCTGGCGCCCGCATGCCCAGCCCAGCGCCGCCAGGCCACTTTCCCATGCCCGGCGGGCCTCAGCACTACGGCGGCCTGCAGCAGCAGCAGATGCCCAACCGGCCCTCGTCGGCAGCGCCGCCGCCAGGCCCCAACTACGCCGCACCGCCGCAGAGCAATCGACCATACTCCATGCCGCACTCGGAGAGCATGCCAATGCCGATGCCGCAGCACGCGCAGCACGCACACGCACAAGGAGGCATGCCCAACTTCAGCGGCCTCAGCCTCTCGCCGGGCCGTGGAGCGGGCCATGGCGACCGACGCGCCTCAGCAAGCGAGAGCTCGGCGCGCAACAGGGCGCCTTCGCCAGCGCCGGCTCCTAGTGCAGCTCCGGCGCTCAATGTGCCGCTGTCCGACCCAACGTCGCTGGCAGCGAGCAGAGAGAAGGCCCTCGCCAGTGGCGATGACCGGCGCCGCCTGGCCTGGGCCAAGGACGTGGTGCGCTTCGTCGAGCGCAAGGAGAACAAGCACGTCGATGCCAGTGTTGCGCGCTGGCTGGATGAGGCGGTTGCGCTGGTGAGTGCTGGTGATCGGAGCTCGCTTCGCGCCCCAGGCTCTCACATAATCTGACTCTTGCCCTGCCAGATCGTGCGTCGGGCTTCGGCATCGCCTCCCGACGTCGAGGCGCTATACCTGCGCGGCGACCTGCAAGCGAGTGGCGCTCTGCCGTCGCACTTCCGCAAGAACCTCAAGGCGGCCTTCTCCGACTTTGAGCTCTCGGCGCGCATGGGCTTCGCTGCCAGCTGGTTCCGCATCGGGCGCGACTACGAGGTGCTCGGCGACACGGCGCGTGCCATTGATGCGTACGAGCGCGGCGTCAATGCCAGAGACGTGGGCTCTGTGTACCGCCTTGGCATGGCCAACTTGCTCGGACAGCTCGGCATGCGGGCGGACCACGGGCGCGCAGTGGCTCTGCTGCGCCAGGCGGCCGACGCTGCCGACCTCGACACGCCGCAGCCAGCCTACATCTACGGCATGCTGCTCGCCGGTGCGTGCCGCGAGACTCTCTGCGCTGTGCTTGTGCTGACCGCCAGCCTTACTCAGGCGAGTTCTCGCACGTCGAGGTGCCGGGCCATCTCTTGATTGCCTCGCCTGATCCGGAGAACCCGCGCGCACCCGTCTCGCTCGAGTCCGAGGCACGGCGGCGCATCGAGCGTTCCGCGTTTCTCAACTTCGCGCCGGCGCAGTACAAATGCGGCTGGGCGTACGAGTATGCGCAGCTCGAGTGTCCCTTCGACCCGCTCCTCTCCGTGCAGTACTATAGCCTGGCCAGCCAGGGCGGCGAGATTGAGGCGGACATGGCACTCAGCAAATGGTTCCTGTGCGGCGCCGAGGGCTGCTTTGACAAGAACGAGGAGCTCGCGTTCACCTTCGCCGAGAAGGCCGCGCGCAAGGGTCTCGCCAGCGCCGAGTTCGCCCTCGCCTACTACTACGAGGTCGGCGTCGGCTGCGACAAGGAGCTCGAGCTCTCGCGCAAGTGGTACAGAAAGGTGAGTTGCCGCGTGCCTCCTCGGTGTGTACGTCGCTGATAACCTGCGATTTGCTTAGGCTGCTGCCCACGGCAACCCTGATGCACAGGAGCGTCTCGACGCACTGCACGGACCAGCGCCAGCTGCGCTCTCGCGGCGCGAACACGAGGCACAGCTGGACGTCAAGCTCGTGCGCAAGCGCACCGAGGCCAAGCAGCTGTCGGACCGCGCCGGACGCGGGCAGAAGCCGCGCGCAGGCCTGCAAGACATGGGCGGCCGGAACGATCTCTCGCGCAAGAAGACGATGCGCCTCGTCGAAGAGACGGCTGGCGGACCGCGCAGAGAGGCCGGCCGGCGCAGCGAGGCAGCGCGTGCGCCCTCGCCGGCGCCGCCGGGACAGCGGCAGGGCTATGCTCTGCAAGAGACGTACGCCACGCCGCCCCACTCGGGTGCCAGGCGCGCCAGCCTCAACCCGCCGCCGGCGCCGGCGCAAGGACGACCCGCACCGTCGGGCGCACCCACGCCTGCGCCGGCAGCAGCACCGCCGAGCGGCGCGGCGTCTACTGCGTCGGGCGGCTCGGGCTCGTCGGCGGCGGCGAAAGGCCCGCCTGCGAAGGTGTACGAGAGCTTCCAAGAGATGGGCTTTGCGCAGAAGAAGGCCGAGGTGAGTGACTGCGCAGGACGTGAGCGCATCTGCCAGGGCATCGACTGAATCGTCGGCTCCAACTGCAGAACGAGAAAGACTGCGTCATCTGCTAGATCCCATCCGCAAGCAAGGGCCCAGCACGCCCGTCTGCCGCGTCCTCGATACCTCGACTCTGTCTCCCAGACACTCCCGCTCCGTTTCCCCACGCCTCGCATACCCCACGCTGCGCCAGGCCTCCCTGGCCGCGTCCCGCTTCCCAGCTCCGCGCGACCCCTCCTTCCCGTTCGGCAGTGGTGCATCGCGCTATAGTCATACATCACACGGACGCTCGCTCTGATCGCCGAATGACGAGGCTGTCATTTGCTGCTCTCGCCGATGATATGCCGCTGCATGGCGGCGCGCATCTCTCGTTGCACGTCCGACGCTGCCTTCCGTGCCAGCGCCAGGACCTCCTTGTACTGTTCGTGGGCGCGCGAGTCAGACTTCGCGGCAGGGACGCAGCGCGCCGCACTCACCTCGGCCCAGTCTACTGCTCCCTCGCTGCGTGTAAAGACGAGTGCTGCCGTCTGCCCTGTGCTGTCGTCGGCGGCTGCCGAGGCGTCGCGGCCGGAGAAGGCAAAGGCGAAGACGTGCGTGCTGTGTGCATAGAGCAGCTCGTGCGGTGTCGGATCCAGCAGCAGAGCATGGCTGGCGAGCATCAATCAGCGCAGGAAGACTACGAGCTGCGCCGGCGCACTCACCTCTCCTCATCCTCCATCTCCTCATCCTCGGCCTGGTCCTCCTCGCCGGCACGCCAGTGCTTTGCAGCGCGCAAGCTGCGTGCCTTTGCCGCAGGCAGCACGGCCACGCAGGCAGCGGCAAGGGTAGCAGTGCACTCGGTGCCGGCATCCAGGAGTGCCAGCATGGCGGCATTGAGGCAGGCGGCGACCTCGGGCGCCTGGATGCGCGCATCGGGATGCGACGGCGGCAGCGGCGGCGCATGGCGTGGCGGCCGCGACGCACTGAGCGGCGGCGGCGGCGGCAGCGAGAGGGCGTGCACGCTGAGCTGCAGCAGCGTACGCGGCAGTAGCTCGCGGCGCACAACGGCGGCGAGTGCGGCGTGCAGGGCTGCGCCGAGCGCCGTCGACGGCAGCGCGGCGGGTGCGAGGAGCGGCGTGTGGAGCACGACGAGCGTCGCGGCATCGCTGAGCTCGTCGCGGATGCGCACCTCCGACGGGCCGGCAAGCGCAGCGAGCACGGAGAGCGGCCCGCTGGCAAAGATGGCAGAGCCGTCGGCGTGCGGCAGCGGCGCCAGCGAAAGCGTCAGCGGCCGTGAGGCCAGCAGCGGCCGGGACATGGCGCCGGCGAGAGGGCGGAGGAGAAGGGTCGCGAGGCGATGGGGAGCGGTGTAGTACGCAAAAGCAAAGGACTGGCGGAGGAGCAGTGTCTCGAGTCGAGGTGACCGCGCAGGTCCGGGCGTAGGTATGGCTGTTGCTGTCGTCGTCGTTGGGAGCAAGAAGCTCGGGCAGCAGCAGCAAGCTGTCGCAGCCTTCGCGGCACATTTATCTCGGCCGAGTGCGCGCCGCTTCTCCACCTCGAGAGGCTGCACCGCCCTTGCTTTCTCCCACCACACCTTCAGCCGTTCGCCTTCCCGCCTTCAGCATGGCACACGCAAATCTCGACCGCCGGCGCGCCAACGGACCCGAGACGATGCCGCCGCTCTTCATGCCTGCCGCACCCATCGCGCCGCGCAGCCGTGCTCCCACTGCGGCGCGTCCACTCTGTGCGTAGCACGGCCTGCTGCTTCCAGCGCTGCTCCTTGGGCGTCCCTGCCAGCGACACCGGCAGCAGTCCGAGCCCTCATGCTGCTCTGATGTCCACAGCTGGCGCTGCTGGCTGCCTGGTCCCGCCATGCACTCACACTCCCCGCCCTCAGTCATCAAGTCCGCGCTCATCCCGCAGGCAAACGGCTCGGCCTACCTCGAGGCCGGCGGCCTCAAGCTCGCCGCCGCCGTGTATGGCCCACGCCAGGCGCGGCAGAAGGCGTACAGCCAGAAGGCAGACGTGGTGTGCGAGGTGCGCGTGGCGCCCTTTGCTATTGCTGGGCAGCGGAGGCGGCCTGGAAAGGTGAGTTGCTTGCTGAGACGGCGAGCCCGGTGCTGCTGTAGAACAAGAGCACAACGAGGGCAGCAAGACCCAGGTTGTGGTGTGCGAGGATCCTGACACTTCCACTTCCTACAGGACGTCGAGTCGCCATCGCTATCTCTCGCTCTCCGCTCTGCTCTGCTTCCCTCTTTGCGGCTACGGCTGCTCCCAAAGGCCAGCGTCGACATCTACGTGACGATCCTCGAGGCCGATGCCGGCTCGATGTTGCTGGCACAGGCAGGCGCCGAAGGTGCTGCTGCAGGCGCCAGCGACATTGACGATGCACTGCTGCCTGCGGCGGCCACGGCGGCCAGTGTAGCGCTGGCAGATGCGGGCATTGAGATGTGGGGCCTGGTGGTTGGTGCTTCGCTGGTGAGCCTGGGGGGAGCCTTGACTGCCGCACCGATCTGACCGTCCATCACAGATACTGGACCGCAAGGGCACGATGCTACTCGACCCGACACGCGCCGATGCCGTGCAGGCTCGCGCCTCGGCGCGTCTCTGCAGCATGCCTGCCCTTGGCGCCATTACGTCGATCGAGATGGCGGGCGACCTGACGCCGGACGAGAGCGACGCGGTGCGTCTGCTCGAGCGTGGAGCAGGTCGCGCCAGAATGCTGACGCAGTTCCTCTCCAGGCGATCACCATGCTGCAGCAGGCGTGCGCCGACATGCATCTCGTCGCCGCCCGCGCCGTCAAGACGGGCTTTGAGACACGAGAGGAGGATGCTCGGGGTGCGCCGACGATGATTGACGGGAGTCAATAGTGCTTCGCCAGCGGCTGGAGAGAGCAATGGATGCGTGCGCCGTTCAGTCTGAGAGCACGAGCGTTGTCGCGCGGAAGGTCCGAGCTGGACATGTATATCAAGAAGCGGGGGGAGATCGGGAATACAGCAGGAGAGCGGCGAGGACGGCGGGGCGCGTGCGCATGCCAGTGCAGCGCGCAGGGGGGCGAACTTCTAGTGGGTGCGAGAAGGTGGAAGAGGAGTGACGGTGAGGTGATGGACGTGACGCTGAGGGGACTGGGGAACGGGCGAGAAGCGAAGAACATGCAGCGAGCGTCGCGCCTACTGCAGGCGACGCTCCGTGTTCCGCCGGCCGTTGACAAAGTCGGGGCTCGTGAGCGTCATCTCGGGCGAGCCGTAGAGCGCACGGTCGACGGCCTCGACGCCGAGCATGAACGAGTGGTCCTGGTTGCCCACCTCGTACTTCCAGCTGCCGAAGCGGCCGCGCGAGTAGATGTCGTACTTGTCGGCGAGCACGGGCAGGATCTTGGCCAGCGCCTCGTCGCGCTTCAGGCTCGGCGTCGGGTAGCCGGGCGTGAACTTGCGGTGGTACGTCGAGACAATGACGTCGTCGGGCTTCATCAGCTCGGTCGCGACGCAGCCGCGGATCGTCTCCTCGAGGATCGTCTGCATGTCGACGGGCTTGAGGTGCGACTCGGACACCTCCATCATCAGCGACCAGTACGGGCCGGCCTGCGGCTCGCTGTCCGGCTTGCCCTTGCTCGGGTCGGCGTACTGCAGGCCCGGCAGCTTGACGCCCTCCTGCGGGCAGTTGTTGGGCGAGTAGTTGCTGAAGATCGTGGCGCGGTAGAAAGGGCAGTCGTCCTCGGGGAAGTACAGCCAGCACTTGTCGCCGATGCGCGGCGGCAGCACGCCGCGGATGCCAATGCCAATGACGTGCGTGCTCGAGTAGATGAGGTCCGGCTTGGCCGTCTGCAGCGTCTTGATGTCCTCCTGCGCGCCGTCGAGGTTGTCGATCAGGTAGTCGAGGCCCATCGTCGTGATGAGGTGCTTGTACTTGATCGAGCCGCCGTCGGAGAGGTGCACCGTGTGCGCGGCGGCGTCGACCTTGGACACCGTCTTCTTGAAGAGCAGCTTCTCGGCCGGCAGCGTCTTGGCGACGGCCTTCCAGATGCCGCCAGTGCCGCCCTCGGCGGGGAACTTGAACGTGGCGTTGGGGCCCCAGTTGCCCGCCACCTTCTTGTTGAGCGTGTTGGACACGACAAGCTTGAGCGACGGCGCCGCGACGCGCTCGCCGAGCCACTTGCATTGCATCTGCACGCCCGCGTGTCAGCGGCGTGCGCACAAGTCACGCGCGCGCAAAGCACTCACGTCCGTCGTCGGGACAGCCCAGACCTTGAAGTTGTAGGGGCGCATGAAGAGGTCGGCAATGCCCTGGCCTGGAAGCAGGTGCGCGCGCCAGCGTCAGTGCCCTGTCGCAGCGCTTTGCGCGCGTCTCTCCTCGTCCATCGCAAAGCGCCACACTCACCCATCATGCGCATGATCCACTCGTCGAAGTTCTGCGGCGCATCCTTGGCGCGCACGCGCACCTCGGCAGCGTCGATCATGCCCTCAATGGCCTTGACCTGGTCGTCGACGGGCAGCACGCTGATGTTGTTCTGGTAGGGGTCTGCGCGCGCGGACCAGGTGTCAGCGCGCGCTGGCGGCGTGTGTATGCGCGCGCGCCAGGCGGTGCAGTGCTAGCTGCAGGAACGGCTCTTCTTCTGAGCTGTCTCGAGAGCAGGAATGCGCGCGCAGAAGACAGACGACAGCTCACGCTGCCAGCGCAAGGTCCGACTGTGCTCTGTAAGGGCATGCGCGCGCCTTGCGTGTCCCTCTTGCCCTCTTGCGCGCCACTCAGCTGGCCCTGCTCTGCGCGTAAATCTGCTCCTCTTGCACCTGCGCCCGCGCCACCACGCCCGCACCTCGCGCACGCCCGTCCGCGACACTCACACGGCACCCAGACGTTCTTGCTGCGCACGTAGGACACGCGCTGGTGCTCGTACCAGTCGCCGTCCTTGGGGAGTGCCTCATGGATGACATCGTCGAAGTAGGCGTAGTGTGAGAAGATGACGTGGCCGCCGACGTCGAAGAGGAAGCCCTCGTCGGTGATGTCGGTCGAGGCAAGACCGCCGGCCTCGGGCGCCGAGTCGATGAGCGCCCACGTGCCCTGGTTCTGCAGGTGCCGAGATGTGAGCAGGAGCCTCGGACATGCTGGCAAGGCAGGCTACGCACGAGCTGGTGCAGACGCTTGGCGGCACCGAGACCGGTGGGGCCTGAGCGCGGGCCGGCGTGTCAGTGCGGGTGGCGCGCGCGCGAAGGAAGGCCAGCGCCGCTCACCGGCGCCAATGACGAGCGTGTCGACGGACTGGACGGACATGCTGTGCGGGAAGGAGGGGGAGCACGGGTTGGAGTGTGGTGGGCGGGAAAACGGCACGGCGGTGCGGCGCGGTGTCTATATGAGGCCTGCGTGCTGGACGCAGCGCAGAGCAGCTGCAGGGGGGCAGGGGTTCGCTCGCTCCAGCTCGGCGGTGTGCATCTCGCCCTGGCACGCCGGCGCGCCGGCCGCACCGCAAGCGCGAGCTGGCTGGCGGAGCAGCTCCTCGGCCTGCCGCCGAAGCGTGAAGGAGCCCTGCATGCGCGCGCGCTCTGCCTTGCGCGCTGCTGCTTATGCTGCCGCGCGCTGGCTCGTGCCCGTCGCCGGCCGCACCCCGGCACGCCGCCTGCGCTCCTGCACGGCGCGCGCGCCGCCTCTCGCGTCTGCGCCTTCCTTCTGGCGCAAAGCGCACGCCTGCAGCCCTCCGCCACACCGCCGGCCGCGGCGCGTGCGGCGCATCAGCGCTCTCGCCCAGCCCCTGCTGACACCGCCTCGCTCCAATCACGGCGCACCTTGTCCCTGGAGTGCGGCGCATTTGGCACCTCCTGCGCCGCTTGTACGCCGCCCTCGCCGCCTGCGATCCGCAAGGCGGCAGCATGGAAGGCGCAGGCCGCCGGCAGCGCGGCGCCGCGCCTCATGCGCCGGCATCGGCCCTGAGATCCCCTCTGCGCGCGCCAGGGGTCCGCTGCTTGGTGCATCGTGCTGCGCATGGTGGCTGGCTGCTCGGCTTGCCGATCAACACATGCACACCGCGCCGCCGTCCAGACAGATGGCCGAGCCGCATCAGCAGCACCCGAACGTGACCTCGCCGGCTTTGTACCCCTCGCCACCCTCCTGTCCGACGGTCCTCGGTCGTCAGATTGGGCGGTCTGGCGCGCCTCGCAGGAGCCTCGGAAGAGGGCTGAGCGGCTGTGCTCAAGGCTGTGGCGCCAAAGCAGCGGTCCGCATAGACGACTCGTGTTTGGAAGGGAGTGCAGCGCCTGGACGTCGACAAGGTCTGCCCTCTCCCTCCGAGAGAGCTGCTGCTTGCGGTGCCAGCAGCCTTCCGGGCCTCTCCGCCGCGCCTTGTTCGCCGCAGCAAAGCAAAGCGCAGCTTGCCGTCGTGCGTGCTCACAACATCGGCGACCATCCGCGATCAGGCATGAGCTGGCTCCTGCGGTGAGATCCGCCGCACGGCCGAGGCAGATTCGCCTCCGCGTCGCCCCGGACTGCGAGCCCTGCAAGGGGCTTCGCGCCGGCGCGCGGCACGCGTCGCATGCCTTTGCCGCCCCGACGGCGAGCTCGCCGTGAGCCGCTCGCCGCCGCACCTGCACCTGTGTTCTCACGGCATGCGGGCCGAGCAGACGAGGCTGCGCTGTCGTGTGGTGTTGCAAAGTGCAGCTCAGCGTGCTGCAAAGGTGATCCGCAGGACCTGCGCCAGCCTGGCTTCGCTTGCCGTGGGAGCCACGCGCTCGCAGGCTGCGCGCACGCGCCGCGGGGACGGTCACAGCATGCTGTCGGCGCCAGTTTGCGCTCATGCTCGACGCACAGGCATGATCTCGGGAAGCCTTTGGCTGTGAAATAGAGCTCTCACAGCAGCGTCGCAGGAATGACTGGTTGGAAGGCGAGCGGTGACGTGCGAGATGATCGGGCTGCGGGGATGATCCGGCGAGCAGAGGAAGACGCATGACAGCGTGCGCTTCATACCCAGCCTGATGTCAAGCGCGCAGTGCAAGGGAACCTGTCTGTCTGCGCCTACTTCCAGCTCATCACCTCCCTCCCAGTACTGTCGATCTCTGCATTCACACCGACTGACACAGCGCGGCAGGCGCGGAGATTGGCAAGAATGCTTTCATTCGTGTACCAGGCCCACATGCTTCTAGAAGCGACGAGGCAACAGGAGTAGAGGAGTGTGGTGCTACAGCGCCGAGAACAGGGTCTGGTGTAGAGGAGAAATCGCGTCACATGTGACGAGCAGGCGGCTCGGATGAAGTCCGTGGGCCGGCGACTAGCTCGTGGGTTGGATATTTGCTGGGAATGACAATTAGACGGACGGGGCGCATCGGCGGCTGTTGGCTCGGATAGAGTCCGTGGGCGAATAGCGGCGAGAGGCGCAGTACACATGTGATAAGGGAGCTGGGGCCGAAGGCGCGCGCGCGTGACGATTGGTTGTTTTTGCTGGAGGACCCGAGGAGGACTGAGGCGTGGCGGTGACGACGAAGAGATGCACGACTTGCTGGCGCATGCGGTGCTGCTCGGATAGAGTCCGTGGGCAGCACGCATGGCGGGTGATAAGAGATGGCGGATGAGGGGGAACGGAGAGGAAGATGGAGAACTTGGGAACGGGAGGGGACGAGAGTGCGCCCGCTTAGGTCTCGGAGACCGGCGGCACGACGGCGTGCTCGTCGCCCTCCTCGCCGGGGATGACGTCGAGCGTGTCGATCTCGAGGAGCGACTGGCGGATGATCTCGACGCCGCGGTCAAGGTCGGCCTCCTCGATGACGAGCGGCGGCGCAAGGCGGATGATGTTGACGTGCGTCGGCTTGGCGAGCAGGCCCTTGCTCTTCAGCAGCAGGCACAGCTGCCACGCCGTGCGGCCCTTCTGCGACTTGGAGCTGTCGATGACGATGGCGTTGAGCAGGCCGCGGCCACGGATCTCGGAGAGCATCGGCACCTCGCCGCTCTCCTTGAGCTTCAGCAGGTCGCCGCGGAACTTGGCGCCCAGACGCTCGGCACGCTCCGAGAGCTTGTCGTCGACGAGCACGTCGAGCGCCGCCGCCGCCACGGCGCAGCCCAGCGGGTTGCCGCCGTACGTCGAGCCGTGCTCGCCCGGCTTGATGACGTGCATGATGGAGCGGTCGGCCAGCACGCAGCTGACGGGGTACACGCCGCCGGAGAGCGCCTTGCCGAGCGTGACAATGTCCGGACGGATGCCCTCGTGCTCGCACGCCAGCATGCGGCCCGTGCGGCCGAGGCCCGTCTGGATCTCGTCGCAGATGAGCAGCACGTTGTGCTTGGTGCAGAGCTCGCGCACGCGCTGCAGGTAGCCGTGGTCCGGCACGACGATGCCCGCCTCGCCCTGGATCGGCTCGACGAGGAAGGCGCACACGTCCTTGCCGTGCTTGTCGAGCACGGCCTCGAGGTCCTCGGCGTGGTTGTAGCGGATGTGCAGGTCGCCGATGCCCGGGCCGACGCCCTCGAGGAAGGGCCCGAAGCCGTCGCGCGACTCGTCGTCGGTGCTCATGCTGACGATGCCGAGCGTGCGGCCGTGGAAGTTGCCCGAGACGGAGAGGATGTGCGCCTTGCCAGCCTCGATGCCCTTGACCTGGTAGCCCCACTTGCGCGAGAGCTTGAGTGCCGTCTCGACGGCCTCGGCGCCCGTGTTCATCGGCAGCACACTCTCGTAGCCGAAGAGCTCCGTGACCTTCTTGGCAAACGGCCCGAAGGCGTCGTTGTAGAAGGCGCGCGACGAGAGCGTCAGGCGCGATGCCTGTGCCACGAGGGCGGCGACGATGCGCGGGTTGCAGTGGCCCTGGTTTACCGCCGAGTAGGCAGAGAGGAAGTCGAGGTACTGGCGGCCCTCGGGGTCCCAGACGTGCGCGCCGAGGGCGCGCGAGAAGACCATCGGCAGCGGGTGGTAGCTGGAGGAATGTCAGCGCGGTGGCTAGAAAGTCAGGTGTACTGCTGCGCCAGCCACATGCCCTGGTGTCGCGCACCGTCGAGCGTCCAGTACGGCGTAAAGTAGCCATTTGATAGACCGGCTGCAACACGCCACGGCCAGGCCCTGCCTAGCAACTCACTTGTGCGCGCCGTAGTCCGACTCCATCTTCATGATGCTCTTGGAGCCCTGCGCCTCGCCGTGCGTCTTTGCGAGCGGCGCAGCGGCGGCAGCGGCGACGGCCGCACCGGCAGCCTTGGCACCGAGCACCGTAGCGCTGAGCTTGCCGGCGAGGGCGGCGACGGCGCTCTGGGGCGCGGCGCCGTTTGCGCCGCTGTCGCCGAGAGCAGTGGGTGCCATGCTTAGTGAGAAGGGAGTGGAAGATAGGGGCGCGCCTGGTCGGAGCGGTGCGTGTGGTAGTGAGAGGGCAAGGAGCGAGGGCGAGGCCGGCGAGATAGAGCAGGCAGCCGTCGGCGCTGGCACGGCTGAGTGGGGCCGGCGCCGCCGCAGCGACGCAGCGTCAGGGCCTTCCGCTCGACGGTGACGCCAAGCGTGCCGGCGTGGGGTCGAGGCGCGCGGCGCGGCCGCTCCTCCCGCGCCAGGAACGCGCGCCAGCCACGCGCGCGATAGAGGATCACCCGCGGCACAAAGTCACGTGCACAGCTCGGGCCGCAGGCGATCGACGGGCGGTGCGTCATCGGTGATCTGCCGGCCGTGGAGAGAGCGCCCGTGCGCTGTCTACGCTCTTCTTCTTGATGCGCGTGCCGGCCGCCGACGATGGGAGGCGGCGGCAATGCTCGATGTCGCACGACAGCCGCCGATGCCACCTTGCCTCCGCACCACATCCATCACCCCACCACACACACCCCACACACCTCTCACACTCACCATGCCGCGCGGATACGCCATCGGTGAGCACGGCACTGCAGCACGAAGCGCGAGCATCGCTGACCCGTTGCCCAGACGACACGTCCAAGTGGACCGACTTCAAGGTCATCGACTTTGACCTCAAGCCCGAGGAGGACGACGACGTGACGATTGCCATCGAGTGCTGCGGTGTCTGCGGCTCTGGTGCGTGTCTGAGAGCTTTGCCGCTCCGGACGCACTCGCTCACACCTCCCAGATGTGCACACCATCTCCGGCGGCTGGGGCGAGCTCGCCGTGCCCGCCGTCATTCCCGGCCACGAGATCGTCGGCAAGGTTACGGCCGTCGGAAGCGCCGTCAAGGACATGAAGGTCGGCGACCGCGTCGGCGTGGGCGCTCAGGTCGGCTCGTGCGGCACCTGCTTCCCCTGCAAGGGCGGCGACGAGCAGTACTGCATCGGCGACGACGCCACGGGCAAGAGCATGGTCGACACGTACAACTCCAAGTGAGCGGCGCACCGAAGTGACCAGCTATGTGCACGCACTGACTTTGGCCCCCAGGTACGTCGACGGCTCCATCGCCCAGGGCGGCTACTCGACGGCGATCCGCGCCCACCAGCAGTTCGTCTTCCCCATCCCCGACGGCATCTCGAACGAGGATGCCGCGTCGATGCTGTGCGGCGGCCTGACGGTTTACTCGCCGCTGCTGCGCAACGGCGCCGGGCCGGGCAAGAAGGTGGCCATTGTCGGTCTTGGCGGCCTGGGCCACTACGCCGTGCTCTTTGCCGTGGCGATGGGCTGCGACGTGACGGTGATCAGCCACTCGCCGCGCAAGAAGGACGACGCCATGAAGATGGGCGCAAAGGACTTTATCGCCACGGGCGACGAGCCCGAGTGGTACAAGCGCTTCGGGCGCAAGGAGCAGCCGTTTGACCTCATCGTCTCCACCGCCTCGTCCAACGCCGTCGACGTGCCCTCGGTGCTCTCGACGCTGACCGTGCACGGCAAGGTGAGCCGTGCGGAAGCCGCATCTGTACTGCGTTCGCTGACGCCCTCCACAGGCCGTGTTCGTGGGCATGCCCGAGGACCCGCTGCAGGACCTGCGCGTGCAGCACCTGGCCGGCAACGGCTGTGCGCTGGCCTCGTCGCACATCGGCAGCAAGGTCGAGGCGCTCAAGATGCTCAAGCTCGCCGACGAGCAGAAGATCAAGCCGTGGGTCGAGGTTATGCCGATGAGCCAGTGCTCCATTGCCGTCAAGCGCGTGCACGAGGGCGACGTCAAGTACCGGTGAGTGGCGCGTGTGTGCCAAGTCTAGGCAGCTGCTAACGCTCCACACTCCTCCAGCTTCGTGCTGCAGAACGACTTTGAGAAGAAGGACTAAGCGCTGCCGCCACCGCCTACGTAGTATGCCCCTCTTAATGAATGCTCTGCAAGCATAGACCGCTGCAGTGACGCTCGTGGTGGCATGGCAAGGCCGCACGCTTTCGCGGGGCGCTCATGCATTGGCCGAGTCGAAGAGTACAGTAGAAGGTGCAGGCAGAAGCACGGAACGCGAGGGCAGGACAGCGCGACAAATAAGAGAGCGGGAGGTATCGGACTGAAGAGAGAGTGGGATGCGCGCGCAGGCGGACGGCCGCCGCAGCAGAGAGAGGGGAGGGAGAGACGGCTCAGACCTCGTTGTACGAGTTCTTCTTGGGCTGGCGCGTCAGGCCGAAGCGCTGCCAGGCGAAGGGCAGCGCAAAGTGCACGACCATGGTGAAGAAGACGGTGCCGATGGTGACCCAGCCGACGGCGACCTGGGCCTTGTACGACTTGACGAGCTGCGGTGGCGGGCGAGCATGTCAGCAGGTGCAGAGCCGCAGGTGTGGCGTCAGGCGACTCACCTGCAGGAAGTTGGAGGAGTTGAGGTAGGCGTTTGCCTCCTCGATCGTCGAGATGCTGCCCCACACGCCAAGGAAGGTGTTGTCGATGGCCGGCGCGCCGGCGAGGTTGAGGCTCGTCGAGAACTGCTCGCGCACGAACACGTCGATCTGGCGCAGGTAGAGGCGCTGCTCGGTGGAGAAGGGCTCGCTGTAGTTGGGGCCTGCACGATCACAAGGTCAGCACGGCAGCCGCAGCAGGGTGTCTGCGCGCCACTCACCGCGCGTAAAGGTGTAGCTGTACTTGACCGCCCACGCCGTCATGGCCGAGACCGCACCCGTCCATGCGCCCGAGAGCGTGAGGAGCACGAGGCCGACAAAGAGCCACGCGCCCGTGCCCTTGCCGCTGTACTCGCCGCGCTTGCCCTTGAACTGGCCGCAGGAGAGGAAGAGGAAGACGCCGATGAACGCAAAGGAGATGCAGCCGACGATCAGCATGGCGCTGTGGAACGGCGTGTCAGCAGCGTGGCGGGCAAGTCAGGGGGCCACTGCAGAGGCACGGGCGATGCTGGCTCCAGAGCTCTGCACCGTCATGACTGGCGCCATGCTCCGCGAGCGCAGCTTTGCCTGTCTCGCTCCTACCCTGCGGCGAGACGTTCGTACAGCAACCAGGATGTATGCACCTGCCGCGGAGCTGCCGTCTGCGCCTTCTGGCTGTGCACGCCCGCGCCGCCTCGGCCCCACACTCACAGGTCGACGCGCTCGATGCCCGCCGTGTCGAGCTCGACGAAGCCGGGCAGCGAGGGCGACTGGTTGGCAATCTTGTCGCGGATGCTCATGAACTGGTGGATGTGCGAGCCCGAGAGGCCCATGAGGGCGGCCGAGAAGCCCCAGCAGGTGAGGAGGAGCGGCAGCTCGAGCAGCAGCGGCTGCAGCGGGGCCATGCTGGGCAACGACGCAGCGAGGGAAACGAAGGAGTGGGTGTGCGAAGCGAAGGCGGTGCGAAGAGGGAGTGGAGACGCGAGACTGGAGGGCGAGGGCGAGAGCGGCGGCGAGGAGAGGGTGCGGGAGGGAGGAGGAGGCGGACGAGACGCGGGTCAGCAGCGTGCGGAAAGCGTGAGACGGCGAGTCGCAGCAGCGGAGCGCGGAGACGCAGCAGAGACTGCCCGCCCTCCAGGGCAGGCACCTCGGCAGAGGCCGAGCGGCATGCCCGCATCCGCACCGCGGCGCCGCTCCTCTGCTCTGCTGCTGCGCGGCCGGCGCTTGCGCCCAGAACGTCTTGGGTGTTGCGGGGTGACTTTGAGCTGCACGCATGCTGCTGCGGCCGCACATTGGCGCTGCACCTGTGCCGCTCCTCGGCACCGCAGCGCTGTTCCGTTGCTCCGGCACAGGCTCGGCCGTTGCGGCAGCAGAACAGCCGCCTGAGGCCTGCCTCGCTGCCTCTGCGTGAGAGCAGCTGCACCCTCTGGCACCAGAGCAGAGAGGGCAGCACCCACAGAGAGGCAGAAGGGAAGCGGCTGCGACCACCCTTGCCTCGCTCTGAGCTTGCAGCGCAGGCAGCGGCGGCAGATGAGCTCTGCTTGGAGCGCTGCGAGCCACAGCGCGGCAGGGAATACAGGCTCAGCATTCAGCGTGCTGCGGCCGTCTCGGCGCTGAGTTGTGAAGCCGAGCAGGCGGAGCTGCGGTCGGGCAGCAGAGCAGCGAGCGGTGCTTCGGCGACGCAGCAGCCAGCAGCGCCGCGCAGCGGGCCGGCACCGGACGAGCGGACTGCGGAGGCAGCTTGTGCTGCCGCTCTGCGCTGCTGGGATGGTGCGGGTGCCGCACGTCGCAGATCGACGTGACGCAGCCAGACCGCCCGCCCGCATTTGGGCATGGCAGCAGCACCCGGCGGCACTGTGAGGTGCAGCACTGCATGCTGCAGCACCCAGGGCAGCGTCAGGCGGCGAAGCGGGGTACGCCAACCACTCGCGGCCTGCTTTGCGCTGACGGCCGCTCGGCTGTGGGCGGTCAGGGCTGCCGCTGCAGCGCTCGTCAAGCTCAAGCTCTCCTCAAGCGCAAGCATGCTCCACTCTGGCCTCACTAAGAACCAAGCGCTGCGCTTCAAAGGCGTAGCGAGCGAGCAGGCGAAGCCGAGGCCACGCCGTAGCAGAGGCCGCGGCTGAGTGGCATGGAACGGCAACGCGATCATCAAGGGTGCGGTGCGGCCTCATCCACAGGCTTACAGACGAAGAGCGTCGAGGCTGCTGACCTCCAGCAGGCACTCAGCTTGAGCTCACGTTCAGCTGAGCTGGAGCTTCCTTCTCGGCACAGGCAACAGGCTGTGGCGGCACGCACAGACCGCCCCGGCATCGGCCAAGCTCGCACAGGCCGCAGCACAGGCTGCCCGCGAGGGGGCCTCCCGCGCCCTATCTGCCGCTGCGCTGTCAGAGAGCGGATGCGCAGACTCAAGTGCTGCGCTGCAAGCACAAGAGTCCCTCTCGAAGCCCGAAGCAAGGAGCTGCTGAGGCCGTCCATGAGCTGGGTCCGAGAGAGGCAAGCGTGTTGCCGCATGAGGGAAGGTTCGGCGCCGTGCTGCTGCGCGCGCAGCCGCTGCGGCGGCGCGCTCAGGCCCCTTTGTCCTCGTTTCAAAGCTCTCTCGGCGTTGCGGCTGCTCAGGAAGATGCGGCGACATGCCGTCGTAGAGGCTGTCTAGCTCCTTGCTCCCGACCACCACTCCAGCCTGCGGCTGCGTCGGTCCGCCCTAAGCTGCAACGCGCCATGGCCGCTCCCTTCGACCTGGGCGAGCTGGGCAAGGCGATGCCCTCGCTGCGAGGCACGTCACGCCCCTTCGTGCCAGCGACTCATCCTCCGCGCCAGCCCGTGCTGCGTGCTCCGCCGAAGCAGTGGCCGCCCTTCAAGGCACGCACGCCGGCACAGACCGAGCCGTGGAGCTTCGCAGGCAGTCCGGGGGCCTTTCAGCCGTACTGGGGCATCTACTTCAAGCTCCCGGCGGGCGACATCGGCGAGCGCAACGTGGAGCTGGCCTTCAGTCGCAGCATCGAGGCCGTCTTCAAGCGCAAGGTGCCGCACAGCGTCCAACTCTTCCGCAGCAAGAGTGGCAAGGTGAGTCGGACTGCCCTTTCGAGGTCTCTGCTGGCCCGTCTTGGCAGCGCACTGAAGCCGGTCTGCTGTCTGTAGAGTCGCGGCGACGGCTCTCTGCTCTTTGGCGAGCCGAACCTGCACGTCGCTTACCTCGACGGTCTCGGAAGATGGCCGGAGAACAGGCCCTCTCTCCGCAAGAAGAACGAGGAGATCGTCTGCCGCGCCGAGCGTCGGCCGCCGGACAGTGCGCGTCTGGCCATGCTGATCCAGCGGCTGGTACCGGCTGAAGACGAGAACTCCGACAATGAGCAGACGACGATCAACAGTCTCGAGGGCCGCGCACTGAGCTGCGGCACTTGGGACGCCGACGGCAACTTCTGCGAGGGCTGGCGCAGGACGCTGCCTGTGAGCGTCAGCCTGGAACAGCGCGATGCGCACCTCAAGATCGCGAGCAGCTTCTTCGAGATCCGTGAGTCTTGCTGCTGTTCTCGGCACTCGTAGCAGCTGATGTCGTTGTAGGCTGCTCGCTGTACGGCTGCCTCATGAACATCGAGACGGACGGCAAGTGGCTGTACCTCAACCTCGAGAAGCGACCCCTCATCTACGACGTCGACCCGGAGGAAGAGACGATGAAGCGCATGTGGGGCATTGACGAGGAGCACGACCGCGTGGCGCCGTACTGCTACGTGTACCGCGTCGAGTGCTCTCGCGCCGACGTGACGAGCTACTGCTCGCAGAAGCAGGTCGAGCACCGCCTGCAGACGCTCTACCACATGCGGCAGCAAGACCAGCACCAGCTACGCGACGTCGAGAAGGACGTCAAGGCGATCGAGGAGCGCTGCGCACGTCTGCCCTACGCCGTCGCCTTCCAGGTGCACCTGCTCCTCGCAAACGGTCACCTTCTGCCGCACGAGGTCGCCGCGCTGGCGCAGGCGCTTCCCAAGATCGTCCAGCGCGTAGGAGAGGCCGAGATTGTGGCTCGGCTGCGCTCCTTTCCGGGCACGTACGGCTGGCGCTCATCAGCGGCGAATCTGCAACGCCCGGACGTCAACAACCACACCATCCAAGACGTGCTCGCGTCGCTGCGAGAGAGTGCAACTCCCGGCTCACCCACAGCGACGTCAAAGCGACCGAGCCGTCGAGCGCGCGAGCGAGCGGACGGCATGGTCCCTGTGCATCGCGTGCTCATCAGCCCGACTGGCATTCAGCTCTCGGGTCCGGAGCCAGACGACGCCAACCGCATCATCCGGCGCTTTGGACCGGAGCACTATGACGCATTCTTGCGCGTTCACCTCGTCGAGGAGGACGGTGGCCGCCTGATGTGGCAGCAGGGCACCGATGCCTCTCCGCTGTGGAACCAGCGCTTCCGCGACTACCTCAACAAGGGCGTCGTCGTCGCGGGACGGCGCTTCGCGTTCCTAGGCTTCTCATCGTCGGCGCTGCGTGAACACTCGGCGTGGCTCTGTCGCGAGCAGATTGTTGTCGATGGTGTCACGCACACACCCGACACCATTCGCAGAGACATCGGCGAGCTCAGCGCCATTCGCTGCGCAGCGCTGTACGCCGCCCGTCTAGGACAGGCCTTTACGTCCACCTCGCTCAGTGTCACGCTACCTGCTCGCATCTTTGCCACTGTGCCGGACATTCATGCTCCCGTAGGCGCTGATGGTGCGAAGTACGATTTCTCAGACGGGCACGGCACGCTCTCGCAAGCGGTCGTCGACCGCATCAACGCCAAGATGCACCGCCAGGTCGAGGGACGCGGCACGGTCAACGTATTCCAGATCCGCGCCGGCGGTGCCAAGGGCGTGCTCTCGCTCGACACCCGTCTTAACGGCTTGCAAGTTCGGCTGCGCGACTCGATGGAGAAGTTCAAGCTCAACGATCACACTCGCGGCGACTGGACTCTTGAGGTGGTCACGCAGGTGACTCGTCCGCACACGCAGTATCTCAATCGGTGCGTGTCGCTGCGGTTGTGCGCAAGCGCGCTCACTCACTTTCCTGCTCCAGGCCTCTGATCGCCGCGCTCGAGACGCTCGGCGTCCCGTCAAAGAGCTTCATGCACCTGCAGACGCTCGCTCTGAAGCAGGCCCGCGCGGCCGTGACCGAGGTCTCTGCAGCGATGGCGCTGCCGAACAGCGAAGGCTGGACGCAGACACTGAAGGCCCGGCGCGTGCTGCAGTACCTTCGCAGGGAGCTCGACATCGAGGGCCTGACCCAGGTGCCGTTCCTGCGAGAGTGCAACATGGCCGTCTTGACGCATGCGCTGCGGCAGATCAAGTACAGAGCCCGCATCCCTGTCGCCGACGCGTGGACCATCATGGGCATCCTCGACGAGACGGGAACGCTCAAGGAAGGCGAGATCTATGTGTGCATTCAGCAGCCGCAGGGTCAGCGGTGTGCCGTCAAGGGCAAGTGCCTCGTCACGCGAAGGTACGTCGAAAGGTCCTGGTCCACTCGCACGAGGCTGACCTCCGAGCAGCCCCACGATGTACCCGGGCGACATTCAGTTCGCCACGGCGATCGGCGACGTGCCCGAGTCCTCTCCGCTGCATCCGCTCGTCAACGTCGTCGCGTTCTCTCAGAAGGGCACGCGTCCGCTTCCTTCGATGCTTGGCGGTGGTGACCTGGACGGAGACCTTTACAAGTGCGTGGCTGTGTTCGCTGGACGGCAAGCTTCCCGCACTGATCTTCACGACAGCATCATCCAGGACACTTCTCTCTTCCCGAAGACTGTGGACGCGCCTGCAAGCCACGCTTCTCCTCTGCGCAAGTTCCTCGCGCGCAACTGCACCGTCGGCGACGTGATCGACTTCATGCTGGAGTACTGCCAGGTGAGGCGGGCCGCCTAAGTTCTAGCGTCGACGTGCAGGCTGACCGGGCGCTGCAGAACGACGTGACCGGCATGCTGTCCAGCCTCCATCTCGCGACGTCAGACTCCAAGTACTTGGGCATCCGCGACTCCGACTGCATTCAGCTCGCCGACCTCGTCACGGCGGCCGTCGACTTCCCGAAGACAGGCTTTGCGCCTGACAAGTCGCGGGTGCCTCGACTGGCCAGCCGTCCAGACTACATGCGGCCGGAGCATCACATCGAGGGCAAGCCGCGCAAGGCGGGCCGCAAGGCAGCCGACCGCAACCTGTACCACAAGAGCGAGAAGACGCTCGGCGAGCTCTTCCGTACGATCGACGTCAACGGCGACCTCTCCAAGTGGCTTAGCAAGGCCCAGCCTCAGCTCGCGAGCAAGACGGTCCTCGCAAAGATCTGGAGCCACATCGAGTGGAGAGCCAAGGCATGCTCGTACAAGCTGGAGCACGAGGCGATGCAGCACGCGGTCGTCGAGTACTACGAACGCCTTGACCGCATCTGCTACGATAACTCCTCGCGCTCCGACACGCTCTCGGAGGCCGAGGCGGTGACGAGCGTCATCATCAATCTGCAGAACCGGCCACGCGGCGTTGCCAAGGACTTTGACGCTGCCGCCGCTCTACGAGCGTCGTACGGCGAGGCCGTGTCTGGCGCGATGCGCAGCATCCTCGGCACGCAGCCGGGCGAAGACGACGAGAGCGACGACGAAGACGAGCGGCCGTTTGATGCCTTCAAGTTCGTGCCCGGCACTGCCAGTCGTGCGGAGCAACGCCAGGCCTCCAGGTGAGTGCTGTGGACATTAACGAGGAGTGCGCCGCCAGATCTGACAACCGCCTCGACTAGCTTCTTCGCCGAGCAATTTGCCCGCGCTGCGGCTTTCTTCCGCGTCGCGCGCGAGGTGGAAGGCAAGGCCGAGGAGAAGCACGGCACGAACAACAAGGAGCGCCGCAGCGCGCCCTGGGTCGAGGCGGCGCTGCTCTTCCGGCTGCACGATGTGCTCGACGAGCTCGACGACTACCTCGACTGATCGAGCAGCCATTCTTCTCTGTATCCACATTCACGACCCTCTGCGCCACCACTCACGAAGCAATTGTCATGCGTCACATTCCTCTGTCGAGCGCATCGCCGAACGTCAGCGCCACCCTCTCAGCCTCGCGATGTCTGAGCTCGGGATCCGGCAGTGCGCGTATCCGTGCCGCCTCGCGCTGCATCTCCGCCAGTGCCGCCGTGAAGTCGCGCAGCTCTCCCGGCTCTTGCAGATGATCCAGATCTGCGTCGTCGAAGCCTGCTGAGCCTGATGCGAGGCCGCCAGCAGAGACAAAGTCGCTGAAGTCGTCGTCGAAGCGGCCAGTGGCAGAGGTGCTTGCGCCGTTCGGCGCACCAGACTCGGAGGGCCAGTGCGGATCGCTCTGCTGCAGAAAGAGCTCGAGCTCGCGGGCGCTCATGTCTGACCCAGCGGCATTGGCGAGCGAGCTGAGCTCCAGCTGCGCGAGAAAGGCTCGCGCCAGCTCTTCGTCCTTGTCGGTTGCTGCGTCGACGCTGGTTGCGTGATCTGAGCTCGGCAGCGGCAGCGAAGCGAGGAATGCCTCGGCGCGCCTCTCGATCTCTGCAGACTCGTTCTCGGCTGCGTCGTCCTTGTCTGAGTCCTCCGCTTCTTGAGCAGCAGAGAAGGCCTTGAAGCTGGTGGTGCGCTCAGAGCGAGACTCCTCGGGCTGATACACTCGCCGCTCGTCCTCCTTGCGCTGCATGTTGGGCCACATGTGCGTCTGCAACGCCTCGCGAGCGCGCGGCAGGCCGTCGTCTTCCGTCTCTCCATCCTCGTCCTCGCCATCCTCGTCTGCCTCTGCGTCGACTTCGAGCGCGGCGCCGAGATCGAGGTACTCCCAGCCATGCTCGAGATACAGAGCTTGCAGCGCATGCGCGTCTGAGGCGCTCATCGTCGGTCCGCTGGCGCCCAGCGCCGAAGGAAGACCGAGCACCAGAGCTACGGAGAGGGCGTCGGCGCTGAGGAGACGCGCAGGCTCAGAGGCGCCTGCAGAAGCCGATGCGTTGCTCGGATTTGCTTCAAGCAGAGCAATGTGCGCGGAGAGGGGCTGTGGAGGGTGCGAGTGAGCATGGAGCCGAGCTCAACTGCGGTACAGCTACGTTCTGGCGTAGCCATGCTCTCCCACCTCGCCGCACAGAGAGCAGCGCCAAGCAACTTCGTGGATACCATGTCTCACTCACCGTATCTCTGCCGACGACCAGCACGACCGCATCAACGCCCTTCAGCTCCTCCTCAAGCGTGGTCTTTGCCGTCTCATTACACGAGAGAGTCTTCTTGCTCGCGGTCGCCGTAGCGGTGGCTCGGCTCGGCGCCGCGAGTGCAGCGAAGATGTCGCGGCTCTTCTCTCTCAGCTGCGCGTCTGCGTCCTGGCCCTCGGCTTGCGGCTGGCTCGCCGGCACGGCTTCTCGCGATGCTGCCTCGGCAGACGCAACAGCTGCACCGCGCCGAGAGCCGCTGGCCTCGTTCTTGGCAAAGAGAGGTATAGAGCGCGGAGCGAAGTGCACGGCGGCACTGTAGTAGCGATTGTTGATGAGCCACGGCACCGTATCCTCCTGCGCTTCCTCAGCCGGCGGCGCCACGCTTGAGGACGCAGCACTGTCGTTCATCGCAGCGCTGTGCGATGTGCTCGCCTCGACGATGGCTAGCGACCGAGGCGTGTCAGCGAAGGAGTATGCAGAAGTGGCGCATGTACGCACAGTCGATCAGGCCTCGGAGCTGCCGCGAAGGCAGAAGTGCCCGTGAGGGTCCGGGCGTCGCGAGGCCGACATCGAGCACGAGGATGCGCGAGGCTCGCGCGTCGAAGTCGTCGCTGCTCATGCTGGCGGAGTAGGCGCTAGAGGCCGAGCAGGTGAGAGTAGCAGCGAGCACTCGACTAGGAACAAGGATAGAGGCGAGGGTGGGGAAGGAAGCGCCAGACTGCCTCGCGGCGGGCGCTTCAGGGTGCGCGCTGCTGGTCCGTGCATGTCCCGGCCGAGTTTCGAGCCGCTTTCCTCGAGCTCCTTCTCGCTGCTTGCGTTGCTTCCGCTCCGCACATCTTTGCGACTCGCACTTTTGCGTCTGGGCAATGCGATGGATATTGAGGGCGAGCAAGCGCAAGCGCAGGCGCAGGGCAGGGTGGGTCTTCGACAAAAACAAGGGGAGTGGGAGGCGGACAGTATGTATGTGCCGCAGCGAGTCCGAGCGCACAGAAAGGTGGATGCCAGGGCGAGCATTAGCGTCCTGCGCTTGGACAAGCTCGCTGCTTTGGCTTGAGAAGAAAGGAAGAGTGAAATAGGAAGCGCAGGAAGAAAGCAGGGTTTGGGAGCGGGAAAAGAGGACAGAAGGCCTCTTGGGTAAAGCGAGGCGGCGGAGAGTTGTGTGGTGTTTTGGAGGCGGCACGGCAGCAGCAATGAGTGCGGGTGTTGGTGGGCGCAGCAAAGAGGGAAGCTCTGGCTTTTGTTTGCTTGCAGCGGGGAGACGTTCGGAGACGCTTAGAGAAGTTGCATGTACTGCAGAGCACAGGGCGATCAGTAGCAGATCTCGGCGCATAACGAGCACACTCACGTTGCTCGGCACGATGCCCGTCTCGCCTGTCGGCTTGCGTGCCTGCCACCACTTGCCTGTCAAGGATAGAGAGCGTTAGCACAAGGGCTTGGCTTGAGCGCGGCCAAAGTCTGCGCTGCGATGCGCGCCTATGCGCGCGCGATCCGGGGACGCGGGCTCACCGGAGTTGTCCACGATGTCAAGGATCTCGCCCTTCGAGAAGGAGATCTCGGTCGGGTCGTCTGCGTTTGCTTGGTCTGCGGAGCGTCGAGCGCGGAGTCAGCGATTGTCCGTCAGCTCTAGATGTAGCGTCTGGCTTCAGGAACGAAGCTCTGCCGAAGCACACAAGTCCAGCGCGGTCTCCAGAAAGGCGCATAGCAGGCGACTGGACTGCAGGCTATCGCCCGCACGCCCCGCAGCCTACCTACACCTGTGCGACTCCTGCGGAGCAGTTGGAGCTGATCTACGCGCAAGTTCTGCGAGCCAGCCAGCAGCCGCTCGGCACCGCATGCACAAGGCTCTTCGAGAGCAGGTTCACTCGCTTCGTGGCACCTGCAGGGGTAGAAGCGCGCTCGCAAGGCCGCCAAGGACCTACACACATCCCGCCTCTCGACCCCTGCGCTGGCCGGCCACACTCACATGCGTACAGCGCGCGTGCCCGGTAGCCATACCCAGGCGTCGGCTCTCCCTCCACTGTCCCTGCGGGCCGCGAGCTGCTGGGGCTGCCCGGCACCGTCGGCTGGTGGTGGCTGCTCTGTGCGCCAAAGTCGCTCTGCGGCGCCGCCGCCGCCGCGCCTCCGACGCGGCCCGGCGCGTTGCTCTGCGTGTTGGAGCGCAGCGAGTGCGAGCTCTTCATGGCGGCAGACGGCGCCGCGACGCCCTGCGTAATGTCGCCTGTAGAAGGGTTGTTGTACGTCTGCGTGTAGCCGCCGCCGCTAGAGGAGCCGGCAGCAAAGCCAGTGCCGAAGCCCGACGTGCCGGTCGGCCCGCTGATGGCGCCGCCCGAGAGCGAGCCATTGCCGCCGCGCATCTGCCGGCCACCGCGTCCGCCGGGGCCCGAGAGGCCACCGGAGCCGAGGCTCGAGAGCAGCGCATACACGGCCGAGTCCTCCTCGGCGGTGAAGAAGAAGAGCCAGATGACGTTGGCGATGGTGAGGAGGAAGTAGCCGGCGCCCATGGCGTGCAGTGCGCCGTTCTGGCGGTAGTCGGAGTAGATGCCCTTGTCGATGCCAATCACGGCAAACACGAGCGCCACGACCGTCCATGCCGAGAGCTGCAGGCGGTGCGTGGCGATGCCGTCGCTGGCCAGCACGGCGGCGACACCGAGCAGCAGGAAGAGCTGCACAAAGATTCCGAACCACAGCACGCCGAGCCGGTCCGACGGCGTCGAGACGACGACATTGGTGGTGCCGCGCGCCTCGGCGACAATCTGCCCGATGAAGGCGACGAACCAGCCCACGGCGGCCAGGCCGAGCGTGCCGAGCAGGATGAGGTTGCTGAAGATCAGCCTGGCGACAGCAGGGTAAGCGATGCGGCAAGTGAGCACTAGGCAGCTCGGCGACGCACGAGAAGTCGAAGCCGCCGCCCGAGACGGCGTTGCGGGCCATGGCGCGGATGGGTCAGGGGCTAGGGAGCGTGGCCCGGCGAGGAGAGCGGCAGTGGTGGTGGTGCAAGCGAAGCGAGTCTGGCGAGTGGATGGATGCGAGAGGGTATGGAGGACAGAGACGACGGAGCACGTAGACGCGACGACGAGGCGGAGAGGAGCGGGTGGATGGGAGCCAAGCTGCCGGCGCCCTCGTCGGGGCCGAGGCGGCGCGCGGCTCGCGGCGGCAAAGCACGGCAAAGCGGCGCCTGAGCTGCAGCACGACGGCCCGCCCGCCGCACGAGGAGATGACGCGCGCCGCGCCTTGGGCTTCCATGCTGCACAGCCCGCTCCGCCGCGCCACACTGCTGAGCAGCATCGCAGCTCATCATGGCATCCACCGCTGATGCTGTGGCTGGACCTGCTGCGTAGCCGACCTGCCGCTTTCTCTCTCCGGCGTGTCTCTGTGAGGCTCTGCTGATGCTGCGGCACCCTTGACTGCGCAGCGTGATGCTGCAGGCGCATTCTGCGCTGCACGGCATGCAGCATCGTGCATGCGCTAGCGGGCTGGCCGCACGTCGGGCAGCAACAGCAGCTGAACAGCTGAAGAGCGCGCATCGCATCTCATCCCGCCGCTCCGAGCGATCAGGACGCGGGCCGGACCCGTCGCCGCTGAAACGTCCGAGGCGCCGGCTCCCGATCCGTGCCGCCGCATCAGGGCAACGCCAAGGTCGCTCATGGGCGTGCTTCGCCGCATCAGCTACAGTCTCGGCAGCGAGTGATTTATTCGAGCTTGCGGCAGTCAAGGCAGAGAAGCGCAGCTGCCACAGCGAGAAGCTCAGCGCACGGCTCGCGCCTAACGCTTCAGCAAGTCCGACCGGCGCGCAGCGTGCGGCGCGCGGCGCAAAGGCAGACGCGGGCGACAGCAGCGAGTGCGGCTCCTTGGCGGGTGTCAGCCGTAGGACAAAGCAAGCGAGGAAGACATCGGTATACACCCTCTTTGACCGATTTTGAGGGAGCTCGCCGTCGCGCGATCGCGCACGAAGCGATGTCGCTTGTGAGCACGCGGTGAGGCCGTCAGGGGCACAGAAGCCCGCGGCGTCATGCACGCTCAGGACGGAAGCCTTATGCTTCTTCCTCGCATGCATCTCGCTCCCGTGCAACGGCGCACAAAGGAAGGTGGCCTTCAGAGTCGCTCCTGCGCTGCTCTCGGCCTACGACTGCGGCGTGCATGCAGCAGAAGGACCTGCCAAGCGTCTCGTCACCCATGCACGAGGCTGCTTGCGTGTGCAGCGGTGGAGAGTCGCGGATGACAGGTCCACCTCTGAGCCACCCGTCTCGAGAGGTACACCTCTGCGCTTCCCAGCTCGAGAGCCTCGCCTCGAGCTGCAAGCGCTCCGGTCTGCTCCACTTCCAGGGTCCGCCGCCGTCATCTCCATGCGCAAGCACGCATGCATCGCAGACAGCGCATGAGCATTGCCGTCTGTCGCGAGCTAACATTAATCGCATCGACCCTCCTCCACTCCGTCGCAGCACGTCTAGTCGATGAGGTACAGCCTGCCGAGCGAAGAAGCGATGATCAGCCTCCTTCCCTGACTAACTCTCCTTGCGCCTGACAAGCTGGCCGACCCAGCGCACACACTCACCGCTTGAAGAAGCTGCGCAGGTAGAACACCTGCCAGCTGCCGAGCGCCAGCAGCGCGATGAGGGTGAGCCAGGCAAAGTTCTCGACGCGCGAGTTTGTCGATTCTGCATTGTCCACTGGTCAGCCTGGCCCCCTGTTTCGCCGTTCATTCGCCGTCCAACCTCGCTCAGACTCACGGTTCGTGTTCCTCATCTTGCCCTCGCGCTTCTTCAGGTAGTCCATCTCGTTGACAATCTCCGTCGCGACGGCCTCGAGTTTCCGCATCTCCGTCTCGAGGCCTGAGAGCGACTCTTGGTTCGCAATGGCGTTGTAGTCGACGGCATCGGCGCCAATGTCGACGTCCAGGTCGATCGTCGTGATGCGCGGCGGGTTGGCGGAAAGACCTGTCGGAGAGATCAAGTCAGATCGCGGGACGAGAGCGAGAAGGCCGCTGCCGCCAGCCTGCCTTGGCTGCCCATCACCAGCCAGCAGCGCCACGCAAGTCAAGCGGCCGATCCGCAGCTAGCTGCAACGCCTCTGAGACTGCAGCGGCAGCCGGAAGAAGAACGGGCCAGTCGCCGACCACCTGCCTTGCAACAGCGCAGCAAAGGCTGTCTCTGCCGCTGCGCATGTCCCCTCTCCTGCCACCCATCGAGCCTGCACCTCGGGGCCTGTACGGATGCGCGTCGCCGCTCCTTGGCGGATGCATCCAAGCCACTCAGCCTGTTTCCTCGCCCATGTCGTCCCACTCATCGCCCGTGCGCATTGCGCTGCCCGTCCGCACGACTCACCCTTGCGCAGCACGTTGCGGAAGCAGACGCCGAGGTCGGCGTGCGAGTGCGTGTTGATCGCCATGCGCGTCTCTGCCTTTCCAATGCCCTTCTTGGAGAGGTAGATGTTGTTGTGCTTGCTGCCGTCCACCACCTCCACGTCGATGCGCTGCTCGCCTGCCGGCTCGACGCTGTTGTGCGCCTTGGTGTTGACGGTGACGACGACGAGCGTGTCGGAGAGGGCGTAGTTCCAGATGCACTTGACGGGCCCGGCACTCGTCGACGTCAGGTCAAACTTGATGGCGCGCGCCGAGGGGAGCTGCGAGAGAAGCAGAAGTAATGGCAGCAGCAGCGCTAGAGCGGCACCAGGCCGTGTAGAAAGGGAAGAACGCATGGCTGCGTAGTGCGCGGCACGGCGGCCTGGAACAGCAGCGCCGGAACGCGGGGCGGACGACCGTCGTCAGGGGCAGCAAGCAGGGACGTGAGACGTGATGGGAGGCAGGCGCGCGTGGATGAAGGGCGCGCGCGGATGGAGACGTGGAGGGCCGAGACGTCGTTAGGTCGTGGTAGGGATGCGGATGGAGGCGAGAAGGAGACAGAGAGGGGCTCGGCGTCGTCTCGTGTGCCGCGCTCCTTCTCGCGCCGCCAGCTGGCGGGACCGTGCATCGTGGCGCGGCGCCGCTGCGTGCCTCGGCCGAGAGCGACTGGCAGGCGGCAGCAGCGCGCCGCGACGACGGCGACGCGCCTCCATCTTCCCCTCCTCTCTCCCAGCTCAGCCGCGGCGTCGGCCTCTCTCGCTCGCCTCCCGCACGTCACTCTTCCAAGCGTCTCGGTCTTCCGTCGAGCCCCGCGCCAGCTGCGGCGCCCTCGTCCTTGCAGCTTTCCTCCTCAGACCGCGCACGTCTCTCTTCGCCTCTCTCGAGCAGCACGCAGCAGCGCAGGGCCACGCCTCTTCGCCGCCGCACGTCGTCCGCAAGGACCGGCGGCTCGCATCTGCCGCCATGGCGACGGCCGCGCTGTCTGCCTACGTGGAGCGTGCGTGTCCTCTGTTGCCCCTCACACTGGCCGCACCTCAACTGACTCGGCCTTGTTCTCCCTTCGACAGAGTCCGTACTGCTCCTCACGCAGGACGGCCGCGTCATCGTCGGCATCCTGCAGGGCTTCGACACGGCCGGCTCCGTCATCCTCAGCGCGTGCGTGGAGCGCATCTTCAGCGCAGAGGCGCCGGTGGAGGAGGTGCCGCTGGGCCTGTACATTCTGAGGGGCGACGCCATGTGAGTATCCGCGGGCTGGACAGAGGTGGTGTGCTGCTTTGCGGGCGGTAGGGTAGGGGCTAGTGATGCAGTGCTGCGTGCGAATGCTGTGCCGAACCAGGAGCTGGCGCGGCAGTAAGGAGACGGGGAGAGGGCCGGGGGAGGGGGTGGTAGCGCACCAGCCAGATGCAATTGCGACGCTCAGTCGAGCAGCAGGCAGCTTTGCTCTAAGCACAGAGAGCGTATGCAAGGGCACGGGCGGCCCGACTGTGTCTAGCCATGCTCCTCAGAATGGGGCAAAGGGCGACTTCGAGCCGGGCCGCTCAGAAAGAAGGAGGAACGACAGAAAGCGGAGGGGAAAGGGCAGGTGCCAGAGGCTGGTGATGGGCTGTGGACCGCGGGACGTGCGAATGCGCAAGGAAGCCACGTCACACAGTACGGCCAGCAGCCCGATCGTTCGTGGCGGCTGGCAGCGAAGTTCGGCTTCATGGGCTGCCCCAGCAGAGTGGGCCCACGCGCTGCTGCCTGCTCGAGCAGCAGAAGCAACGCATGCGCCTGCTGTACAGACAGGCTCCTCGGCGCTTGCGTACTCTTGGCAGGCCCGCCGTAGCTGCTGCCTCCTGCGGCAGAGACGCTTGTGACGGCTTGCGCTTCATGCCACCCAAGCCTCGGTGCACAGTGCCTCGCGGCAGCGCAAAGATATGCTCTCGCTGTGGAGATATGCCACTCGCTTCTGCGGCGGACGACGTCGGGCTCGCGCAGCTCATGCGCTTCGTGCGGGCCCCAGTCTGGTCCCTGCTTGATCCAGCCGCCCATGCTCTGCTGTCTTGCGAATGCGCATCACCAAGGTGCTCGAGCTCGAGCTGACGCCCCAGCCCGCGCGCAGCACACTAGTGGGCCGACTGGATGCCGAGCTGGAAAAGACGCAGGACCTGCAGAGTCTGCGCATCGATCCCATCCCGCACGTAAGGCATACGTAGCGCGCAGAGGAAAGCGGAGATGAGTGAGGATGAGGGGCGTCGAGAGTAATCGGGATGGGAAAGAGAGGTAATGCCAATCACTTGTATAGCACCGCGAGACAGAGCGGACGTGAGGAGGAAGCGAAGCCGTGCTCCGCTATAGACGCTCAGCAAGTCAAGAGGCATGCGCTAGCTGCAAGGTAGGCCATGAAGGTTGCTGTATGATGCAGCGCTGAGCGAGGAGTGGAGCAGCCTTCTCTGAGCGCCAGAGTGGCTCGCGGCGTAACCCATGCGACTGCAGTCGTCGTGCGAGCAGGCCGTGTACTGAACGAGTAGCTTCCTCGACTCTTAATGAGTCCTGCGTGGGCCGGCCAGACGTCGCTTGTGCAGACGAGAGGACGACGCGGGGATCGCGCTGAGTACGAGTCGAGTCGTGTGACGGGTGCGGAGCGAGATCTCGCCGTCGGCGCCTAGCGCCTCCACCTGAGGCTGTTCCCACGAGGTCGTCACCGGCGGCGGAGCTGCGGGCGAGGCTGCGCCCCCGCACAGGCAGAAGCCTCGCGCGTCACGCTTCGGCGGGCCCTGCCTGCTGCACCCTGCTTCGCGGCCGCCTCAAAAGCCTGTGCTTCTCTCCTCTCACATCCGCACATCCGCACCCCACACCCACCTCAACCCATCGTCACTGCCTGTCGCCTCCTCGCCTGACCTCTCTCAGCCTTCTGTTGCCCCTCACGCCTCTCGCCCTTCGCACCCGCCGCCTCTCCCATGCCGCGCTCCGCCGCCGGCACCGGCAAGCGCGATGACTCGGGCCGCCTGCCCGACCGCCACGAGCTGATGCGCCGCGCCATGGCCGAGGCCAGTGCCGAGCCGCTCGCCGGCACGCTCGGCAACGGCCTTGGCGACGACGACGAAGACGACGACGACGCCTCGAGCGCCGGTCCGCACGGCCGCGGCCCGCGCGGCGCCCTCGTCGTCGAGGACCCGCCGACGCCCGGCGACCGGCCTGGCGAGGGCAGTCTCAACCTCGATGCCTTCAAGGACGGCAACGACGTGGTGCATGCCGATGCGCCCTCCGTCTCGTCCTCCGCCACGCCTACGCCCATCGGCACGCCCGCGGGCCCGACGAGCAGCACGCCGCAGCGGCCCAAGCTCGGCAGTCGCAACAACAGCTACCACGGCACCGACGCCGACGGGGCCAGCCCGGTGCCGCCGCCCAAGTCGCAGCACGCACGCTACGCCACTACGGGCACGGCCGACACGGCGGCCGGCGCCCGCGGCCGCCAGAGCTCGCTGGCGCCGCCGACGCCGCGCCGCGATGGCACGTCGCCGACGCGCGCAGGCGGCATGACAGAGAGCGCCAGTCTGGGCAATCTGGCGCCTCCCAGCGGGCTTGGCCGGCTGCGCAAGCTCTCCGATGCCGCATCGCCCTCCCGCAAAAGCACAGCTGATGGTGAGCGGCCGAGCAAGAAGGCCGCGACGGGGCCGGCGGGCGGCATTGCAGGTGCTCTGGCCGCCAGCGGCCTAGCAGGCATGGGCGTGGGCAACTCGTCGACGCTGCAACAGGCCGCCTCGCGTGCCTCGCAGTCACAGTCGAGACGAGGCTCGGCAGTGGCAGACAACAGCTTCGTCGGCGGCATGCAAGGCGGCGTCTATCGCGATCCGTCGACTGGCGCGCTGACCGAGCGCGGCGCTGAACCCGGCACGCCTGGCGCCGGCGACGAATACGCCGTGCGCCGTGGCGGCCATGCGCTGCGCGAGAGAAGTGCCTCGAGCAGCGTCAGCCTGATGAGCGAGTCGAGCGACGCATCGGGCCTTGGCGCAGCAGCCAACTTCAGCGCCGCGGCCGCGCAGCATGGCCTGCTGGCGCCGCCTTCGAACGGCGCGCCTACGCCCAACCAGCTCTCGCCGCGCTCCGAGACGGGCGAGCCACACTTGACGCCCGGCGGCATTGGCGCGGTCGGCGGCCTCAGTCCGGCAGGTCTCGGCGAGGGCGTCAGCCTAGGAGACGACGACGCGTGGCCGGGCGAGGGCGTGGGCAGTCAGATCACTGGCTTTGCCGTCGCCAGTAGCAGACGCAATGCCGAGTTCCACGCCCTCTTTCCCAGCGTGCCAGAGGACGACTATCTCATCGAAGACTACGGCTGCGCGCTCGTCAAGGAGATTCTCGTGCAGGGCCGCTTCTACATCTCGGAGAACCACGTCGGATTCAAGGCCAACATCTTTGGCTGGGTCACCAACGTGCGTGGGCCTCGTTGCGCCCGTGCGTGCGCGCCAGCTCACTCGCTCTCGACAGATTATCGTGCCCTTCTCCGAGATCGTGTCGATTGAGAAGCGCATGACGGCCTTTGTCATCCCCAATGCGATCCAGATCGCCACGCTGCACTCCAAGGTGAGTGGAGCGAGGCAGTGCCGCGCGTGTCGTGCTGACGCCCTGCTGCGTCTTTGCCTAGCACACGCTCGCCTCGCTCATCTCGCGCGACGCCACGTACGACCTGATGGTCAACATCTGGAAGCTCTCGCACCCCAAGGTCGGCGGTGCGCTGCCCGCTGCCGCAGGCGAGAGTTCCGACGAGAGCGAGACGGAGGGCGATGTGTCGGGCGACAAGGGCGATGGCTCGACGCCGGCCAAGCTGAGCAAGCGGGCGCTGCTGCGCCGTAAGCTCAAGGTGGGCAAGGACGGCGCGGCGCGCGACGAGGGCGCCATCTCGGCAGACGTCAAGGACGCGATGGACACGGATGGCCGACCTGCCAAGAGTTCAGCCAGCCCACGACCGGGGCAGAAGCGCGCCGCACATCGTGCCACGTCGTGTCCGTGCGAAGCGAAGAAGGAGCATCACGCCACGGTGCCGCTCGACGCCACGTACCCTGCCGTGCCGGAGAAGATTTACAATCTCATCTTCACGAGCGGCTTCATGAAGGACTTCTGGACGAACAACCAGAAGCTGCTGGACCTGCAGATGTCGGACTGGAGCCCGGACCCCAAGAACGACAATCTGCTCTCGCGCGACATGAGCTACATCAAGCCGCTGACGGGCAGCTTCGGGCCCAAGCAGACCAAGTGTGTCATCAGCGACGAGAATCTGCACGTCGACATGGACGAGTACATCACGACACTTACGACGACGCGCACGCCCGACGTCCCAAGCGGCGGCAGCTTTGCGATCAAGACGCGCACCTGCTTCACCTGGGCCGGCGGCAACACGACGCGCATGTTTGTCAGCTGCACCGTCGACTGGACGGGACGCAGCATGATCAAGGGTGAGTGTGCGCCGCAGTGATGGACCTGGAGCTGCGTCACTGACAGGGCGGCGGTACAGGCATCATCAACCAGGCGTCGATTGACGGCCAGAAGCAGTACTACAAGGACCTCGATGCCGCGGTGCGCCAGTACCTCAAGGAGCACGCCAGCGAGTTCCGCGAGGAGGGCGACGATGAGGCAGCAGACGAGGAGCGCGAGGCGGCGATGGAGAAGGCGAACAACGCGAGCGGCGGCGATGGCGCTGACGAGAAGGCCGCTGGCGGCAGCAGCTCGTCGTCGACTCCGGCGGACGAGACGGCCGGCGGCGCACTTGCGATGGTCTCCGGCGCCGCACGCACCGCGTTCGACATGCTGGGCGACGGCGTCGGCATGCTGAGCGACAGCATGGCCGGCGCCAGCGCCTCGATGCTCATCCTCGGCGCCGTCGTGGCGCTTCTGGTGCTCACGAACCTCTGGGCGCTCTCTTCCGGCGCGCCTCGCTCGCGCAGAGATCCGACGTCGCCGCATCGCCTGCAGTCCTCCTCTTCGTCTGCGAGTCGGGGCGCGAGGAACGACGCGGACACGGCCAGCGCAGAGACGATTGCCCTCGCTGTGCGCGGCGTACTGCAGGACTACCTGCCGCCACGCGAGGGCTCGGGACGTGTAGAGGCGCCGAACTGGGAGGCCAGCAAGTGCTGCGAGCAGGCCAAGGCGGCGGCGCAGCGCATTGAGCGGCTCGAGCAAGGCCAGGCGGAGCTGCAGCGACAACTGCAGGCGGTGCTCGAGCGCGTCGGCGGTGCCACGAAGGGTGCGACGAAGGGCAAGAAGGAGCTGTAGGGTGCGCTCTGATCCGTCCACGACCGACATGACTGCTATGCCTCCCTCGCACGCCTCCACAGCCACTTCCTCTCAATGCACACCTTCGGGTCATCATAAGGCATAGATCGAGTCGTGTGGTACAGAGAGCGTGATGCGGCGCGCAGCCGAGGGGGGAGAGACAGGAAGGCCCGAGCTCGGGCCTGCGATGGAAGAGAGACGGGGAGAGGGCGCATGAAGGAAGTGCCACGAGGCGAGATCAGGCCCAGTGCGCCGTGCTATCGTACAGCTCGCCGCTCGAGTCGCCGTGCGACGAAGCGAGTTCGGGCGAGATGACCAGCGACGAGCCATCGCTGAGGTGCGAGTGCAGCAACGAGTGATCGAGCGGGATGAGAGGAATGACGAAGTCGGTTGGCATCTCGATGCCCAGGCCTTCTACGCTCCGCTGAGACGAGGCGGCAGCGCCAATGGGCGGAGCATCGCAGTGCGCCAGACTGATGGCCGACGCCGCTCCAAGCGCATCAATGTCCTCCTGCAGATCCGCCAGCGACGCACTAGGTGGCGAATGCAATGCCGTCGAGCCTACATGCGCAGCTTCGTCGTCGGCAGGACTTGAAGCGCGCTCGAAGAGAAAGCGGCCTAGCTGCGAGCCCTTGCCGTGTCCGAGCTGCGAGACGAGCATGCCTTGCACCTCAGGCTTCGTCCAGCCTTCAAAGGAGACTTCGAATGCTACGCCATGCAGAGCGCGTGCGTCGGGCGCCAGTGTCCAGGGACAATCGAGGCCGCGAGCGGCAAGCAGACGAGTGAGCGAGTCGATGAGCAGGCAGAGATGTGCTGATCCATCATGAATGAGACGCATCTGAGCCACTGTGGCTGCGTCGAGCGGGTGCGAAGAGGCGTCGAACTCGTCGTAAGCTGGCGCGATGAGCATGGCGAGATCGGCATCCGCCTCGGCGGGCAGACGAAGGATGGTGCAGACTCCCGTGTGGGGGCCGGCAGTGGGCGACTCGGGAGGCTCGATGAAGTAGTCGGAGTACTCGGACTCAGACCAGCCTGCCTCGGAGACGGCATCGTCGTCGTTGTGTGCGGCGAGGGCAGCGACGGCGGCATCGGTGATGATGCCGGTCTCGGCCTGCTTCTCAGCAGCAGCGGCGGCCTTGGCGATGCCAGAGGCAGACGGCTTGGCTGCGGCAGGCTTCTTGCTAGAGCAAGCGAAGGCCGATGCCGACGGGTCGGAGTGGGCGAAGTACTGGCCGATGGCCTTTGCCAGCTTTGCCTCATGACGACGGTGCGTCGCAGGGTCAGAGCGACGAACGCCACGGCGGGCCGTGCCGCGACGAGCAGCGCCGGACTTGGACAGGCCCTCGAGATCATCCTCCAGCTCGTCGGCGGCGGCGCGGATAAAGAGCGGCGCATTGATGAGAATGTCGGCAAAGGGGCGCGTGCCGTTGCTGCTGAACTGACGCGCCAGCTGAAGACCGGGGCCCTGCTGCACCGAAGGACGCAGTGCGGGCACAGCGGGCCCGCGAGGCACGCCGCGCGTGAAGCCGCCCGGGAACGACGGGCGCGTGCGAGCCAGGTGCGATGTGTGCGAGCGCAGAGCCTGTCGGCTGGCGCTGACGCTGTGCACGGCGGGCGTGCTGACGAAGGAACGGACGGCGCCCTTGAAGACGGGCATGAGTGCCGCGAGGACGGAGCGGAGGCCCACATCGAGGCGCACGGTGGCGCACGGTGCTCTGGGGCGCGCAGTGGCGGCGGCGTAGGAGCTGAATGCGCGTGCCGTGCCAGACGAGGCACAGCCTGCGCTGCTGCCGCTGCCGGGACGAGCTGCCTTGCCTGGTGCCCCAGAGGCAGCCTCGCCCTGACGCGCGGCCTTGTCGCGCGTGCGCTGCCACGCCGCTCGGCCCGACGATGCCCAGCCGCGTGCGGCACCGCCGACGGCGGAGGCACGGGGAGGCATGGTCGCGGACGGGTGCGAGCGTGCGCAGGCGTCGACGGAGAGTGAGTGGTGGACTGGGCTTGCGAGTGAGTGGTGGTGAGGAGAAGAGAAGGAGAGCCGCTTGGACCGGCCCTCCAGACGCCCTTCGCCACCCGCACAAGGGGCCCAAGCGGGGGCCACACGTGATGTGCGCGCAGCAGCGCGAGTAGCGGGCGACTGCGCACTTCCCACGCTCGGGCCATGCCCGATGTCGCTCTGCGCGACAGAGGCGCTGGCCCAGCCAGGTCGCAGACAGCCGTCTGAGGCACTACACTGCACGCAGCAGCACCGTCGGTTGTGATGCTGCAGCATTCTATTGCCGAGCCAGGATGTAGGCGCGGCTGCAAGGTGCGCGCTCCGGGGCCGAGGAGGCATGCAATGGTTCCCACGCGGCGCGTCGTGCGGCGCGTGCCAGGCACGGTGCACGCAGCGGGCCCGCTCAGGGGCAGCTGCCGAGGCCGGCGGGCTGTAGAGGCCGCATGTTGACGCCGTGAGGGGCAGCTCGTGCCCACGCTTGCGCCGCATGTGGTGCGGGGGAGCAAGCGGAGGCGCGAGCAACACACGCTCGCGGCACGAAGGGCGTACGACGCCGCAGCGCGCTCTCAGCCTCGCAGAAGCGCAGCGGCATCGCAGGCTCAACCCGGCACAAAGGGAGCCATCGCGCGCGGCGGCTTTGTCCCTCATTGGCCAAACATCCAGCCAGCGCAACAAAGGGGCACTTCTTCTCGTCTCACCACCATCCACAAGCCGTCGCAAGCCGTCTCGCTTCTCGCCTCCGCATCCAGCTGCCACCTCGGCGCCACGCTCCGCCATGGCCAGCCTGACGCCGACGCGTCCCAGTGCCGGCGCTCGCGCCTTCGACGCGGCCCGCTCGCCCAGCGGCAGTGCGTACGGCAGTCTCCGTGGCTCACCGCGACTCTCGCGCCCTTCTCTCTCGCCGAGCAGCAGCCGCGGCAGCGAGCCTCTCCTCGTGCCTTTGCATGCACACGACGTGCTTCCCTCGCGCACGCTCGTCGTGCTGCTGCGCTCGGCGGGCAAGGTGCACCGCCTGCAGATCCTCGCGCGCGCACGCGCCGCTGGCCTCGCCGTGCTCGCCGAGCGCGCGGAACGCTGGCATGCCCAAGACGCAGACTTTCTCGATGCCTTCCTCGCGGCCGAGACGGCCGAGGCTCGCGCGACGTGGAGCAGGCGCATGACGGCCGGCGAACTGCGCGTCGTCGTCTTCGAAGGTGCGCATGCGGCGCAGGTGTGGCAGCACTTGCTAGGCTGCGATCGCGAGCTGGACTCGCGCGACGCCTGCAGAGAGGAGGAAGAGCAGCGTAGAGAGACGTTGAGACGCACATATGGCGACGCGGCGCTCTACGGAAGCATCGACGGCGAGGCAGCAGAACGCCAGATCGCCATTTGCTTTCCCGAGCTGGCGCGGCCAGGAGAGCTCGAGAAGATTGCGGCTGAAGCCAGAGACGATCACTTCGACGTGGCGGAGCAAGACACCCATGCTGAGCTGCGCGCTCTTTCGAGCGCCCATCTGCGTAAGGCCTCAGCGGAGCGCGACAACGACTCCTGCCCCATCTTCTCTCAAGTGCCGATCGACGTGCCCGATCTCGACTCTGCGGCACCGTCACGCATGCCATCGCACGCCAACCTACGCAGCGATGGCATGCAATACGCCGTCGATTCCGAGTCTGTCGAGGTACTCCTCAGTTCTCCGCCTCGCCGTCATCACGCGCCCTCCTCTCCGCGTGCACCGAGCGACGTGACGACCTGCAGCGTCACTTCTTCACACTCTGCCGAGCTGGAAGTCCCGATTCGTCGTCGCAGCTCAGCTCTCGCAAAGTCAGACACTTCTTCGACTAGCTCTGCCTTTCGCGCGCGACCTTTACCGTCTTCAACGCACGCGCCGATGAGACAGCCTCGTCTTTCTCGCGCTGCTGCGTTGCGCATGGGCGTAGAGCTGCCCGCTGCGCCAGTGCGCACTACAAGCGAGGATCGCCTCTCTACTTCCTCGTCCGGCGAGCTGGGCATTTCGGGTCTCGCTCGCGCCGAAGTCGCACCGCCCCGCAGCATCGCCGCACCGAGCATGGCACCGCGGATGAATCGTGCCGCAGCCATTCGTGCCGGTCTCGACGTGCCTGCTGCTGCACCTCGGCCACGCCGCTCTTCGGCCGTGCCAGCCACGCCAAACGATCCGAGCATCGGCATCAGCGGTCTTCGTCGCGCAGAGGTAGAGGCGCCTGCGAGCATCGCCAAGCCCACGCTCGCACCTCGCATGAATCGAGCAGCTGCTATCCGCGCAGGTGTAGAGCTGCCGCCTTCGGCTGCAGCACGCAGAGCTGCTGCTGCTGCGATGGCCGACAAGACTGAGCCGCAAGCAGACGTAGGCATCAGCGGCCTCAAACGCGCCGAGCCGACAAAAGTCAAGGCGCTCCAAGCGCCCTCAGTGGCTCCGCGCGGTAACCGAGCCAGTATGGCGCGCGCCGCTGCTCCGCTTCTCGAGGCAACCGCGCCAGCCTCGCCCGCCAAGCAACGCACGCACAGTCGTGCCTCTGCTTCCCTCTCCTTCCCCGCTCGCTCTACGTCTCGCGCAGAAGGCATCCTGGCACCTCGCCGCGACAACGTCACGCCTCAGCCGAACGAAGAGGCCGAGGCGCCGGCGAAGGTCAGACGGGAGGTGGACTTCAGCAGCACGCCTGGCCATCGTCGCAAGAGCCTGAGCATTTCGGGCCTCAAGTCTCTCGCTCCTCCGGCCATTGCTCCGCGCTCCAACACGGCTGCTCAGCGGCGTCTCAGCATTGGCTCTGCCTCTGCCGTGGCGGTTGCGGCGCCGAGCAAGAGACCGGAAAGTGCGGCTGCTGCCAGACGACCAGGAAGCGCCCTCGCAAAGACGACGCAGCCGAACCGGCCGACCTCGGCGCTAGCTCAGCCACATCAGGACGAGCCGAGCAGACCGGCGAGAGTTCGAGGCACGGCTCCGCCTAGCGCGTATCGGCACGTCTTCTAGATACCACCTTGCCCACCCGATCTCCACTGTCCAGCAAGCTGGTGCCGCGGCTTGCCTGCTCCTCCGAGCAACTACATCCCTCCTCTCTCCCTCTCTCGTCTCTGATCCTGTACCCTCTTTATCCGCCTCTTTATTCGCTTGCCAATGCCACTCCTTCAAAATCGAGCCGCCACGCACCCGCTGTCTTCTCGCTGCGCTGTCGACTCTTGAAGAGTGGGTGTGTGTGCATTACCGGCCATGCGTGGCGCGTCGTTGTCGCAACATGCGTTTTTCAATCGCCCTTGCCGCGCCCGCTGCGGCCGCGCGTCTTCGTGATTGGGCTCACCGTTCAGCCCGCCTTCCCAATCCTTCTCTCTCATCTCTCCCTGCCCTGCCCTGCACTCGTTGTGTTCCTTCCGTAGCTCGCATCTGGCAGCTACGGCAGTTCGCCGTGCATCTTTGCCGCCGCCGGGCTCTCCACAACAGGCGGCGGTGGCGGCGCGCTTGCGGCTTGTGCTTGTGCTTGCGCAGCAGCAGCGGCGCGAGGCGAAGCGGCCGCGGCAGAACGGCTGAGAGCGGCAAGCTGTGCACGAGCCTCATCGCCCAGCTCCTGCACCTTCGTCGAGACCGCCTCCTTCAGCTTGAGGTGCGGGAAGACGTGTGCGTGGCAAAAGGCACGGGCCGCGAGAGCGCCCTGTTCTCGGGGAAAGTGGGCGTGAGTCAAGAGCCTCGAGATGGCGCTGGAGGGGAGTGACTGCACGTACATGTTGATGATAAACGGCGCCCACGAGCGCCTCAACCACCGATCCGCGAATGGTCCACAGACCCGAAGTCTTCTCATCGCCGTCGCGTGCGGGTGTCCAGCGCATGGCCTCGTGCAATGCCAGTGCGCGACCGGCCGTCTCGCCAAGATGAGAAGTGTGCAGCGCTGCCTGGACGTCCGAGGGGCCAGAGGAGGGAGAGAGGAGGGCGTAGTAGAGGAACAGAGCTCGACGACCTGACAAGGCAGAAGGGATCAGTGGACTGTGGGAGGAGCAGCGGGAAAGGGAGGAACGCGGGATCGCTCAAGAGAAGTCCAGAGGCCCAGCCAACAATCTTGAGCTGCGAGGACCCGTCGGAAATACCGCTGTACTCTGCCCACCTTGCTCGCGTCGCGGCCACTCACCCAGGAACTGCAACCTCCGATTGTGCCCTCCCGTCGCGTTGGTGAGGCCGAGATCGTAGCTGTCGTGCGTGACGGCCTGGCTGAGCACGTCGTCTGGCAGGGCAGGCAGCGGCGTGGACGCAGCCCATTGCTGCAGTGCAGCGGCCGTAGGCAGAGGGTTGAGGCTGCGCGTCTCGACGGCCGCAGGCTTGCCTAGACGGCGGATCGCGGCGTGGTATCCTGCACCCGCGGCGCCGGCGCCCGAGGAGGGCACGGCGGAATGCGTGGCGAACGCCCGAGCGTCAACGGCGGCGGCGGCTGCGGTGGGCGAGGCGCGAGCGACGGATGGCGAGAATGCGACACGCTGCGAGGAGCGAGAGGCGCTACGAGCGCCACTGGAGGAGGCGGAGGCCGCGCGGCTGGGACCAGCGACGGTGCTGGCACAGGGCGCACTGGCGCTCGCACTGCCGCTCGCGGCAGCGGCGCGAGCGAAGAGACGCGGCGCCGAGGAGCGAAGCATTACTGCGCCACAAGCCGAGGAGTAAGACGTGAGGTGTGTGTGGGTAGAGAGTGCGCGAGATTGAGAGCAAGCTGTGAGAGCGGGAGAGAGAAGTGCGAAGGCGGCCTCGAGGCGCACGAGGCAAAATGAGGGTCAGCCGTGCGGCACTTCAACATCGCCCGCCGGCCTGTAGTGCCGAGTTGTAGTCGCCCGCCTCTGCCCGCGTGAGCGGCGCTCGGCCGAGGCCAGGGCGAAAGAAGCGGGCTGGGCGAGAAAGTGCAACGGACGCGACTCCGCGCTTGTCGCAGCGCAGGGCCGCCATCTTTGGCGCGTGCGCGCGAAGCTCGGCCCGGCGGCACAAAGCCATCGGCGTCGGCACGAGAGGGAGACATCGCGACGCGCGGCGCTGCAGCCGGAGCTCGTCGATGAGCACGCCTCTTCACACACACCACTCCACCCCACATCTCACCCTTCCATCATGGCGCCTACTGCCACTGCGTGCGTGCCGCCGCTGCGCTCAGGGCCGCTCTGCAGCGCTCATGCTGATCCGCGCTTCTTCTCGCTCCAGCCCCGTGTCCAAGCCCATGAACTGGGCCGACGACATCGACGATGACGGTGCGTGCCTCTTCTCCCCTCCTTTCGTGCCTCCGCAGGCGCTCACTCCGCTCTTGGCTGTGCGCTCGTTGCAACTCAACAGCGCAGCTCAAGGCAAACGCACCCGCAGCCGTCAAGGCCGGCGAGCTGCCGGCGCGCACCGTCAAGGAGGAGGCGGGCGGCATCAGTGTGATCACCGAGTACAGCACGAACCCGGAGGGCAAGACGGTCAAGGTGAGTTGGCGTGCTGCAAGCATAGAGTGCGATGGCGGGGCGAGCGAGAAATGTGGCAGGAGGAGGAGAGAGGGAGGGAGCGTACAGAGGAGGTGGAGAGGTGGCGCAGTGCTGGGCCGCGCGGACATCAGAGCGGCTGGCGCGACGAACAGAGCGCGGAAGCACGCCAGGGTGTGCCAGCCTCTGCGCACGTCAAGGCGGGCTGTTGCAGATACAGCGTGCAGAAAGGCGCGTGCCGGGCTGCGCGATGGGGGGCGATTGTACGCATTCAGGGTGCTGAGCGGGAGGCAGCGCGGGACGAGAAGGCGAGAGGCGGCGGGGAGAGAGAATGTGAGGTCCAAGTGAGTACATTGCATGCTGATGCGCTGGCCACCGCCAGATCACGCGGCGCATCCGTCGCACGCTCGTGACGTCCAAGGTCAACGCCGCCGAAGCCGAGCGCAAGACATGGGCCAAGTTTGGCCAAGAGTCGGGCCGCGCGGCGGGGCCGCACAGCAGCACGACGACGGTGGGCGAGAATGTGGCGCTCAAGTTCGCTGCCGGCTCGACGAAGAAGGACGAGCCGGAGGTGGACGAGGTGGATGCGATGCGCGCAAAGCTGGCCACCAAGAAGATCACCTGCCGACTGTGCAAGGGCGACCACTTCACCACGCGCTGCCCGTACCGGGACACGCTCGAGGCGATTCCCGGCGCAGCCGACACGGGCGCAGACGAGGTGCCAGCTGCGGCGTTGGACCCGACCAACCCGGCTGTCGCCGCGTCGGCCGCCGCCGGCTCGTCGGGCGCCGGCGGCAAGTATGTGCCGCCGAGCATGCGCGCCGGCGCAAAGGGCGCCGGCGAGCGCATGGGCGGCCCGGCGGGCGGCATGAACAGAGACGAGATGCCGACGCTGCGCGTGACGAATCTGAGCGAGGATGCCGAGGAGGACGATCTGCGCGACATCTTCTCGCGCTTCGGCCGGGTGACGCGCGTCTACATCGGCAGGTGAGTCGTGCATCCACCTCTGGGCTGCCGGCCCGGCCTGCTACCTGTGCTGGCCCCCTGCCATGCTCGGCGCGAGACTGACGCCACACCTTGCTTTCCGCAGAGATCGCGAGACGGGAGAGTGCAAGGGCTACGCCTTTGTCTCGTTCGAGTCGCGCGACGACGCGGCGCGCGCAAAGGACAAGGTCGACGGCAAGGGGTGCGTTGCTTGTTCCTGCTCGATGCCGTCGAGCGCGCGCTGTGTTCTGCTTGCTGACCCAGGACACACGCGACACGCAGCTACTCCAACCTCATCCTCTCCGTCAACTGGTCCCAGCCGCGCGGCGAGCGTCCGGGCGGTGCCTGAGCGCTGTCTTGCGCTCTGCGTCTGTCTCTCTCTCTCCCCATCTCGGCCGTTCCTTTCCTCACGACTTGTACCGTGCATGCTCGCTCTGTTCACTTTCAAAATGCAGGCTTGCTGCAGCACAGCTCGGCGAGCGAAGCTGAAGCGTGGCGCCGCGAGCAGAGCGGCTCGGCCGCTCCTTCTGCCCTGCGGCCATGCGCATCAAGCGTGGAGAGTGCACCTCCCACGACGCCGAGATCAGAGTGCTAGAAGGAGGAGACAACACCGGCCTCTGCTGAGGGAGAGGGCACGCTTACACGGCCGGACCCTGGCGGAAGCACGCATACAAAGTCGTCAGCCCTTGAATACAAGTCTCGGCGTGGGAGCATGCATTGGGGTAATCGCGCGCCTCCGACAGCGACGCGCGTGGCGCGCTTGCCGTGCACCGCGCCTGCATGCCGACGGCGAGGAGGCGCAGCCGCCGCGTGCCGCCGCGTGCCGCCGTGTGCCGCCGTGCCGCCCGCGCCGGAGAGGAGAGACGCGCACCGACCTTCTCATGCGTGGCTGCCGCTTGCGTTGCGACACCATCCCCCCGCTCCAGTCTCAGGCAACCAGCGTACCCTCCAAGGCAGCCATCCTCGCCTCGTCCGTCTCTGCGACCAGGCCTGTGACACGCGCGTCGAGTGCACGCAGCAGCCTCCTCGGCGCGACACAGCCTCTCGTTGGCCCATCCGCGAGAGGCACGCCTGCACGAATCGACGCCCGCTCGTCTTGCGCTCTCTCTTCGTCCCCGAGTGCCCTCTTGCGTCTGTTCCATCATGCGGCAACCACTGCGCCTCACTCTCTCCGCACTGGCGCTCCTCGCACTCGCGCCCGCCGTGCTCTCCCTCTCTCTGCGCGACGCCTCTGAGCCGCTCTCTCTGCGCGATGCCGCCTCCTCTGCCGCGCAGGCAGGCGTGCCAGCAACGACGGGCCTGTCGTCGCTCACGCGCGACAAGTGGATTGGCCTGGCGCTGGCAATCAGCAGCAGTCTGGCCATCGGCACGAGCTTCATCATCACCAAGAAGGTGCGTTCGCGCCGCCGAGAGAGGCGCCACGCGCGCCGTGCATCGCTGCATGTGCAGCAGCGGCGAGCGGGTGCCAATTGGCGCCGGTGCGTCGCTGCATGTCCAGCAGGCTGCCGACACGCCTCTGTCCGGCAGGCTCCTAGAGGCCAGCCGGCTGCTGCAATCCCTGCCGCATGAGGTGTGCTGGCTGTGAAGCTGACGCGCGACACTCACAGGGCCTCATGGACGCAGCGGATCGAAGTTCAGGCATGGCGTCGGACGGGCACTCCTACCTGCAGAATCCCATCTGGTGGGCCGGCATGAGCACCAGTGGGTCTCTGTCTCCCTCTCTTCCTCTCCGTCGCTAACTCCTGTGCATCATCGCTCGCTTTGCTCGCTCGCAGTGATCGTTGGAGAAGTGGCCAACTTCGCAGCCTACACGTTTGCGCCTCCCATCCTCGTCACTCCGCTCGGCGCGCTTTCGGTGCTCATCGGCGCAGTGCTGGCGAGCTTCATGCTGAACGAGGAGCTGGGCCGGCTCGGGCGCGTGGGATGCACGCTGTGCCTCGTGGGCACTGTCATCATCGTCGTCAATGCGCCGGAGGACAAGGAGATTCAGACGGTCGATGAGATTCTGAACTACGCTATACAGCCCGGTGAGTCGCAGGGCAGCACGGCGCGGCAGCAGGGATGGCGAGGGTGAGGCGTGAAGCGGAGAGAGGCGGGTGCAAGAAGCTGCGACAGGCTGCCAGTGCGCTCGGGCGCATGCCATGCCAGTCTGCCGAGGCTGCACCCGGGCCAAGATGGCAGGCGCAAGGCGCCATGCCTCGCGACGCAGCTCGATCGCGCCGCGCTGTCTGCCCTGCTGACGCGCGCCCTCAGGCTTCCTGACGTACTGCCTCTTCGTCCTCTCCTACGCCATCTACGCCATCTGGCGTCTGGTGCCTTCGTACGGCAAGCGTTCGCCGCTCGTCTATCTCTCCATCTGCTCCCTCGTCGGCAGCGTGTCCGTGATGAGCGTCAAGGGCTTCGGCGTGGCGCTCAAGCTCACGATGGATGGCAACAACCAGTTCACGCATCCGAGCACCTACTGCTTTGCCCTCGTGACGATCGTCTGCATCCTCGTGCAGATGAACTACTTCAACAAGGCGCTCGACCAGTTCAGCACCAACATGTGAGTCGGCAGCCGCGGCCGCAGTGGTGGTGCAGTGGCTCATGCACTGCACGCAGCGTGAATCCCATCTACTACGTCACCTTTACGACGTCGACCATCTTTGCCTCCTTCCTGCTCTTCAACGGCTTCAACACGTCGGGCCCTGCAAGCGCAGTCTCGCTGCTCGGCGGCTTCGTCGTCATCTTCATGGGCGTGTACCTGCTGAACCTCAACCGGTGCGTGTTCCTCTCTCTTGCCATGGCACTGCGCACGGAGGCCCCTTTGGCTGACGCGATGCTTTGCAGGCTGGTGGATCCAGTGACGCAACAGCCGCGCATGTCGCTCATGACCGGCGAAGGCATCGTGGGCACCGGGCGCCTCTCCGAGTCGCACGACCGCTTCGCATCTCGATCACGCTCCGCCTATCCTCCCGGCTCTCGTCGCGGCGGCGGCGGCGGCGGCGGCTACGGCGCTCCGCATTCGCGGCGCGACTCGAGCGGCTCGGTGCTCTTCAACGCATACGAAGAAGAGACGGTGGGCCTCACGCAGCTCAACGAGTCCGAGGAGGAAGACGACGACGGCATGGATGAGGAACGCTCTTCCAAACGCAGCCATGCCCGCGCAGAGAGCGAGGATCTCTGGCGCCGCAATCCGCACGACGTGGGCACGCCCATGATCTCCACTGCGCCTGCCGCGGCGCCATTGCCCTCGACGGGCCAGCGGGTCACGCCGGCGACTCAAGGACGCAATGGTGTCAATGGCGTGCCCGCCAACGCAGCACAAGGCACACCAAACCGACCCGCCAGCGTGGGTTCGGCGGCTCAAGTGCCGAGGAGCCCGAATGACTGGCGTGGCGTGCCGTACGTCGCGGCGCCGGAACGACGGTAGCGCGGGGGGGAGGAGGCGTCTTCCAAGCGTGGCAAGCGTGCCAAAATACGTTTCCGAGGCGACTTCTGCAAGACGGCGATGTGTTCGCCAGGGACGGGGCAACGTGCGGGACGGAGCGCTGGAAGACAGCGCGATTGCCATCATACCGTGCCTCACTCAGCCCCCCCTCTTACTGCCCCCCTGTCCGCCTCGCGCGCGCCTATGATACACGATTGCCCACTTCACATTGCTACCCTTCGCACCCCAATTCTCGCCTCTCATGGAATTATACACTTGCAGCCTTCTCTTGCTCCTCTTTTTGCTCTACCGGTCGTGTGCACGTGTGCGGTGCGTAATGTGAGTGGTCCGCGCCTTTTTCAAGAACGCTGCCCTCCAGAACGGCCACGATGGCCTAGCTCAGCCCCTTGCGGCCCTGTTGTGCGCAGCCGGCTTGTTTTCGCAAGGCCGAGTCGGGCGTGCAAGGTGCAAGCCCACGCCAGGGAGCGCACGCCCAGTTGGAGGCGAGCCCCTGGCGAGGGTGCGTGAGCGGGACTCGCGACAAGCTTACATCTTCACACTGCCCAGAGCAAAGCGGGCCTCTCTTCTTCTCGACCACGGCATGCCCCCCAACAATCAGTGAGAGCGAAGAAAAGAAGCCATAGAATACACACGTCCCTCAGACCGGCCAGGCCTCTCGAACGTCCCATCCCCCGCCCCTGCCTTAATCCCCAGCCTCCCGCCCTCGCCCTCCTCTCGCTCCCTACTTTTCCCTCTTGTGGCAAGTAAAAGCAAAAAAAGCGGGGCGCCCTTCTCTGCTGCTGCTCTACATAGGCTTGGCCACCTGCTGCGTCAAGAGCAGGCCATAGCGCTTCTTGAGCAGCACGCGGTGCCGCGAAAACTTGTCGTCGGGCGAGAAGCGGGCTGTTGTGTGTGTGCGCGCGCGAGGACGGGGGACGGAGATGGGGGATGGGGAGACGGGAGAATCGTCAGTTGAAAGTACGGCAATTGAAGGTCGAGAACGTAATGCAGAACGGGGCGCCCGAGGGCACGAAAAGTCTGCCAAGAGTGAAAGAGCGAGAAACACACACGCAAGAGACGCCGCCCCCTCCCCCCCCCCCGTTTCGCCCCCGGAAGCTGGGCAGCAGGAGGCATGGGAGGCTGGAACACGGAGGGCTTTTTGAGCGTGCCGCAACTCTGGCTGCTGGGCAACG